ATAGCTGGAATATTGCTGAGTGTGGCTTTAAACAACAAACAAACATATGACACAAACAAATCTTACACTTTAATTTAACTGTGGCAAATATCTTTCCTAAAGTACACTCAAGCATGTTTACTTGGCACAGAAGGAACCTAGTCTCAACAACAGAAGGTTTTTAGTCGTGTCTCAAATTGGTAAATTGCACCCGTTAAACAATCCTCCATTACAGAACGAGGCTTGAAATGAAGGTGGGGGGCGGTGTGCCCGCACTCAAAGGAAAGATAAGACAACTAACGGGATCTCCGTTTGATGTGGAGAAGCTAGTCTGACTGAAGACACCAACAGAATCGGAACGCCAGACTTTGGACTTTTGCCGAGACGTGGCCCTTATTCATTTGCGGAGGAATTGGATCCAGAACTGCGTGACATGCCATGCGCGTAGTAATATTTTTCTAGCTATCCGGGCCGTGAGAAGTTGTGAATGAAAAATGTTGCGCATGTGCCTTGGGGTGCTATCTGACTGCAAACAGGTTCACTGTATATGCGCTGATTTCAGCAGACAGTGTCTAGTTTGTTTTCCCGAACCCTCCATCCTACCTCCCAGCTGTTAAACCAACCATTCTTATAAATCTTCGTGTCTGAAGTTATTCTTGTATGCAAATGACGAAAAAGGGTAGTTTGTAGGAGGAAAAACGTCCATTACACGATAAGTAGCCAAATGCCTGTCTACATTGTATATCAATCGTGAATATATTTCTTGGTCTATATATATATTCAGCATGATTGTTATCGAGATAATTTTGGTGCAATCTCATTGTCTTCCGGGTTACTAAATAAGATACAAATAAGTTGATGTCTCGAAATAGTCCGGTGCCTCACTGCACCGCCTGGAACGTGGAGAGATGTCACCTACATATGTATGAAGCAGCTCCGATTGCAATCAGGCATTGTTGAAATATCCCTATGACTGTGCGCATCTTCACTCCTTGAGGCGTTGAAGTTGAGGATTTCAACTGAGTGATTGAGTGAGTATGGTTTTCCGCCGCTTTTAGCAATATTCCAGCAATATCACGGCGGGGGACACCAGAAATGGGCTTCACACATTGTACCCATGTCGGGAATCGAACCCGGGTCTTCGGCGTGACGAGCGAACGCTTTAACCACTAGGCTACCCGACCGCCCCGTTTTCAACTGAAGATATTGCAATTCGCTCTCATTATAGTAAATGAGTTTCGAGAGACATTAGGGACGGGTCAATTATTATAGGGGAGTGGGGGTGAGATAGGGGTGGGGTGGGGTGGGGTGGGGGTGGGGTCATGAAAACATGACGCAGCTAAATCGGTTGTGTGTGTGTGTGTGGGGGGGGGGGGGGGGGTGGGGGGGGGTGAGGTATGAAGTTAAATGGGGTTTAACGTCGCGTTCAAGGTTATTGCATTTACATAGCGACGCGCATGCGTGTTTGTGTGGATGCTTGTAGTCCGGACTAAGGCTTATGGTGCTAGCCAACTGAGATTTCATGCCGCAGTTTAACACGGATGCACCAGGCAGGGTAACAACAAGTACCATCTTTGAACGTATTTTGCTATGACACGGCTGAAGATCGAACCCACGGAAGCGGCCCTTTACAGAGAGCGACAGGGTGTAACGTCGCCTAGAAGAGTATTTCGGTTTTATGAAAGTGTTTCAGCTTATGATAACTGCACCCGTGGTAGACGTATTCAGGGGAATCTAGGATTCGAACCCACGACCAGGGAATCCGTGACAAGAAGGCGGGACCTGGGTGAGATGAAATGGGGTTCGAGGTGGCGTTCAAAATCATTTTACGTATGTTGTGTTTCTTGCTTAACGGGGGGCACGGGTGGCCCAGTTGTCTAAGGCGCCGCGATTCGCTGTGCAGAGTTGCGTCCCTTTGGCACGCCAGAAACCTATGAGTGTGGGTACGAATCCCGGATCGCCCCGATTATGTTTCTAGGTTTGTCAGCACCATACCCGCGCTCATGGGTTTCACCGAAGTGGTAAACGTCTAAGACCTGCATCACTTGGGGCTTTCCTCCCACATTAAGCTGACACGCCGCGATATAACTGGAATACTGTTAAAAGCGGCGTTAAACCCAACTCACTCACTCACTCTTGCTTAACGCTTCACTCAGCAATGTTTTTAGTTATATATATATATGACAGTGGCCTGTATATATTCGAATCTAGACAAGACAATCCAGTGTTTGACATCATGAGCATCAATGTATGCAGTGGGATACGAGCATCACCACCCGATCCCGTTAGTCGCCTCTTACGACAAGGATAGTCGCCTCTTAGGGCAAGCATGGGTTGCTGAAGACCTATTCTAACCCGAATTTTCACTTATGTAGCGGTGTGCACACAAATATGCGTGTTACTGCATATACAAAACTGCCGGGCAAACATTGGATTTGTTAAAAAAATATTACAAACGTTATTAAAACGTTACTAAGCTTGAAAAAAGTCGCCGAAACACCTCAAACTTAAGTATCAACTACACCACCATCGAGTAACCATTTCTTGTTAATTACATTTTTAGCTACCGTTTTATTTATTTATTTGTTTTATTTATCCGACAGTTCTTTAATGTCCGTTTTTCAGTTCTAGTCTTGTAAGAAACAAACCGTGGGTTTAAATGAACCCCCATTCAGACACTGACTCAGACTCGGAGCTGACCAATCATTGTTTTATCCTCTTGATGCTGAGCGCTGGGTAGTCAGCGTGGTCGCAGACTGCTTGGCGATGGAAGGGAGGTCGTCAACACCGTCTGAGCTGACCAGTCATTGTTTTATCCTCTTGATGCTGAGCGCTGGGTAGTCAGCGTGGTCGCAGAGTGCTTGGCGATGGAAGGGAGGTCGTCAACACCGTCGCGGTAGGGTGTCTTCCTGTAACTGTCAGGGAAATACACTTCTATACTTGAACTATGAATGAGTTGGGTTTCAGGTCGCTTTGAACATTATTACAGTCATATCACGGCGTGTCAGCTTAAAGGAAAGCATGCAGTGACGCAGGTCTCAGACGTTTACCACTGTATCACGAGCACGGGTATGATGCTGACAAACCTAGAAACATTATCGGGGCGAACAGGGATTCGAACCCACGACCATAGGTTTCTGGTGTGCCCAAGGGGCATTTAAAAAGAATTTAGAAGAGAGAAATATACTCAACAACAAAAGTTCCTGTGACACCAATATTTTAGTGTATTTTTCAAACAAGTAAAGTTTGGTTTTCAATATTGTAGTACATGTATGGAATCAAGTCACAAAACGCAACTGCTACAGAAAAGCATGCATTCCATGCAAATGTTGACTTTTATGCAAGGCCCCATGCATTTCACTACCCAAGAAATATGCATTGTTTAGCATCGTGCTGACAATTACCATTCAGAATAACAACAAAATAATCAATAATTTTTATTCAACATAACGAAATGCCACGCCTGTCCGAAAGTGGGCGTCTGCGAGCCATTGGTATGCTTGAAGCAGGATCGAGTCAACGTGATGTTGCAAGACAATTTAACGTCCACAGAAACACCATTTGGTGTTTATGGCAACGTTGGCAACAGACGCATGCAGTCAGAGACCATCCTCGGAGTGGCAGGCCACGCGTAACCAATAATCGACAAGACAACTGGATTCGAACAACACACCTACGAAATCGATTCCAGCCAGCAACAGTGACTGCAAGAAGCATCCCTGGCCTTCGACGAATATCTTCACAAACCGTACGTCGCCGCCTCAGATGTGCAGGGATTGTCGCCAGAAGACCCGCCAGACGTCCCATTTTGACAGGAAACCACCGTCAAGCACATCTACAGTGGTGCAGACGGCGTCTACGCTGGACGGCCATGCAGTGGAGACAAGTTCTATTCACTGACGAGTCTCGTTTTCACCTCGGCCACAGCGATGGACGGATTCGAGTGTACCGACGTCGAGGTGAACGTTACGTCAATCATTGTGTCATGGAAGAAGATCGGTTCGGGGGCGGCAGCGTTATGGTATGGGATGGGATTACAGCAAGTCAAATTAAACCATTTGAACACTCACAGGAGTCTTTTATCTGTTGCAAACCGAAATTGTTATCAGATTTGGTAAAAAACATAACTTTGCATTAAATCTTATTCAATGTCAAAGGAACTTTTGTTGTTCAGTATATATAATATTATATAGGTTTTCCTCGACTATATTTTAGTATAAGAACGCATATACTTCTGTTGGAGGGAAAGTTTCGTGCGGTTTAGACAGAGGTCCGGAGTAATAAGATTATAGTGGGAGATTAAACTGTGAAAAGGATAAGGCTGACACATATTGTATTTGTCGTACGACATTTTCGATCTCAAATGTGGTTGTTGGTTGGTTGGTTTGTTATTTAAAGCCGCACTCAGCTCGAAAATGTGGTCCGGAATTGACAGAAATATGTAAGTCAGTCACTGAATTAGTACTTTGGTGCAATCCACAGACACGGATATGGTCCTGACAAACCTAGAAACATGACCTGACAAACCTCGGGGCGAACCGAGATGCTAACACACAATCATAGGATTCTGGCGAGCCCAAGGGACGCAACTCTGAACAGCGAATTGCTGCGCCTTAGAAGACTGGGCCACTCAGTAATGATAAGGAGAAGAAGGAGAAGAAAAATATTTTCGATATTAATGTAGCTATAGTGAGCTTAGGTCATTTAAACGCCTTTTCTCAAAGAAACGGGGCGGTCGGGTAGCCTAGTGGTTAAAGCTTTCGCTCGTCACGCCGAAGACCCGGGTTCGATTCCCGACGTGGGTACAATGTGTGAAGCCCATTTCTGTGATATTGCTGGAATATTGTTAAAAGCGGCGTAAAACCATACCCGCCCACTCACTCACTCTCAAAGAAACGGTAATCAGAATGTCTTCATACCAAGACTGTCCGGATTTGGGGACTGGACACGCTGTTATTGCAAGTGGGAACTGTATTCTACATACCAGGTAGTGAACGTGCTTCGTGGAGCTATCTAAACTGAAGGTGTGTTTTCTGACCTACTAAGCACACCTGGCGGCTCACATCAAAGTGCACCTGTTGTTAATACCTTGATCCATTGTCCAGTACTTTAAACACTCGCCATGCTGCTGCTCCTTGTTATATCTGCTGCCTGTGTCGCTGTCGGTGAGTGCCCAAATACTCCTCTGTATTCTCCAGTTACCGCCAACCTTCGTTAAATCAAGTACAACATATAAGTCTTCGAATCAGCATTCCCCATCACCTCATCCTCGTGCCCCTTTAAACTGCCGACATCGTTCAAGGGTCGTATGTTGGATGTACCGCCGGTGCTTATACAGACGGTCATTCCACTGAAAAATACAATATATCTGTTATACTGCCTATTCCCAATACCTAATATTCTTGTGGGCATGTATCCTCTCAAATACATAGTTACCTAAAATTTTCTCGTTTTATAAAACGAATAAAAAATGCTTTCCTTAATCGACCTATTCGAAATACAGTGAAACCTCGCTATAGTGCGGATACTCTCAGTGAGGTGTATTAATGTGGGCAAAGTCTAACATAAAGTTCTTATAACGAGCCCGGATTCGTTTAATTAAAAAAAAATAAAATCTGCATACATTTTTTATTGCGAAATTTTGCCATTTGGATTAACGGGAATTATAAAAATATCTGTTGTATATATCTTTTATCTCCTGCGGAGAAACAGTTTAAGGGTGTGAGAAGAGTGTTATCAGTTACGCGGGGGGGTGGTGGGGGGGGGGGGGGGGGGGTTGGTCAGGCTCGGTGACTTGGGCGACTTCATGTCAGCGTTCCCCGGCTCTGCTCATACTATCAACCACCAGTAGTCATGACTGCTGTGTTCTAAATGTTATCCTTTAATCACATGCTCTCGTTTTAACGCCATACTTATTTAAAACATGTATTCGTTTTTAGTGACGTCAGTTTACAATTTAGCTCTATGTGAGACTTCCGCCTCTCTCGTGGCATTTTATAGCTGAATACAGAGAGCAAAGTGTACGATATCTCGTACACCGCCTGCCCCGATATAACACCACTCGTCCTACATCATTCGACCAGTTATAACAGGGGTGTGTGGGTCAGAGGGAATCAGGGGAGGGTCACCTAAAATCTGACAGTTTCTAGGGGTGGTTGTGTGTCATAAAAAACAAACAATACACATACATTTATTTGAGGAGGGTCAGGAAAAATGTGGACATTTTTTTCTAGAAATAAACGACGAGTGAGAGTTGTTTATCTTACGCTGCAGGGAGAATAAGCCATAAGGGCGTTATTCTGGAAATTCAAACTTGATGACGTCGTAAAATGGACGGCGTTATTTTTAATTTTTAAGGGAAGTGTCTAGTGAGTGTTCCCCATAGATGTTGCTGGGCAACGTAGGTAACGCATTTGCCGAACGAACGCTTCCAAAAGTAGGAGAGCTATGGCAATCGGTATTGGGAGAAAAGGTACAGATAATCGACGTGAAAATTGTGAGAGTATGCGGGAAAGACCAAATTTAATCCCCCTGTTCATAAAATTGACTTGTCCGACATTGCCGCGGTCGGATTCCTTACAGGGAGATGCGCCCCTCATGGTTAATTCTCCCTGCAGTGCTTAATCGTGCGATAAACAACTCCCACTCGTCGTTAAATTTCTTAAATAAACCACGCTTCGTTCTTCATTGTTCTTTGCGATTGATCGCATAGTTATCTTATATGATAAAGTATTTTGTCTTTTTAAGGTGGTTATGAAAAAAAAGTCGAAATTGGGAGGGTCATTCGATAACATGACAACAATTAGTAAACTTTGTCATCTGTTACGATTCAGAATAACTGGCCACATCAAGCAACACGTTTCCTTATGTGGGTGGGGAGATATTCATACTTTGGTCTGGTTTATGACAGTTTTAGCTGACAATGACATTTTTTCATAGATAAACGCATTCCCGTTTGTTATATGTTATTGCAACAGATGGGCTACCAACAAGCATCAGGCACAGACAAACACTCCCATTACGTGTTTATGCAAATTATGCGAGTGACGGGTGCTATCAGTAGGGCAGGACATGCTCATCCTTTTCGCGAACACCTGGTGTTATCACTGATTTTCAGTGGTCCAATCAGATCATTTTCACTGCTATTTGGCCTTTTACGCGCCATGGAATCTGTTTCGGGAGATATTGGAGACTGGTTGTTCTCTGGTGTTGATGTTTTTTAGTCATTCGTGACCAACTCGTGTTATTCCGGGACAAGCCGAATCATTCGTGACCAACTCGTGTTATTCCGGGACAAGCCTTCTTGCAGATTACGGAAAGGGGCGAGTGGTGACGGATGAAGCCGAATAGCAGGTTAAGGAAAGGGGTGGTGACGAATGTTTTTTTAGTCTGTTGGAGCCATATTTGGGGTGATTCCTTCCGATTTTACGGGCGTTTGGGGAATTTTAGTCAGAGGTTAAAAGAAGCGTACATAAAATAAAACCTGCAATGGCCTGATGAACTTCGTTGTTGTTTTGTTTGTTTAACGCCGCACTCAGCAGTATTCCAGCTATATGACGGCGGTCTGTAATTAACTGAGTCTGGACCAGAGAATCCGATGATTGATACATGAGCATTGATAAACGCAATTGGGATAGTGACATGCATCTAACAAGTCACCGGGCCTGACCAACCGATCCCATCGTCGCCTCTTATAAGCATGGGTTAGACCAATTCTTACCCGGAGCTTCACGGATCGAATAAATTCTTCATTACTCGGATGGACAACAGTTGGTCACGAATGGTGCGAACATGGACCATTTATTTAATCCAAAATTACATGTGACTAACGGGGATTTGAATAAAACTCACTTATTCATTTTCCTTCAGGTACAGCAGATGTCACTGTAAGTAGAGCGTTTGTTTGTTTGTTGTTTAAAGCCGCACTCAGCAGTATTTCAGCTATATAATGGCGGTCTGTAAATAATCGAGTCTGGACCAGACAATCCACTGATTGACAGCATGCGCATCGAACCATGAAATTGGGATACCATGACATCAACCAAGTCAGTGAGCCTGACCACCCAATCCCGTTAGTCGCCTTTTACGGGAAGCATGGGTTGCTGAAGAACTATTCTACCCCGGATCTTCACGGGTCGAAAGTAGAGCGACGTCATTCAAGTATTACTAACCAGAATGGGGACTCCAAGAGATGAACAGGATTCAGTAATCAATTGGTTTTGTAAATACAAATATTTAACAGCATGAACACATCCATCACGAATGACGCCACTGAGAGCTCTCTGGTGTCGCCGGTTAACAGTACTGCAGTTATACCACAGTGAGTTTTATGTGGGAGAAAAGTCTGAAGTGATTCAGGTCTTAGATGTTACCATTTTACTGAAACTCACGATCACGACCTGGTGCTGACAGACCAAGGGTCAAAATCGGGACGAATCAAGACAAGCAATCCTGACACGGCTAAGGGGCGTAACTCTGCAAAGTTGGATGCACTGCCCATGGCCAATATACCCTTAGCCTAAACTAACATGTTTTCAAATTACAATCTTAAGATGAATACCTCCATGGTCAAGTGGATAGAGCGTCTGCCCGGAGAGCGGGAGGTAGGGGGTCGATCTTCGGCCGCGTCATACCAAAAGACGTTAAAAGATGGTACTTGTTGTTACCCTGCCTGGCGCCCAGCATTAAGAGAATAAAAAAAGGACTGTGCAAAATACAAGTGCAATAATCTTGAACGCGACATTACACCCAATTTCAACAAACCTTACCACCTAAGATGCATAATTTGCATTGTGCTTCATCTCAGTAATGTATGAATTCTATTTATATTTACCATGTCATTATTTGTCTCTTCTACAGTGCCCCTTTCTGCCATGTCCTTTCGTGGGGTTCTGCAAGAAGACCATTCCCACCTACTACGACCATGACGGCGTGAGATGTCGCGGCTGTGACCAGTGCTCCATGGACCCAGAAGATGTACGCCAACACAGTTGCCCCAAACTATCTAGTTAACTCCCTTATCGTCGTTATTCACGACATTCTCTTCAGTATTCCATCCGCCTCCGTGGCCTAGTGGTTGAGCGTCCGCCCGGAGGTCCGGTGTTCGATCCCCAGCCGCGTCATACCAAAAGACGTTAAATGATGGTACTTGTTGTTACCCTGTCTGATGCTCGACAAACGGAGCTAAAACAAGGACTGGTCGGCTCGGAGTCAGTATACTGTGTCTGAGAGGGGTATTCATGTTAAACTGTTGCATGGCGTCTCAGTGGGCTAGCACTATAAATCGGCATCAGTCCGGACTAGTACAAGCAGACACACACACACACACACACACACACACACACACACACACACACACACGTACATGCACGTCGCTATATAATCTTGGACGCGACGTTAAACCCCATTTCATCTGACTTCTCTATTCCATACTGACAAGATTCATAAACTTGTGACTGACTTTCTAGTTCAACATACGACTGAGAGTTAAAATGGCAACCTCCCAATTGTCAGACGGCTTATACTGGGATTAGGTAAGGTTGAATACAATTAGTCTAGTAATTGTTAGCTGTTTACCTTCGTGTAATGTGGAACAGTCCTACAGAAATGACAGGGAACCAAAATATCATTGCTCAACAAAGCTTTAGCAAATGAGGGGCGGTCGGGTAGCCTAGTGGTTAAAGCGTTCGCACGTCACCCGGGTTCGATTCCCGACATGGGTACAATGTGTGAAGCCCATTTCTGGTGTCCCCCGCCGTGATATTGCTGGAATATTGCTAAAAGCGGCGTAAAACCATACTCACTCACTCACTTTAGCAAATGTCCAACTGCATCTAAGAATTTAAGGAGTCTTCTGCCCACTGCACAACTTCTCCTTCAGACCGCTGCAGTCCCTCAGACTCTCTGTAACAGCTTCATCCTGGGTGCGGGAGCAGCACCAAAGTCAGTCTGGGTCAGCTTAGCATCTTGTGACTTCTCAATCCCTTGTACCAGTTCTACAAATCTGAAGAGGTTTGGTACTGATGTGGGAGACTGCGGTCTACACGAGCATGGAAACGATACATATACAACATGTGGGATTGAACGCAAAACTGACGTGCCTGACAATCGGGGCGTCTGACAAATGGGGCGACTGACAAATGGGGCGACTGACAAATGGGGCGTCTGACAAATGGGGCGTCTGACAAATGGGGCGAATGACAAATGGGGCGTCTGACAAATGGGGCGACTGACAAATGGGGCGTCTGACAAATGGGGCGACTGACAAATGGGGCGACTGACAAATGGGGCGTCTGACAAATGGGGCGACTGACATTTTGGGGTGAACCGTACATTCGGCAATACTTCAGCCAAATATGCTGAGAATGAAAATTGGTTGCACACTGATCCATTGAATGATGTTGACGTTCTGATGAATTTGGCGCTGTGCAAATTCACATATTATTGTATTATTTATGTAACGTCGCATTATTAGACTCGCTTTATTATGCCCACAGGCCCCCGTCACTCAGCTGCCCACAATACACGCGATCCAGTTCCACATGTGCCCGATGTATATGTGCATGAACCCCGGACAATGCAGCGTCCCCTACACCTACAGCCACTTCATGGTCAACGGCCTCAACTGCACAGGATGTCCCTCGTGCCCGACCGGAGGGCACCCTGATGGATCGGTGAGTGAGTGGGTGAGTGAGTGGGTGGGTGAGTGAGTGAGTGAGTGGGTGGGTGGGTGAGTGAGTCTTTGGATCGGTGAGTGAGTGAGTGAGTGGGTGGATGAGTGAGTCTTTGGATCGGTGAGTGAGTGAGTGAGTGAGAGAGTGAGTGAGTGAGTGAGTGAGTGAGTGAGTGGATCGGTGAGTGAGTGAGTGAGTGAGTGAGTGAGTCTTTGGATCGGTGAGTGAGTGAGTGAGTGAGTCTTTGGATCGGTGAGTGAGTGAGTGAGTGAGAGAGTGAGTGAGTGAGTCGATCGGTGAGTGAGTGAGTGGGTGGGTGAGTGAGTGAGTGAGTGAGTGAGTGAGTGAGTGAGTGAGTGAGTGAGTGAGTCTTTTGGTGGGTGAGTGAGTCTTTGGGTGAGTGAGTGAGTGGGTGAGTGAGTGAGTGAGTGAGTGAGTGAGTGAGTGAGTGGTGGGTTGGTGAGTGAGTGAGTGTGTGAGTGCTCACTCAGCGGACACCGGATTTCGGCTTCATACATTGTTGGAGAATCGAACCCATGTATTCGGCGAGAAGAGCACACTTTAGCCACTAGGCTACATCACTGGCCAGGCGAAACAATAGCTCTTCAGCATCGCTAACCCCTGAAAGTAATAAGCTGACAAAGACGAACAGTAATCCTGACAACGTACAAATAGAGATACTAGTTATTTTCATGGATGTGTTCACAATTCCGATCGGTAAATCCAGCTTTGTAAATGTTGTCTGTAAGCTTTTGTAATTTACCAAGTAATTGAATTACGTTAAAGAGTTTTCACGCTTTCGCAAGTGTGAAAACAACATCGCCAAAATATGTTGATATAAGGCGCCGCAATTAGTTGTACAGAGTTGCGTCCCTTAGATGTGCAAGAAACCCATGATGGCAGTTCGAATTTCCGGACAGGGGCGGCGGTGTAGCCTAGTGTTTAAAGCGTTTGCCAGTCACGCCGAAAGCCCGGGTTTGATTCCCCACATGGGTGCAATGTGTGAAGCCCATTTCTGGTGTCCCCCTGCGGTGATGTTGCTAGAATATTGCTAAACACGGCGTAAAACCACACTCACTTACTATTCTATGCATTGCAAGAGAGAAGTCTACAGTGTTCTGTCCCATAGCCGCACCAGGATCCGCTGAACTTCCGACGTGAAGTTGACACACCGTGGCTTGGTGAAATGCTGCCCAAAGCGGGTTAAACCCAACTCACTCACTCACTCACATGTAATGTTTTTTATTTTAGATAATTCTGAAGAAAAAACAGCTGCAGCCAACAGGGGGTCTGGTCCATATCAACATGTGCCCAATGGTGATGTGTATGCAGCCCGCGTCATGTGACGTGCCTTACAAGACGTCCACCATGCATGTCGCCGGCCGCGACTGTCCCGGGTGTCCCTATTGCCCGACCACCACCACCACCACCACCGCCGCTTGACCTGTTAATTACAGTTAATATACATCACCCTGACTCCTGTTATATTAGTTTGTGTTTCTTCTAAAGATTTTAGTTACATCAGTCACGTGACATAGTGCTTAAAGCCGTAGAACTTAGTGTGCTTAAAGCGGTAGAATTGTGTACTTAAAGCGATAGAACTTAGTGTGCTTAAAGTGGTAGAACTAAGTGTGCTTAAAGCGGTAGAACTCAGCATGCTAAAAGTGCCAGAACACAGTGTGCTTAAATCGGTAGAACTCAGTGTGCTTAAAGCGGTAGAACTCGATATGCTTAAAGCGGTAGAACTCAGCGTGCTTAAAACGCCAGAACAAAATGTGCTTAAAGTGGTAGAACTCAGTGTGCTTAAAGCGGTAGAACTCGGTGTGCTTAAAGCGGTAGAACTCAGTGTGCTTAAAGCGGGAGAACTCGGTGTGCTTGGCACGAGTGTGTGAATCTATTCTACAATGCACATACCAGTTCCTTGTTGACCGTGAAGTCTACTGTAGACAACCTAACCGGTTCATGTATATTGGAATGGACTCGTTACAGTCGTACCAAGCATACCGTAAAGTGTTGTAACATTTAGCATACCCCCATTAACCTTTTTCACACGATCGCCACTTTGGATTAAAAGACGGGGCATGGAGTGAAAAGCTTATCCAGTCTTTGTCAATACAAGCACTTTCCAAACGTATGCTCCAAAAAGGTGTAGGTGCATGTGCGTGCGTTCGTTCGTGCGTGCGTCTATGTTATATAAGCAAAGTCAGTGTGCTTAAAGCGGTAGAACTGGGTGTACTAAAAGCGGTAGACCTCAGTGTGCTTAAAGCGATTGAGCTCGGTGTGCTTAAAGCGATTGAGCTCGGTGTGCTTAAAGCGATAGAACTCGGTGTGCTGAAAGCCATTGAACTCGCTGTGCTTAAAGCGATAGAACTCGGTGTGCTGAAAGCGATTGAGCTCGGTGTGCTTAAAGCGATAGAACTCGGTGTGCTTAAAGCCATTGAACTCGGTGTGCTTAAAGCGATAGAACTCAGTGTGCTTAAAGCGATAGAACTCGGTGTGCTTAAAGCGATTGAGCTCGGTGTGCTTAAAGCGATAGAACTCGGTGTGCTTAAAGCCATTGCACTCGGTGTGCTTAAAGCGATAGAACTCAGTGTGCTTAAAGCGATAGAACTCGGTGTGCTTAAAGCCATTGAGCTCGGTGTGCTTAAAGCGATAGAACTCGGTGTGTGTAGATCACGGTTGTCTTTTCTTATTCCGATGGTGACCTTGCCCTTCGTTCGAAGCTGTCACTGACTTGCAAGCATACTTGAGTTTGGTGATTTTAACGTCTTCACATATCGGGTCGTACAGTTAACATGGATGTCTTCTGCGAGCACTCTGATTTCTCTCTTCCAAAACGGTAAGGACAGGATATAAATTCAGCTGATAGATCAAGAAAACCGCAAAATTTTGATTGCACAGTCGGGAACTCCGGCGGTGCGAGTGACCGACTGTTTGTCCGATATTCAAAGCGCGGCGCTGAATAACTTTTTCGATTTTTGTGTCGTGCGTACTGACAACAATGCGCTTGAATTACCATAATTTAAGTTGAATGAATTCTTAAAAAAAATAATTTCAAGCGTTGATGCTGCCATGTTTGCACACACAACAGCAGGAACATGTTGTTAATGCGTATGCATAGAAATGTCAACAATGCCAATATTTGGGCATATATCAATATTCATGCGCAACCAGATGTGCAACCGGTTTCAGTTTGATCTGTCAACGAAAGAAAGTTTTTATGTATTTTACACTTAAATACATATTTTTACATGGGTAATAAATAAAATACCACACTCATTCTCGTTAGATACAATTTTTACGAAACTCGTGAACATTCAATGATAACATAGAAAGTCCACTCGTTTTGTAAAAAATGGTATCCAACGAGAATGATTGTAGTTTTCTCTATATATCTCGCTTGTACCAACAATTTAGAAGCTTCCCCTCTGATTGGCTAATTAGAATGTCCACCTGACGTCACCACCTTTGTCCTGACGTCATGTCCTATGAGGGGCTTTGTCAGATCTTGAAGAAAGTTAAATAGCGGATCGGAGTAAAAGATCAGAGTTTTAAATCTACAAATTTGCTGCTTTATCATTGCGACCTGCACATAAATTAGGTAGGGACAGTTCAGGGTTCCCTCCCTTAGACGTGCCAGGAACCTATGAAACCCCAGGTTTACCTATGATTCTGAGTTTGGCGTTGGTTTCCACAAAGTGGTAACCGTCTGAGACCTGCTCGATTTCGGATTTTCTCCCACATAAAACTGACACACTGTGATATGGCTGAAACAGTGTCCAAAACTGCGTTAGTGAGTGAGTGTGGTTTTACGCCGCTTTCAGAAATATTCCAGCAATATCACGGCGGGGGACACCAGAAAAATGGGTTTCACACATTGGACCCATGTCGGGAATCGAACACTGTCTTCGGCGTGACGAGCGAACGATGTAACCACTAAGCTACCCGACCGCCCCTCAAAACTGCGTTAAACCTACTGTGACTCACTCACTCTTCATTGGGTTCGAATCCCAGATTCGCCTCGAGTAAGATCCGCGGTCTACCAAAGTGGTAAACGTCTAAAACCTCCTCTATTTCCAACAACATTAAAGACCCTTGAGGACGCCAGAAACCTATAATACTGGGTTCGAACCCGGTTTGCCCCCGTCTGTCAGCACCATACCCGTGCTCATGGGTTTCACCAAAGTGGTAAACGGCTGAGACCTGCATGACTTCAGGCTTTACTTTCACACGAAGCACATATATAGTGTTCAAAGCGGCGTTAACTCCAACTCACTCACTCACTCCTTCAACAGTAATATTAGCTGACATGGCGTTGTATAACTGATAACTGATGAAAGCATAGTAACGCATCACATATAGGTGAACGGTATAAATGGCCATTAGAAGTCGAGGGCACGGGTAGCCCAGTCGTTAAAGGCGCTGCAAGAGTTGCGTCCCTTGGGCACGCCCGAAACCTATCATCGTGGGTTCGAATCCTGGATCGCCTTGATTATGTTTCTAGGTTTGTAAGCTCCCCACCCGAGACCTGCAGCATTTCGGGCTTTCCTCCCTTAGTAAGCTGACAGGCCGTCACATTACTGGAATACTGTTCAAAACTCATTTACTCACTATCGCAAGTGTCAATTATCGATAGACAACCAATGGGGCAATGCCAAAAAGTGTATTCAACATTGTATAATGATATATACATGACTAACTCGAGCATTTCCTGAAAGAATCAGTTTCAGAGACGACTGATGTACAGTCCACCCTGGTTATAATGAAACGGAAAATATCGCATTATAACCAGGGTGGACAGTACATGAATACAAAAGATAAGTAACCTACAAATATCACGCCCGTCACCAGTCGTACAATTCCGGAATTAATCGGATGACATCGGCACGGAACGTATGGCCATGACCGTCCTCGACGGCAGCTAGTAATGCGGCCATGTTTTGATGAGCTCCCAGAGTTTCTGGCCGGGACAAGCGGTCTGGTTTTCGGGCATGTCGCGGTGACCTCGTAGAATGTAAGTGGAGGAGATCTTGCCGTTGCTGACGCCGCAGTTAATCAGTTGTTTCAGAGTATTCAGGGCCGCCTGGTTGGGAAGTCTCTCCATGAAGTTGCCAATAACGCAGATGCCTGTCAAGGGGGACAAATGCAAGGTATCTATGTCAGGTTAGAGACAAAACAACAAACTTAAAGTCGTGTTTGTTTATTGTTTAACGCTGCAGCTAGCATGGGCGGATACAGAGGGGGTGCGCCCCCCCCCCCCCCCCCCCCCCCCTTTTTTTTAATTTCGAAAAAATCTTTTTTTCTGTATAAATTACCACCAAAGACAATAAATAGATCTTAATTGTGCACCCCACCCCCCCACCCCCAACTAGATCACTGAGATCCTCGTCATCGGCTACAATGGTTCACAAAGTCAGTTCTAGTCTGTCTGTCTGTCTGTTTAATGTTTAACGCCGCACTCAGCAATATTCCAGCAATATGGCGGCGGTCTGAAAATAACCGAGTCTGGACCAGACAATCCAGTGATTGACATCATGAGCCTCGATCTACGCAATTGGGATCGATGACATGCATCAACCAAGTCAGCGAGCCTGACCACCCGATCCTGTTCGTCGCCTCTTACGACAAGCATAATCGCCTATTGCGGCAAGCATGGGTTGCTGAAGACCTATTCTACCCCGGATCTTCACGGGTCCAATTCTAATCGACATGCATGAGGCACAATGAGCTTTTTCTCATCGGCAGTCGCCATTAAGGTGGAATCTATCATCCGTGTGAGTGAGTGAATGCGATTTTATGCCGCTTTTAGCAATACATTTGTATTCCAGCAATATCACGGCGAGGGACGCCAGAAATGGGCTTCACACGTTGTACCCAAATGGGGAATCGAACCCAGTACTTCGGCGTGACGAACGAACGCTTTAACCACTGGGCTACCCCACCACCGCTCATCACTTTAGGGGTTGTATTTGGTCATGGTTCCCTGAAATACATACCGAGGCCGACGCTGTTGTAGCCGTAGGTATGGGCGCCGATGGTGTCCCATCCTCTTGCTTCGTAGGCGTGGCCGTCTTCGCCGACTACGAAGCTGTAGCCAATGTCGGGCCAACCTGCAATAACAACGTCCTAGTCCTTGTAACAGTGAGTGAGGTGTTCTCACCGCCGCTAATAACAGAATGTTACGTTAATCTCAATTTGAGAAGTGGCCTGGACTTTAATTGGGTAAATGTGCACTCAGCAATATTCCAGCCATATGACGGCGGTCTGTAAATAATCGAGTCTGGACCAGACAATCCAGTGACTGATATCATGAGCATCGATCCACGCAATTGGGATCGATGACATGCATCAACCAAGTCAGCGAGCCTGACCACCCGATCCCGTTAGTCGCCTCTTACGACAAGCATAGTCGCATTTTACGGCAAGCATAGGTTGCTGAAGATCTATTCTACCCCGGATCTTCACGGGTCCTGTTAAGACAGGAATCATACAGGGCTCGAACCCATGACAACAGGATCCTGCCATTAGGTCAGCCATGCGCATGTTAAAGTGGTGGAAGAAAGTCTCGTGCAGGGACGCATGGTACAGAGGTTAAGAGTAAGTGAGTGAGGGTTTTAACCACTAGACTACCCCGCTGCCCATGAAGGTAAGAAATTTGATTTGGATGGGAAATGACAACGGTTATAAATCAAAATGTTTTACTATATATCCTGAAGTTTCTGAAACATCTGTCAAATATTTGTCGAGCACCAAGTGATTTATGCACAGTTACTTCATTCACAATAAGCGTTAGAACATCTTTGTACAGGCAACAGTTTTACCTATTTGTGCGGACCCCGGATGACACTATGGGTTTGTGTATCTGAACCATAGCCCGAAAGGACCTGTAGCTTACCTACCTAGTCGAATAAACGATGCCTTTGTATCGACGGTCAGAAATTCCTTAGGACAAACTGGAGTCAAGGTATACGTGGTACAACTCTGTCGATCTTCCCGTATCAACTCTGCTTCAAACTTTTACTAGCTTTTACTTTTATATTGTTTTCAACTCATAGTTTTCGTTTTTCATAATATCAACAAACATGTTGTTTGTTATATAATTACATTAACAAATCATATCTGTATTTTCATTGGTTGAGAAAGGGTCACATGGCCTCCTTTAGAACACGATATTGCCCTGAGACACAAAGAAGAGAAACATTTACAGCCAAACAGCGAGAGCGAAAAATTTGAATTTTGTTTTTTTATATTATACATTAAAACTATTATTGACCACTATTCGAGCAATATCATTTTTTTATGGACCCCAGAAAACTGACACTGACCTCGGTCTCTGGCCTTCAGTTTCATGGGTCCATGAATATGACAATGTCCCCATGGATGGTCAATAATTGATACTTATTTCCTACAAGTCACGATATAGTGAAGGTTATGTTAATTACCGTGTGTGTCCATGTGATACTTCTGATACGACAGGACCTCGGCCTTGCAAGCAGCCTCGTTATAACACGGGGCGGTGGCACCGTGGTGAACAAAGACATACTTCGGAGTGACCCCCATCTTGCCGATGACGTATTTAGGTGAGCGTGCACCCCATTCAGCACGTGTGATGATGTGCGGGCAACCGCTCAGCTGAAGAACGTTATTATGAGCTAGAAATAAACGCAGAGATTAAGTATTTAAGGGAATGTTATTTTACGACCCAGACTGAATTATCCAGCTACAACCAACCTTGCCGTCGGGGTCATCGCTAACCAACCTTGCCGTCGGGGTCATCGCTAACCAACCTTGCCGTCGGGGTCATCGCTAACCAACCTTGCCATCGGGGTCATCGCTCACCAACTTTGCCGTCGAGATCTTCGCTAACCAACCTTGCCGTCGGGGTCATCGCTAACCAACCTTGCCGTCGGGGTCATCGCTAACCAACCTTGCCGTCGAGGTCATCGCTAACCAACCTTGCCGTCGGGGTCATCGCTAACCAGCCTTGCCGTCGGGGTCATCGCTAACCAACCTTGCCGTCGGGGTCATCGCTAACCAACCTTGCCGTCGAGGTCATCGCTAACCAACCTTGCCGTCGAGGTCATCGCTAACCAACCTTGCCGTCGAGGTCATCGCTAACCAGCCTTGCCGTCGGGGCCATCGCTAACCAGCCTTGCCGTCGGGGTCATCGCTAACCAACCTTGCCGTCGGGGTCTTCGCTAACCAGCCTTGCCGTCGAGGTCATCGCTAACCAACCTTGCCGTCGAGGTCATCGATAACCAACCTTGCCGTCGGGGTCATCGCTAACCAACCTTGCCGTCGAGGTCTTCGCTAGCCAAGTCGCACAATAACAACAGGCAATATATAGTGTAAAGTTAGTAGGGTCTTTCGTCACTCATTGGTTACTGGGTACCGAATCTGCGCCTGCGCACCGTTCCTCAAAACGCTAAGGTGATCAGAACTACTTTAATATCGACTTACGACAGTCGTAGCGCTACCCATCGCTTCGTGGAATAGGCACTGCCCAAGGTGTCGTTTCAAAAAGCAGTCGTACGTCTTACGTATGTGTAATACTAGCGTAACTTGGAAATACTGAACTTGTGGTTTAACAAAGCTTGTGTAATATTACATACGTGTACAATTGTGAGGTGGCTGCGGGTTACGGCAGTTTCATTGTGGTGTTAGACCATGGCGTACACTTAACGCAAATGCAGCGAAAGTTCTAAGAGCGTGTAAATTATTGACGGTCCATTGAAACGAACCCCTGCAGAAATTTTCCACTGGGCCCCGTCCGCTAAGGGATCGTAGCCCTTTGACGATAGCAACTCCTATACTTTAACATAGACTTGCGACAGTCGTAGCGCTAAGATCGCTTTGTGGAACGGTGCCATGCTGTTTATGTCCATTCGTTGTCAATGTGGCACCTATCCAGTGATGGTAACTGTCCTAACGGAACTCGTTAACTAGACTGGGCATGGACGCTACCTTACCCCCACATGGATGAATGTTGAGCCAGTTGACCGCGGCATAACCATCCTGAAGTGTACAAAGCAAGGTCAGATATTACACTGCAACACTGTTAAACGAAGAACAGAATGTCAGCAATGGACCATCGGGATTAGAGATATTTTATTATGCAGCATTTTATCACAAGAAGCAGTTACCGATGGTTCAGACTTTCAGTAAGCGATACCGCACACTGTCAGAGAGTTTGGCATAACGCCGCTGTATACAACAGTAGTTGTTGTGTTTCGGTGTGTCAGTTGCATGTGGGAGAAAAAGCTCGAAATGATGCATTCATTTACTACTTTGATGAAACCCACGAGGTCGGTGCTGACAAACTGAGAAAAAAGGGAGGAGCATGTTCTAAAAAAAGCGGTTAGAAAGCTGACTCGAACGGCATCAGGCAACCATTCCCGAAATGATAGCTTGAAATGTAACGATTCAAAATGGTGATATTGATGGAATACTGCTCAAAGTGGCGTAAAACCATCTTCACTCACTCATTCGCTCACTCACTCACTCACTCACTCACTCTCTCTCTCACCCACCCACCCACCCACCCACTCACTCACTCACTCACTCACTCCAGTTGAATTAGCAAAGCGGTGTTAACGTTCATAGATCCTTTGTAGAATTTCGGCCTGCCTTCTAAGTGTCAAAAAGGGGCGGTCGGGTAGCCTAGTGGTTAAAGCGTTCGCTCGTCACGCCGAAGACCCGGGTTCGATTCCCGACATGTGTACAATGTGTGAAGCCCATTTCTGGTGTCCCCCGCCGTGATATTGCTGGAATATTGCTAAAAGCGGCGTAAAACCATACTCAGTCAGTCAGTCAGTCAGTCTAAGTGTCAAACCATTTCTTGACGTCCCCAGTCGAAACACAGCCGGAATGCTGCTTAAAGCTAATGTTCAACCAAAATCAACTGAATCACCTTTCCGTTGTAGTCGACGTGTGCCCAGGTGTAGCCATCGGCCACCTGCCGGTCACCCTTGAAGGTCACGCACTGACCGTTTGTCATGGTTCCGATGATAGGAGAGTTGAGGCTGTGGCCGGAACGCACGTGCAAGCCATATGTGGCGCATGCGCAATCTGCCGCTTCAGAGCGTGGTGCCAATAATACCAACAGGAGGCATCCGAAAAATGACTTCATCCTTGCTTTAAAAAAAAGTACATATAGAGCGTTGTTAAAACAACAAGACAATGTATTTAGACAGGTTTACTTAACAAATAACTACCGTTTTTTACCGAAAATAATTTTGACAGAGGTAAGTTCACTATGGCAGTGGTATTGCAGTGGTAAAGTCACTATCGCAGTGGTTTGGCAGTGGTAAAGTCACTATCGCAGTGGTTTGGCAGTGGTAAAGTCACTATCGCAGTGGTTTTGCAGTGGTAAAGATACTATCGCAGTGGTATTGCAGTGGTAAAGTCACTATGGCAGTGGTTTGGCAGTGGTAAAGTCACTATGGCAGTGGTTTGGCAGTGGTAAAGTCACTATGGCAGTGGTTTGGCAGTGGTAAAGTCAATATCTATGTGAGTGTTGTTTCAGTACAAACGACTTAGAATTATTCTGCTTAATGAATTTTGACAATTAACAAAAAAAACGAATTCTAATTGAACCTAATGCTTAGTTATTGCACTGTAAAGTTCAAGTATAAACAGTTAAGTTTAGGGTCAAGTAAAATGACAGGATAGCCTGCCCCAAATCGGGAAGCTATGCTCTGGACAACGCTGAAATGCCTTGTAACTGATGCTTGTCACCAGCTTCAAGTCTTTCAATAGCGCTATTTCTCGCTTTATGATTGAAGCTTTGCATGGCGGTTTTCAAAATTTACTTCGTTAACTAAATGATTTCTGAAAACGTTACGTATCATAAACATACCGAAGAAACCTGTACACAAAAATTCACCAACTGCTGTTCAATTTCCAAGGACGCGAATCATGCAAACGTCAAAGGTCAACGACAATTAACTCGTTTTCAGTGACAGTTTATAAGTGAAAAAGGACATGTTGACACAAATTGTACATTTGAAAATATTGTTACCACCTATTCGGTTTTCTTTAGCTGTGGTGGTGGTGGTTAAGGGAGACAACTCTGTCTGAAGTATGTCATCAGTGGCGTAAAACGTCTATTGCCAACACGTACGTTTTCAGGGTAACTGGGAAAAATATTGTAGCGGGCGAACCGATCGCGAAAGGCAATCATAGTAAGGTTTGGCTTTAAAAAATAAGGGAAGCTACTCTAGTCGGGGATAAACCACCACCCTTTTGCACGTGCAGGTTCGGGTTAGTAAAAGCAGCCACTCGTAAACGTGTGCGCACGTCGCTAAATTTGTGAAGATCTCTCAGACGTTTAGGGCGGTGGGGTAGCCTAGTGGTTAAAACCTTCGCTCGTCACGCCGAAGACCCGGGCTCGATTCCGTACATAGGTACAATGTGTGAAGCCCATTTCTGGTGTCCCCCCGCCGTGATATTGCTAAAAGTGGCGTAAAACCATACTCACTCACTCTCGCTATGGTGAAACCCCCAAGCACGCGTATGGCGTTGTATTTGACAAGCAAAGCTAAAGGTTTGATATATATACTTTCAGTTAAAAATTTCATATTTCACAATTGCATAATGAAAGGTGCAGATATTTTTAATACATACCTTATTTTCAGAAAATATATATGACAAGATAGATATACGCAGGATCCTTCAAAACTTTACCTTACTGCCAGTGTGGTTAGAGGTCAGCGTAAAGATAAAGGGTTGTTTATCAAATAGTTCTCAAACTGATTCAAGGAGTGTCTCTATCTGCTGCCATGGTCCACTATCACGACCAGGCATCGGAGAAATAAAGACATAATCACACCGCTGGACAAGGAAACCCAACGAACTCAAATATTTGACGACTTGTCTGAAGATCGAGACAAGCGTAGTTCCTATAAGAGAACATATATCATTTAAAGATTCTGTCGGAATTGACTCACATTGACTTCAACTACACTAAGCCCAAACTACATCATGGTTAGAATTAGTTTAGTCTTAGGCCGTTTTGATTTTTTTTCAGTTGTATCAGTGAGTATGGTTTTATTCAATATTCAAACAATATCAGCGCTGTGACAACGGAAATGGGCATCATAAATGTACCTACTTGGGTAATCGAACTCGAAGTGACAAGCGAAAACCTTAACCACTGGGCTACCCCAATCTCCCAGCTATATCTGCAGCATGTCTCTGTAATGTCTGCAGCATGTCTCTGCAGTGTTTGCAGCATGTCTCTGTAGTGTCTGCAACATGTCTCTGTAGTGTCTGCAGCATGTCTCTGTAATGTCTGCAGCATGTCTCTGTAGTGTCTGCAGCATGTCTCTGTAGTGCCTGCAGCGTGTCTCTGTAGTGTATGCAGCATGTCTCTGTAGTGTCTGCAGCATGTCTCTGTAATGTCTGCAGCATGTCTCCGTAATGTCTGCAGCATGTCTCTGTAGTGTCTGCATCATGTCTCTGTAGTGTCTGCAGCATGTCTCTGTAGTGTCTGCAGCATGTCTCTGTAGTGTCTGCAGCATGTCTCTGTAATGTCTGCAGCATTCTCTGTAGTGTCTGCAGCATGTCTCTGTAATGTCTGCAGCATGTCTCTGTAGTGTCTGCAGCATGTCTCTGTAGTGCCTGCAGCATGTCTCTGTAGTGTCTGCAGCATGTCTCTGTAGTGTCTGCAGCATGTCTCTGCAGTTTCTGCAGCATGTCTCTGTAATGTCTGCAGCATGTCTGTAGTGTCTGCAGCATGTCTCTGTAGTGTCTGCAGCATGTCTCTGTAATGTCTGCAGCATGACTCTGTAGTATCTGGAGCGTGTCTCTGTAATGTCTGCAGCATGTCTCTGTAGTGTCTGCAGCATGTCTCTGTAGTATCTGCAGCATGTCTCTGTAGTGTCTGCAGCATGTCTCTGTAGTGTCTGCAGCATGTCTCTGTAATGTCTGCAGCATGTCTCTGTAATGTCTGCAGCATGTCTCTGTAATGTCTGCAGCATGTCTCTGTAGTGTCTGCAGCATGTCTCTGTAGTGTCTGCAGCATGTCTCTGTAGTGTCCGCAGCATGTCTCTGTAATGTCTGCAGCATTCTCTGTAGTGTCTGCAGCATGTCTCTGTAGTGTCTGCAGCATGTCTCTGTAGTGCCTGCAGCATGTCTCTGTAGTGTCTGCAGCATGTCTCTGTAGTTTCTGCAGCATGTCTCTGTAATGTCTGCAGCATGTCTGTAGTGTCTGCAGCATGTCTCTGTAGTGTCTGCAGCATATCTCTGTAATGTCTGCAGCATGTCTCTGTAGTGTCTGCAGCATGTCTCTGTAATGTCTGCAGCATGTCTCTGTAGTGTCTGCAGCATGTCTCTGTAATGTCTGCAGCATGTCTCTGTAGTGTCTGCAGCATGTCTCTGTAGTTTCTGCAGCATGTCTCTGTAATGTCTGCAGCATGTCTCTGTAGTGTCTGCAGCATATCTCTGTAGTGTCTGCAGCATGTCTCTGTAGTGTCTGCAGCATTTTTCTGTACAGTCTGCAGCATGTCTCTGTAATGTCTGCAGCATGTCTGTGTAATGTCTGCAGCATGTCTCTGTAGTGTCTGCAGCATGTCTCTGTAGTATCTGCAGCATGACTCTGTAGTATCTGGAGCATGTCTCTGTAATGTCTGCAGCATGTCTCTGTAGTGTCTGCAGCATGTCTCTGTAGTGTCTGCAGCATGTCTCTGTAGTGTCTGCAGCATTTCTCTGTAATGTCTGCAGCATGTCTCTGTAGTGTCTGCAGCATATCTCTGTAATGTCTGCAGCATGTCTCTGTAGTGTCTGCAGCATGTCTCTGTAATGTCTGCAGCATGTCTCTGTAGTATCTGCAGCATGTCTCTGTAGTGTCTGCAGCATGTCTCTGTAGTGTCTGCAGCATGTCTCTGTAGTATCTGCAGCATGTCTCTGTAGTGTCTGCAGCATGTCTCTGTAGTATCTGCAGCATGTCTCTGTAATGTCTGCAGCATGTCTCTGTAGTATCTGCAGCATGTCTCTGTAGTGTCTGCAGCATGTCTCTGTAGTGTCTGCAGCATGTCTCTGTAATGTCTGCAGCATGTCTCTGTAGTGTCTGCAGCATGTCTCTGTAGTGTCTGCAGCATGACTCTGTAGTGTCTGCAGCATGTCTCTGTAATGTCTGCAGCATGTCTCTGTAGTGTCTGCAGCATGTCTGTAGTGTCTGCAGCATGTCTCTGTAGTGTCTGCAGCATGTCTCTGTAGTGTCTGCAGCATGTCTCTGTAGTGTCTGCAGCATGTTTCTGTAGTATCTGCAGCATGTTTCAGGGACAATACCTGAAGTAACATACATTGTTGTTATTGTTCACTGGCAGCTGACGCCTCCATTGTCTAGAGTGAGTGAGTTTGATTTTACGCCACTTTTAGCAATATTCCAGCAATATCATGGAGGGGACACCAGAAATGGGCTTCACACATTGTACCCGTGTGGGGAATCGAACCCAGGTCTTTGGCATGACAAGCAAACGCTTTCACCACTACATTGGGTATGAATGCTGACATGGGTTAATCTTCAGTCTATTTTTGATGTTCCCATGGCAATATTGTCAAAAGCTGTGTGAAACTATTCTTGCATCCCCTGGATCTTGTGTCGATAGGGAAAACTGTGCCACTCACAACTCAAACACATTTAACCAAGAAAGTTTCTACTCTCAAAAATGTTTTATTCTCCATCATGTAACACATTGAAAATAACAATTCTCACAGGCACTTAATGCAAAATATGAAAATATATCACATATGAAGTTATACCTGTGTGATCCTTAAAGCTTAACAATCTGCATCAAGTGCTTGTGCCCTCAGATGCTTCTGAACATTCTTTGTCTTGTTTGTTTGTTGTTTAACACCACACTCAGCAATATTCCAGCCATATGGTGGCGGTCTGTAAATAATCGAGTCTGGACCAGACAATTCAGTGAACGACATCATGAGCATCAATCCACACAATTGGGATACGATGACATGCATCAACCAAGTCAGCAAGCCTGACCACCCGATCCCAGTGCTTCTGAACAAGCCTGCATAAACTACTCAAAAGAGTTAAAGAACACCTGATTTGTTCATATTACAATAGTTAATCTGTCAGCAGCTTTCTCTGTACAAGCCAGTGCCTTGGCCTGCTCCACTAGAAAGGCAGCCTTTGTAATTCATTCATACAAGTGCAAAATCATCTCCACCAGAAGCACTCACACAGGATAACATGAAACCCTCATCAAGCCCTTACAGCAAACAATTTCATATATAGCATATTCAACATTTTATATCTGACCATACATATAAAATACTAGTTCTGATAGGTTAAGGACTGGCAGTTATATTCCATGCAGCCCGCTCATGCTGTCCGCCGAAAAGTCAATCGAACACATCGTAGGTAACTTGCATATCTCGAATAAGTATCGTTGAGCTGAAATGAACTGATGTTTATCCAAATGCATTGGTTAAAGGGAAGTAACTCGGTTTCTTTGTGTCATCTGCTATGAGTTATGCTTATTCAGAGAAACTGCGGACAAATATTGTGTGAGCCTGACAGCCTGGGGTATATAGGGTGATGTACCCTGTGTGTGAGCCTGACAGCCCTGGGTATATAGGATCACACACAGGGTACATCACACCATATACCCCTCGAACTCGGTTGACAACTTATATTCCCTATGATTCCCCATAGGTCAGATCTTTCAAATGTTTTACCAGACCGACATCCTGCAAGACTTCACAGTGGTAGAGACAGGCACAGTTTTAAACAGAGTGATGTCTGAAAGATGTCTGTTTTCTTGTATTTCAAGATGACTGTTGACAACGCAAGGCACCAATACACAAGGATCATCGGATGGGTACTGAGTAGGACCTGGGTACCCACAGGACTACCTGGACCCATGGTTAGTCATGGGATATATTGTTTAATTACAATAACAATTAATGACCAAAATGTTTGTACCTATCTCTGGAGACCTACAGCGGGTACCTGGGTAGGGTTGGGTAATAGGGGATTGGGTACCCAATTCATCCCAGCCCTACTGTAAACAATGCCAAACTTCTTGAAAATACTGTAGAACTCTATGGTTGCACTAATGTTTGCATTTCTTCCTGACTATGCACACATTCCTTCTGACTTTATATGTTTGAATAAAGATAAAACTTCAGTCAACACTGGCAATGTTCAAGACTGTGATGGAGGGAAGAGACACGCTCATGGGAGACTGGTCAAAAAGTTACAATTATTGCATTGTCATTTTGTCATAAACACATCTACAATAAAAATTCATGACACAAAACCCTCACATGAACTACGTTCACACAAAATAAAAACATGAATTTATTATATACATATATATCTCTGCACAGATATTAGGCACGAATGTCAGCGTGTGGCAACTTGATTCTGATCATCTATCAGAGGTATCAAACCACAATAACATACCTTTATTATTTGGATGATTTACCAAGTACACACGCATAGGCACAAAGGTGCAACTTAGTGAATGACCTTCCAATCACATTTGATTCTGTTCATACATATCTTCGACTGATTTATGGTTGATGCTTCAGAAAATCATTAGACTCTGAGAGAGGGAGAGAAAGAGAGAGGAAGGGAGGGAGAGAGAGAGAGAGAGGAAGGGAGAGAGAGAGAGAGTTTAAAGATATGAGATGAAAAGTGGTATGGCAATGAAGTGTAAATTACTATTTACTTATGTTGCATGTATAAATCTTCACATCATCTTAAATCCTTTTTTCCTCAAACTTACTTGAAGTGTAATATGTTTTGGTTTGGCATCTAGTCATTCCTGATGATGATACATGTCTTTAACACGAGTGTTTTTGTATGATGCATTGTACCATGTATGTTATTGCATAGAATTATGTGTTGTAACAAGTATTGTACCACGTATGTTATTGCATAAAAACATGTCTTGTATCAAGTATTGTATCAAGTATTGTACCATGTATGTTATTGCATAGAATCATGTCTTGTATCAAGTATTGTATCAAGTATTGTACCATGTATGTTATTGCATAGAATCATGTCTTGTACCAAGTTTTGTATCAAGTATTGTACCACGTATGTTATTGCTTAGAATCATGTCTTGTATCAAGTATTGTATCAAGTATTGTACCATGTATGTTATTGCATAGAATCATGTCTTGTATCAAGTATTGTACCACGTATGTTATTGCATAGAATCATGTCTTGTATCAAGTATTTATTGTACCACGTATGTTATTGCATAGAATCATGTGTTGTATCAAGTATTGTATTAAGTATTGTACCACGTATGTTATTGCACAGAATCATGTATTGTATCAAGTATTGTACCACGTATGTTATTGCATAGAACCATGTCTTGTATCAAGTATTTATTGTACCACATATTTTATTGCATAGAATCATGTCTTGTATCAAGTATTGTACCACGTATGTTATTGCATAGAATCATGTCTTGTATCAAGTATTTATTGTACCACGTATGTTATTGCATAGAATCATGTCTTGTATCCACTACTGTATCATGCGTCGTATCACAAACTTACATTCAAGACTTGTAACCTACCCATGATAAAGTGTATGACAAGAGCTCTAACACAATAAGCATATCAATAAGATGATCAACAGTCTCTGACATAAACTGGATGAAACTCCTTAAAATCTAGGATAGATGTAAACAGACACCATTCTCAATACTTTCTCATTAACATACAAAAATGACAAAATAAATATATTTGTAGATTATTTGAGAACATCCCTACAGGAGAGTCCATCAGTTGTACTAATGGAAACATAGTAAGTCATCAAACACCCCTATGGTGATATAATGAGAACTACCCAAATGACCCAGATAATATGGATATGCATATTACACAAAGTCAGACATTGTTACCATTCCACATATCTGTTCCCTCTATTCCATATAAGGCAAAATGCAAATCTTCCCACAAATGTAAACTGCCGGGCAAAAGAAAGCATACACCCATGTTTGATGGTGGCGAAAAATAAAACAAACAAGAAATGGCAATTCGATGGTGATGTATTTTATATGGGTATCATAGTTGTCTTTTGGACCTCAAGTTTGCAGTGTTTCGGCAACTGTTTTCAGCATAGTAACACTTTGAAAACATTTGTAATTTTGGGGCTGAATACAATTTTCAAGTGTATACTTTCTTTAGCCTGGCAGCTTATTAAGAATGACAGACATGTACGGTCAACATGATGAGTATACTGATGGCAAGAAATAAGGGAACATATAGAAATGATGTCATGTGACATCCTATGGTTGAATGACGATAACCAGATGTTCCAATTCATATCCTGTCACATCACAAACTTATCAATGTTAATTGTTGTTGGAGTGATACATACTTATTCCCAGCAGTAAGTTCGTGTCTATTGTCCTATGTTCCCTTAATTCTTTTCTTGAGTATCTAGACATGAGCATGTATCAGTACCAAACACACAATGTTCCATATGGATTATACAGGTTTTAGATGAAACAAAAAAAGATGAAAGTGACAGTCTCTGTGGTTTATGTTCATAAGAAAATATATTTTATTACATATATTCATACACATATGTATCTTACAAGCAATGAGGCAGCCATGTTGGACTCATCTCCCGAAGGAAAGAACGTCAACTAGCCTTTTTATCAAAGTCTTGCCACATCAAGCCCACTTTCCTGTGCTGATTCTGATTGGACTATCACACATATTGATAGTCCAATCAGAGAACGTTTTACAAAATCAACATTCACGACTGGTACAACTTCGTATGAAAGTGATTTAAAACTGGAATATGTTTTTTTATCTTTAAAACCCTCCAACGATTGTCTATGTTTTTCTGTCATGGATGAAATCGCGAAAGTTTTCGTTGTCTGATCGACTTGGTCGTCTCCATCTTTGGTGAAGCTATACAAGATAAGAACAGTGATCTGATTGGATATCACATTTTATTACAAGTGGCACAACTTGTGATCTACGCGAGGTGGCTCCAGGGTCGAACCAAGGAAAGTGGCCTTGATGTGTCAAGGGTAGAAACTAGGCAAGTGGACAAGCTTGCCTCGTGAAGATGTGTTGGACTATGTATCAGCTGTCCTCTGTCCTCTGTCCTCACCAATCACACAGGTACTCTCTCTCGGCAACACAAGCACAAATTACATGTTCATCATAATGCCATGGTCTTTACAACATAATAAATCCCCTGATAATTGCCCCATTTGAGATCTTGCTACAGTAAACTGTTACTTCAGGAACTAATGGCTTCAATGCCTCACCCCTATCCTGTCAGTACAGTCTGGAACCTAGTTCCATTGCAGGAGTTGCCAGATCCTGAACCAAACAGGAAACACAATCCAACATGACAGACTTCCGGAAAAGCCCATAATCAGCAGTTTTTTTCAGCAGATCATGACCTCAATAACAAAAATAAATAAATAAATGAAACGTGTGTGAGAGAGTACATATTGGAATATCTGAGGCCCCGTAACCCTCACTAGCGCCCACTCCAAGCAGAAATTGTTACTAATAAATTCAGGAAGCACTGATAGGTTTTCAGTTGAGCTTTGACTAGAGGTCTAGGAGATTATTTGTCACAGTGCTTCTTGAATAAGTTTGATTTGTTTGTTGTTTAAAGCCGCACTCAGCTATTTTACAGCTATACGACGGCAGTCAGTAAACCAGACAATCCAATGATTGACATCATGAGCATCGATCAACGCAAATGCAATACAATGAAATGCAGCAACGAAGTCAGCAAGACTGACCCCCAAACCCGTTTGTGCGTCTTAATACAAGCATGGGTTCAATTCTAACCTGGAATCTTCACAGGATCTTTTGAATAAGTATGTCTTGATGTTCTTCTTAAAGTATTTAAGGCGTAGCAGCCTAATGGGCAAGTGTGATGTCATTCACTTGAGTTCACTCCCTCCCCACACCTGCTAGTCCTTCTGCACAGGTCTCCCTGCTATCGTTACTTAGACAACTCTTCGCATCCCTCAACCTCAGAAGCTACAGCTCCAGTGTAAACACTGACATTTCTCACTAACCAGTGATTCATGTGCTGTCCGCGAATTATATATTCTGTATATGACCTCATCAAAACACAACCATTAACTAAAACAAGGATCTAATCACTTTACCAGACGGTTTTAGCAAAGCTCTACAATAAACCAGTCTGGCTATCACTCATCAGTGATTGACAAATACCTGGATTTGTGCCATAGCTTTATTTGAGTGCGTACGGTTTGATGGAATAAACACGTTTACATTGTGCTGGGATTGCAAGGAGACATGGATTTCATATTCTTTATTGTTTCAATGTCATTTACATCAGATCTTAGTGCTTGCTATTGCACTTGCATGTGTATGTCTGTTTGTACTAGTCTGGACTAATGCCGATTTTTGTAGTGCTAGCTCACTGAGATACCATGCTGCAGTTTAACATGAATACCCAACTCAGACACAGTATACTCAGACTCTGAGCCAACAAGTCCTTGCTTTAGCCCCTTAATGCCGAGCGCCAGGCAGGGTTACAAGCACCGGGTTTTAACGTCTTTTGGTACGATGAGGATGGGGATCAAACTCCCAACCTCCGACACTCCGGGTGGACGCTCTACAACTGGACCACTGGGGCGGCCCCACGAACATTGACCGACCAATGAAATGACAAGAAGTTGACATTAGCCAGTGTATTAGCCAATCAGAATGCAGCTTTCTCGAGCCTTACAGCACTTGTTTCAAACTAATGACGTCCATTCCAGTATAAGCTTTGAAAAATACCGATTCAAGTTTTGAAAACTGAACAAAAGAAAATTCTTGAATGTCTAATAGATGGCCAATAGTGTATAGGAGTGACTCCCCATGTTTATCCCGCTGAATGAAGTGAAAGACGATGATTTTGACAGAATCAGTCATACAACACATTTGGAATACCCTGTGTTAACCTTTTTGAGGTTGCATGATAAGGAAACACTTTCTGAATGTCACTTTCCTGATCTGGTAAGAGAGAGTCTGACTGGTCGGATGAAAGGTCATTCTGATGTAAACCATAATGGGATGTCCTCAGATCTTTGTTTAGTGGTAGCGAGCACGAAGATCTGATTATAATGAGACTGATATTGTTTCAGTGTGAAATTTCGGTTCAGATGCTTATACCTGTATCAAGCAGGTATAAGATACAGGTATCTGCACTAAAACATCGCCATGGGGTTCAGGTGTATGAACACGGCAACGTCATGGCGATGACAGCATCGTTTACATTCTGGACAAGCCATTTAATGCTGATTGGCTGATTGGAAATTCAGCTATGTGACGTTCTGAGGAGTGAAAAAATGGTCTCATTTGCAAAGGTTATCGTAGTGCTTAGGTGATCATAACTCCCATACTTTAATATACACTTACGACATTTGAAGAGCTATGATCGCTTTCAGAAATGGGACACAGATTTTAATGAGATACGGGTAATAATGCGATCATGTGTCCATACTGTACTCCAAGCAATCTAAACTGCTTCAGTGAGCATTAACAAAAGCATTGCTCTCTCAAGCACGCTTATTCCATCAAATGCACTATCCTAGTATTGGTAACCTGGACGCAGTCATCATATGTTTCACATACATATTCAGTGGAACTGAATTCTCAATAAATAACCTTTCATAACCATCCCTCAAATGCTGACAGCTTCAAACTTCCACTTCTGCGAGTCTCCTCCATTACATGGGTTTACGATGACGGTCCCGCCAGAACTGAGATTAACTCTGTCTAAACACTTGCCAGACTTGTCCTGGATGATTGTGCCTTGGTCCTGGAATACAAACATACAAATATGGTGAAAAACTTTGAAGCAAGGGTTTATGGGTAATAATATTTACAAGATCATTAGCTAATCAGAAAGCAGCTCTCTTGAGGTTTAGGATTATTTTTGGTGGTTCTCAATCAATGGCTTCTGAAAATAGAGTGAGGGCAGGCGGTGTGTTGTTTTGTTGGTTTCGGTTTTTTTTATTTGGGTTGGTGGGGTGGGGTGTTCAAACTAGTATGTAAATAAATAAACAGTTGTATACAATCAACCTGGCAAAGGGCCTCCCTACATAAATGTATTCTTTGATGAGTAAAAATCTGGGATACAGTTGGACTACCTCTATGTGCATAAAACACACATACAATGAGTTGCGTGTTCGAGGCATGGAATAATTAAGGATTTTTGGGTTGTTTTGAAAATGGAAATAAAACGAAACATGCTGCAGACTTTAAGATGATGCTGGCGGTGCCTGAGAACCAAGACTATTATTTATTTTTATCTGATTTTAATGAGATTGGGAACAATTTCAATGGTCAGAATAATGCACATGATAGTATCTTGCAAGATATCCCATCATAAGCAACAATCATTGAGTTAGTAGATGGGTTTCCTTGGATGGGATAGTGTATGGATGGGTGTTTGGCTGGGTGTATCATAAGATGGGTGGGTGTATCTTTGGGTGTTTGGGAGGATGGTTTATTGCATGGGAAGACGTTTAGTTGGGATAGTATGGGATGTACGGGTGGGTGTATGGGTGGGTGTATCATAGGATGTATGGGTGGGTGTATCTTTGGGCGTTTGGGAGGATGGTTTATTGCATGGGAAGACGTTTAGTTGGGATAGTATGGGACGTATGGGTGGGTGTATGGGTGGGTGTATCATAGGATGTATGGGTGGGTGTATGGTCAGTGTATTGTTAGATGGGTGGGTGTATGGTCAGTGTATTGTTAGATGGGTGGGTGTATGGTCAGTGTATTGTTAGATGGGTGGGTGTATGGTCAGTGTATTGTTAGATGGGTGGGTGTACGGTCAGTGTATTGTTAGATGGGTGGGTGTACGGTCAGTGTATTGTTAGATGGGTGGGTGTATGGTCAGTGTATTGTTAGATGGGTGGGTGTACGGTCAGTGTATTGTTAGATGGGTGGGTGTATGGTCAGTGTATTGTTAGATGGGTGGGTGTATGGTCAGTGTATTGTTAGATGGGTGGGTGTACGGTCAGTGTATTGTTAGATGGGTGGGTGTACGGTCAGTGTATTGTTAGATGGGTGGGTGTACGGTCAGTGTATTGTTAGATGGGTGGGTGTATGGTCAGTGTATTGTTAGATGGGTGGGTGTACGGTCAGTGTATTGTTAGATGGGTGGGTGTACGGTCAGTGTATTGTTAGATGGGTGGGTGTATGGTCAGTGTATTGTTAGATGGGTGGGTGTATGGTCAGTGTATTGTTAGATGGGTGGGTGTATGGTCAGTGTATTGTTAGATGGGTGGGTGTACGGTCAGTGTATTGTTAGATGGGTGGGTGTATGGTCAGTGTATTGTTAGATGGGTGGGTGTACGGTCAGTGTATTGTTAGATGGGTGGGTGTATGGTCAGTGTATTGTTAGATGGGTGGGTGTATGGTCAGTGTATTGTTAGATGGGTGGGTGTATGGTCAGTGTATTGTTAGATGGGTGGGTGTATGGTCAGTGTATTGTTAGATGGGTGGGTGTACGGTCAGTGTATTGTTAGATGGGTGGGTGTATGGTCAGTGTATTGTTAGATGGGTGGGTGTATGGTCAGTGTATTGTTAGATGGGTGGGTGTACGGTCAGTGTATTGTTAGATGGGTGGGTGTATGGTCAGTGTATTGTTAGATGGGTGGGTGTATGGTCAGTGTATTGTTAGATGGGTGGGTGTATGGTCAGTGTATTGTTAGATGGGTGGGTGTATGGTCAGTGTATTGTTAGATGGGCGGGTGAAACAAGTGGTGAATGAGTGGGGGTTTCCTTTGGTGGATGGGTGGGTGGGTGTGTTGCTGGGAAGCTCTATGTCTATGTCTATATTATTGAGTGTAAGCCAAATGTACAAGGAAAGATTATTTGTTGTTAAATCACTAGAAAATCCTAGAAGCTCTTCCTTATCGCTGATGGACTCCATGCTTTGTTAAACATGAGATGTCACCTGACAGGCTGCATCATTACTTAGAAAGTTTGAAAGTTTAATTTGTGAGATTGGTCTTAACACCAAAACCTACCATGTCATATTTCCACTTCATCCCTGAAGTCTTTTTAAAACACAGCATCATCCTGGCGACGCTGCCATCATCCCCCTGGGAGTCGAGGCAAACCTCCTCCCTCCGCAGCTCATTCGTCTGACTCATGGAAAACAGCTGAAAACAGAGAAATAGTTGGAAATCTACAGAACATAACAACTTATTTCTGAAGTCCGCAGCAGCGGTGGGATAGTCATGTGGTTAAAGCGTTCGCTCGTCACACTGAAGGCCCGGGTTCAATTCCCACATGGGTACAATGTGTGAAGCCCATTTCTGGTGTTCCCTGCTGTGATATTGCTGAAATATTGCTAAAAGCGGCATAAAATCCAACTCACTCACTCACTCTGAAGTCCCCAATGCATTGCTCCTAATCATTAAATAGAATTCATAAAGCTAAAAGAAATAATAGTCTTTGTTCTCAGGGGGCCATGGGTGGCCTAGTCGTCTAAGGCGCCGCGATTCGCTGTGCAGAGAACAGAAACCTATGATTGTGGGTTCGAATCCTTGTTCACCCCTATTATGTTTCTAGGTTTGTCAGCACCATACTCGTGCTCGTGGGTTTCACCGAAGTGGTAAACGTCTGAGACCTGCATCACTTCGGACTTTCCTCCCACATTAAGCTGACATGCCTTGATATAACTGGAATACTATTAAAAGCGGCGTTAACCAAACTCACTCACTCACTTTGTTCTCAGTCACCACCCACATTATCATAAAGTCTGCTGCACGTTTCGTTTTTATTTCCATTTTCAAAAAATCAAATTACTTAAAAGCAATATAACACACAGTTACTTCCCTTTACATCACGTGTTATGGTCATGGTGGCAATAGGAGTTTGGATGCTTGTTTATTTGGTTACATACTAGTTTGAACAACAACAAACAAAAAACCAACCCCCTGCCCACCTGCACTATATTTTCAAAAGTCATTGCCTGAGAACCAGTTCTTTTATTTGTTTTAGCCTAAGACTAATAAATTCTTTGAAACAAATATACTGATGTCTTTCAGAGATGACAGTTTAATAAGACCTTAGGTCACAATGACTGTTTCAGGGGAGTCATCATAGCCATGGTGGTCATGTTTAAACTTGCACACCTTCGAAGTCAACGAGCAGTTTGTAGTGACAGTATTGCTAGGATCATCAATGCAAGTTTTCGGGGGCACGGGTGGCCCAGTCGTCTAAGGCGCCCTGATTCACTGTGCAGAGTTGCTTCCCCTGGACACGCCAGAAACCTATGATTGTGGGTTCGAATCCCGGTTCACCCCGATTATGTTTCTAGGTTTGTCAGCACCATACCCTTGTTCGTGGGTTTCACCAAAGTGGTAAAAGTTTAAGACCTGCATCACTTTGGGCTTTCCTCCCACATTAAGCTGACATGCCGCGATATAACTGGAATAATGTTAAAAGCGGCGTTTAACCCAATTCACTCACTCAATGCAAGTTCTCAGCTACATAGACCTTGTGGTTTCAGTGGAGATGGAGACTATGCAGGATCAGTTTACAACAGATGGATGACTACAGACAGTCAATACCATTGCACCATAAGTTCACCATCAGCAAAACTTACGTAGCGGCCATAATGGGATTCGAACCACGGACCTTCTGATCCAAGGTCAGACGCCTTGTCCACATGACCAAAGAGGTTAACCCCGTCAGCAAGCTGACTAGGTAAGGATGTCATCTGTGGGATGACTCCACGCCCTGCTACATACTCCCCCATCAACAGAAGGCATGTCCCGGGCCTCATAGTAGGGTACTGAGACTTATTTTGCTCAAATTTAATATGAACGTGCTCAGCCCCACGTTGGGTGCCAATGTAGCAGCAATAAAATTTCCGAGTCCTGTGATGGGATTGGAACCACAGACCTTCTGATCAGAGGTCGGACGCCTTGTCAAACATGACCGAAGAGGTTAACCTGATGTCATCTGTGGGATGACTCCACGCCCTGCTACATACTCCCCCGTCAACAGAAAGCACGTCCCGGGCCTCATAGTAGGGTACTGAGGCTTATTTTGCTCAAATTTGATATGAACTTGCTCAGCCCCTCGTTTCGCGCCAATAGAGCAGACATAAAATTTCCGAGTCCCGTGATGACAAGGTAAGTATGTCATCTGTGGGATGACTCCACGCCCTGCTACAATTAGAAGAAATAAACAAGTTAAAACATGCAGCCTTGATCACTGACCTCGTTTGCGCTGGCGCCGGACTGACACAGGAACAATCCCAGGTCGTATTCCACCTTGTCCTCTCGACCCAGAGTGTCTAGACAGAGCGAACTGCCCACACCCTTCACCTGCAAATATCAATTGAAGGAAATAATAGCCCTGCAAAAATAACCCTCTAAATCTTAAAAGTTCCACCAGGATCCTAGCCTTACACCACATGTTCACACATACACCTCGGCATCACAAGTTGGAGGATCTCAAGGTTCCACCAGGATCCCAACCTAATTATGTCACATGTTCACACATACACCTCGCCATCACAAGTTGGCGGATCTCAAAGTTCCACGAGGATCGCAACCTAATTATGTCACATGTTCACACATACACCCACCATCACAAGTTGGTGGACCTCAAAGTTCCACGAGGATCCCAACCTAATTACGTCACATGTTCAGACATACACCATGCCATCACAAGTTGGGGGACCTCACAGTTCCAACAGGATCCGAACCTAATTACGTCACATGTTCACACATACACCACGCCATCACAAGTTGGCGGACCTCACAGTTCCACCAGGATCCCAGCCTTACACCACATGTTCACACATACACCTCGCCATCACAAGTTGGGGGACCTCACAGTTCCACCAGGATCCCAGCCTTACACCACATGTTCACACATACACCTCGCCATCACAAGTTGGCAGATCTCAAAGTTCCACCAGGATCGCAACCTAATTACGTCACATGTTCACACATACACCTCCCCATCACAAGTTGGCGGATCTCAAAGTTCCACCAGGATCGCAACCTAATTACGTCACATGTTCACACATACACCTCGCCATCACAAGTTGGCAGATCTCAAAGTTCCACCAGGATCGCAACCTAATTACGTCACATGTTCACACATACACCTCGCCATCACAAGTTGGCGGACCTCACAGTTCTACCAGGATCCAAGCCTTACACCACATGTTCACACATACACCTCGCCATCACAAGTTGGGGCATCTCAAAGTTCCACTAGGATCCCAACTTCACATAACACTTTCACACAGTCATATATGCCTCTCTGTCTAAGATAGGGTTTATGTTAAGTGACTGTTTGATTTTACTTAACGCCTCTTTCAAAGTTCAAAAGAACTCTTTCAAAGACCCAGCAGCCAGTATAACGTCTACATATATTCCATGCTACCAAACACGGAGCCCCCACATGAACCCTTCCACACCGAGGTCATATGAGTCTGCTTACAGGGAGTCCTAAACACTTCATCTTTTCTTCACAGTTCTCTTATCAGTTGTGCTTAAGCATGTTTCAAGCAATTATATCAGTCAATCCATAAAAACAAAAACAAAAACAACATATGATTAATTTGTTCACAAATACATACATCCTTATATTCTGTACCAAACTTTGAGTCATCTTAACATTGAACCAGAATCCCACTTTCATATAACATGTTCGCAAATACATATATCTTTCTTGACCAAGTGAAGATCCCCTCAGACAATCCAACAGACTGTTATATATATTGAAGCACATGTGAGACATTGTGCGTGACCTCCCACTCACCATCCCCCAGGCCTTGACACCCTCATCCAGGACAAACTTCTCGGGGTACACGTTGTCCAGATACCACTTGAAGCTCTTGCACTGAAGCTTGTCCCGGAGACCAACTCGGGCAGATATGTCCCCGAAGTCTTTACCCTACAACAATATACACAGTGACATGTTAGTCAGGCGAACCTAACGCTTGTCGCGGAGAGACCAACTCGAGCGAATATGTCCCCGAAGTCTTTACCCTACAACAATATACACAGTGCAGGTTAGACAGGCGAACGTAACGCTTGTCCCGGAGACCAACTTGAGCAGATATGTCCCCGAAGTCTTTACCCTACAACAATATGTATACACACAGCCATGTTAGACAGGTGAACCTAACGCTTGTCCCGGAGGCCAACGATATGTCCCCGAAGTCTTTACCCAACAACAACATACACAGTGCAAGGTCAGACAGGAGAGCATAAAGCTTGTCCCGGAGACCACCGATATGTCCCCGGATCTTTACCCTACAACAACATACACAGTGCAAGGTCAGACAGGCGAGCGTAACGCTTGTCCCAGAGACCACCGATATGTCCCCAAAGTCTTTACCCAACAACAACGTACACAATGCCAGGTCAGACAGGAGAGCATAAAGCTTGTCCCGGAGACCAACGATATGTCCCCAAAGTCTTTACCCTACAACAATATACACAGTGTCAGGTTAGACTGACTCTTCATTGAGATTTTCATAGTTATATTATATTCCGCATATATTATATGACCGACAGGAGTTAAGTTTAGTTTTAAAAAGCAGTAGTCCAACAGACTAGTTCATTTTGTGTTTTATTAGCCTTTTATATTTCTGTCACCTCAGGCTAACAGGCAAGCATAAAGATCAAAGCCTGATTATCGGCTGACTTTAGTTTCCGACAAGCAGCCAAAGTAATCGATTGACGCAATGTTACAACACAACAAGAACACTTTAACGTGATACATACCTTCAAGTCATGTCTGTGCATATAGAACAGTCTTTTGTAATCGTCCATCCAGACCTCAGCCACCCTCACCGAGTTTATACCATGTGTGTCCTTATTACCTGAGCAGAATCAACTAAATTAGATTTATCAAAGCAAGGCCAACATTATCTACATTCTTGTTATAACACTTATAGGAAACCCCTGATCTGAATGTGTTTTCAATCTTACCTGTAAGTATCAGAGCTCCAGATAAGCTTTTGGTGTTGTGGGTATTTTACCCATGTATTTTAAAATCATTGGGTATCAGTAGTTCTATCTGGGTTTTCAAATTTCTGTTACCCACTAGTTTTTACACATGTAGGTATTTAAGTTAAATATTTAAAAACACTATTCATCTAGTCCCTGCAAACTGGTGTCGTGTGGATTCGAGAGCTTTGTAGGACTCAAAAATACCACGATACTTCCGCAAGAAAGTGTGATGGCAAATGATCATGATGTAACTGTCATCGTGGAGTTTGGCAAGGTTGACGGAATTATAATTTCAAAATATGTTGCTGATTTGCGAATCAAATACGGAGGGTTACTTCACAATATTTTGATGATACACACAAGTTTTATTTTTGTAGTGTATCTGTAATGTTCGTTGCGTATTTGATATGCTTGGATTTTATTTTACTGCATATTTCTGATGCGTATTTTACGCAGATACACATTTGTAGGTTAAATGTATATTACATAATACACTCCTCAAAAGGGCGCTTGTATGATACATGTACATACATTTTCTGTGAGAGTGAGTTAGTTGGGATTAAAGCCGTTTTTAACAGTATTCCAGTTATATCACTGTGTGTCAGCTTAATGTAAGAGAAAGCCTGAAGTGATGCAGGTCTTTGACGTTTATCACTTTGGTGAAACCCACGAGCACGGGTATATTGCTGAGAAGCCTTGAAACATAATCGGGGGTTTCTGACGTGCCAAAAGGACCCAACTCTGCACTGCGAATTGTGGCCTTAGACAATAGGGGCACCTGTGCCCCAGGTTAAACACTTTGGTGCAACACGGATATAGTGGGTCATAGGTATGTAGGTAATAACCTTCAATGTTCCATCTCACACCTGTTCTCACACACAAGTGTCACAATCCCACAGAACACTGCAGCAGTCACACAGATCACTTTGTTACCTGGGAACGTATAGGGGTGCTTGGAGCGGAAGATATGTCCGACACGGGAACAAGGCAGAAACTCCAGCCGGCCGCCACACATCCACGTCTGAAGCACAACATTGTCACAGTGGATTACACATTTGTATGGCAACAGTTAGGCATCTTGTAGATTTCTTTTCTTTTTAAGTATCAAAGTATCTAATGAAAAAAGAGAGTGACTTGTCTCTTATAAACAAATCACCACGACCTAAATTAATTCAGGTTTACAGATTCTTGGCCTAAGAAAAAAGATTTTTGGTTGGGAAGAAAATATAAAAAAATTCCAATTTCCACCTTTTTAAAAATATTTCCTCCAACATCATGAACAGACGTATTTGTACTTACTCTGAAGGAGATCTCGAGGTTCTCCCCTCCCCACACGTCCATTCCGTCATCATAGGCTCCGATCTCCCAGAAGAACTTTCTGTCCAGCGCCAGCAAGCCTCCGGCCATTGTGGGAGAGCTGCGTAATCAGACAGATTTTACAAATAATGATATGAGTTTGAAACGTCCTTCTGGACAGGATATGAGACTATTATGATTACTAGTCTACCAAACATTTTGGTGTTTGTTGTTTACCACAACACTCAGGAATATTCCAGCTGTATGTTGGTGGTCTGTCAATAATCGAGTCTGGACCAGACAATCCAGTGATTGATATCATGAGCATCCATCCACGAAATTGGGATACGATGACATGCATCAACCAAGTCAGCGAGCCTGAACATCCGATACCGTTAGTCGCCTTTTACGACAAGCATAGTCGCCTTTCACGGCAAGCATGGGTTGCTGAAGAACCAGTCTCAGGTTCAAGGACTGGTAGCAACAGGAAATGGTCATCAGGAACAAAGTGATTAATACATTGCCCTCCTTATAAGGCCTCCATGCCAATAAGCTCTCAATCATGACTAGATCAACCCTACATAAATGACTAAAATTGACAAAATAACGATATATTAAATATAAATTGACATCAAAAGAGATTGTAACCATTTTGGTGGCCATCTTGGATTTTCTACCACCAGGTGGCACTGCTGAGGTGGATCCATATCCAGAAATGTTTAGAATGGTTCAATGTATAAGTGTGCCGGGTTTGGCGTTTTTAACCCAAAGTGCACAATTTTGACTAAAATCAAGTCTTAACCGCCCCACTGCCCTGAGAATCAGCTAAGCCTATTACAGTAACAAGTTGTAAGTAGTGAGTGAGATTGGTTTTACGCTGCTTTGAACAGTATTCCAGTACACATCACGGCATGTCAGCTTAATTTGGGAGGAAAGCCGTGATGCAAGTCTTGGACGTTTACCACTTTGGTGAGAACGGGTATGGTGCTGACAAACCTAGAAACATGATTAGGCCGAACTGGGATTCGGCCCACAATCATAAGTTTTTGGCATGCCCTGGGGACAGAGGTGGAAGTATGAATTGTTGTACCTGATAGGGTCCGTGTATTTCCGGTGAACTTTCTCCCTCTCCGGGATGTCTCTCCAGGTGAAGTGCATGCTCCAGGAAAACCCGCCCACATTGTAGCCCCCATTACCAGAATACTCCAACGTGTTGTCGTTGATGGCGTCAATGATTGGGCACAACACTGTCTTCCGGTTCTCTTGTATACGAGCAAGGATCGGTTCCAACCTTCACAACAGAAAATGTTGATATCACATCTTCTGTTCTGGCAAGCAGCAAACAAAAATTTGCAATTGCCTAATATTGATATGACTTGCGTCTGATATCAATATGACTCGTGTAAAGTGGCAAAAATATCTGTTATTAATAAATGGAAGTTGTGTTATTCTTCCAGTATGACACTGCTTGATAATACAACTAAAACCTGAACCTAAACGTCACCTCTGAAGGATGAATTAAGTTGAATTTATAAGTCAATCCTGTTTTCATTGAGACCACTACTTCTAAAAGCACATGTGGAATTCTAATTAATATCCAACTTATGTGATCTAAACAGATACACTGTTACATAGTCAAAGCAACAGATAAGCAGCGTATTTGCGGAATATACCCCCGAAAATATTCAAAATCCAATTACTTTCAATTAACTTACGTACAGAAATGCATGCCTTAAATGAAAAACTCAAATGTATAAAAACAGCTCGCGTAAATACCCAATGAGACTCTTTCAGCATGCGTACAAAGGAGCTAATTTCCGAAACACAATTACAAGCTAATTTACTTTCCCGGTCATATATTTAGAACAGTTATATACATCTAAAACATTATTTCATTTATTTAAAATCTTAAAATGTTCACTTATTTTGGGAAACCCAATGGAGTGATGAATAGATGAGTAAAAAAAATATAGGTTACCTGATGAAAATGTAATAACCCAATGAAAATAGAAACCTTAGAGTAAAAACTCAATTTTTTTAAAAGTTATCTGGAGTTCTGTATAGTGCTTAAAGTTCACAGAGAAATAATGCTTAATCAAGTAATTGCTCACACAAAGGTATAATCGTCAGCAAGACATTGTGATGTTTGTTTGTTTTGCTTCAAACACATGGCAAAAAGTCTTAGACTACTGAAATCACAAAGACATAAGCTTAAGGGATGCAAATGTAAAAAGTTTCCACTCACCACTGTGTTCCCGCCTCACAGTGAGAATCCAGGAACACGATGACGTCACCCGTGGCAGCCTTGGCACCTTCAATACGGGCTCGTATCAAGCCACTCCTCTGCCGGGTCCTCACCATCTTCACAACACCATCAGGCCACGTCTTCTCCACGTAGGTCTTCAACTTGTCCCCCAACTCAGCTGCAACAGCAACAAGAGGGTCGGTGTAATATATAGCTGATATAACATAGATGGGTCTGATATAGCTGATATAGCATAGATGATCTGATATAGCTGATATAGCACAGATGGTCTGATATAGCTGATATAGCATAGATGGTCTGATATAGCTGATATAGCATAGATGGTCTGATATAGCTGTTATAGCATAGATGGTCTGATATAGCTGATATAGCATAGATGGTCTGATATAGCTGATATAGCATAGATGGTCTGATATAGCTGTTATAGCATAGATGGTCTGATATAGCTGTTATAGCATAGATGGTCTGATATAGCTGATATAGCATAGATGGTCTGATATAGCTGATATAGCATAGATGGTCTGATATAGCTGATAAAGCATAGATTGGTCTGATATATAGCTGTTACAGCACAGATGGTCTGATATAGCTGATATAGCATAGATGGTCTGATATAGCTGTTACAGCATAGATGGGTCTTATATATAACTGATATCACACAGATGGTCTGATATATAGCTGTTACAGCATAGATGGTCTGATATTGCTGACAAAACATACCGTAGATGGCCTGATATAGCACAGATGGTCTGATATAGCTGATATAGCATAGATGGGCTGATATATAACTGATATAACATAGATGGTCTGATATAGCTGTTACAGCATAGATGGTCTGATATAGCTGATATAGCATAGATGGTCTGATATAGCTGATATAACAAAGATGGGCTGATATGTAGCTGTTACAGCATTGATGGTCTGATATAACTGATATAGCATAGATGGGCTGATATATAAGTAATATAACTTAAACCATGGCTCCTTTGTCTTTGACCTTGGTCTAACTAACTGAATTGTAAGTTAAACACCACTTGGCAATGACGGAACTTCTTTTTGTCCCTATCATTTGTCTCTATGATAGAATAATTTCATGAAAAACGTTTGTCGCCAGTGGGATTTGAACCCACGAAGTCTGCACTGAAGGCCAACAAATGTCTTCTGCCAAGGCAACATGGGAGAAAGGGTATGAAATTAACAACTAAATATTTACGTGCAGCAGTACCAATTGCTTTTCCCTTTATGAACTGCGAAATGTGTTTTATGCAATTATTATACAGTATGTTACTCTATGCATTCTAGTATTTGTACAGTACTTGTGATTTTGTAGCTTTTCATTCAATGAAACGAACAGATAGAAAAGAAATTACTTTTATCTTGATCAGGGCTATATTTGTTCATAATAGGCCCATCAACCTGGGCAAGTAATATTTAGGTGATTGATAAATGTTCTCGAGTTAAACCAAAATGAATGGTATACTTGCCCTGGGACATGAATTTCATAACCGTAATCGGCAAGGTGCGAGGTGCATGTGCGAAAGGCTCGGGGAACACATTTCACATGCTTCATGCAGGGCCTACTCACACAGTGTTCTCACAGTTGAACATAGAGTTCCTCAATATCTTTCAAAATACCTTTAACAAAACAATGTTTTTAAGCATTTTTGGTGCCATAAATGTTGGACATGGCTTAAGTATGTTAGACCACGAGGACCCAGTGTCTAATCATTGAGGCTGCGCGCCTCGTGGTTTAATTAACCATTTCAATGATTAGACACTGGGTCCTCGTGGTCTAACCTATACATAGATGGTCTGATATAGCTGATGTCCTCTTACGACAAGCATAGCCACCTTTTACAGCAAGCATGGGTTGCTGAAGACCTATTCTACCCTGGATCTTCATGGGTCATGGCTGATATAGCATAGACAGGTCTGATATTGCAGATACTGCTAAAATGGGTCTAATATAGATGACATATCATAGATGGATCTGATATAGCTGAAAATGGATCTGATATAGCTGATATAGCACAGATGGGTCTGATATAGATGACATATCATAGATGGATCTGATATAGCTGATAATGGATCTGATATAGCTGATATCATGATATAGCACAGATGGGTCTGATGTAGCTGATAATGGATCTGATATAGCTGATATAGCACAGATAGGTCTGATGTAGCTGATACAGAATAGATGGGTCTGATATAGCTGATAATGGATCTGATATAGCTGATATAGCACAGATAGGTCTGATGTAGATGATACAGAATAGATGGGTCTGATATAGCTGATAATGGATCTGATATAGCTGATATAGCACAGGTGGGTCTGATGTAGCTGATATAGAATAGATGGGTCTGATATATATGATAATGGGTCTAATGTAGCTGATATAGCTTAAATGGGTCTGATGTAGCTGATATAGCATAGATGGGTCTGATATAGGTGATAATGGGTCTATTTAGCTGATAATGGGTCTAATATAGCTGATATAGCTGAAACGGGTCTAATATAGCTGACACAGGACATTTGGGAATGATACAGCTGATATAGCAAACATCTTGAAACAGTAGGAACAGTTTTTTTCTAAATTGGTTGCTTTGTTAATTGCACACACAGGCTGTCAATCAGAAGTTTCAAATCCCTGCTATACACTCCCATAAGCACCAGATTACCGAACAGATCAATGTGAAACAGCAGTCGGTCACAGCTGCAGCTGATTGACCTCTCGACATTGATCTGGCTCTTCTTGACTCGACACTCAATATAACTACAATATAAGCTCATAGTCAGTAGCAGGTGCCCTCATAACCATACAGATGATACAAGTAAATATCCATTATACATGTACCATGTAATTTTGTAGTCATTTAAAAATGTGAAAACCGTAAATAATGATTTGGCTTTGAATAAATGCTGTAATTTTTTTTCTGGTGTTTAGTATTTGATACAACAACTACTTAAAATATAATTTTAGATGTACTTGTTATATGTCATTGGGGGCGGTCGGGTAGCCTAGTGGTTAAAGCGTTCGCTCGTCACGCCGAAGACCCGGGTTCGATTCCCGACATGGGTACAATGTGTGAAGCCCATTTCTGGTGTCCCCCGCCGTGATATTGCTGGAATATTGCTAAAAGCGGCGTAAAACCATACTCACTCACTCACTATATGTCATTGGGGTATGATGACATACAATCAAGATATAGAACCTCACCAACTGATCCATCGTCTCAAGACTTTATTTTCGCTAAGAGTAAGACCTTTCAAAAACATCATCTGAAATGTTCTAGATAGGTTTCAACATGATCTCCATTCTGCTAATCTGGGACAATTGAAAAGTATTTGTTAATAGATGACAAAACTGTGATGTACTGTGTTTCCAACTGTGTGATCAGACAAGAGTATAGCCTTCAATCACCCTTGCCATGTGGCTAACCCAACATAAAAATATTTCTAGTTTCATCAGAACACACATTAGTTCACTTGCCTGGAGAAAAAGGAGAACGTCTCCCTTAATTTCAGGGTGATGTGATGATTAAAGTGATTTTGTTAGTTTGTTTGCTGTTTATATGACGGCAGCCTGTAAATAATAAAGGTGAGACCAGACACTCCAGTGATTGATATCATGAGCATCGATCCAGGCAATTTGGATACAATGACATGCATTAACCAAGTCAGCAAGCCTGACCACCCGACCCGTTAATCGCCTCTTACGACAAGCACGGGTTGCTGAAGACCTATTCTACCCCAGATCTTCACGGGTCTGATTAGAGTGAATGGTCTCAGGAGCCTAGTACCGAGATTTGCATCTTTCTTGTAATAAGAGCAGGGATTATTCTTGGGATTCCATGGCACCTTGGCAAATTCACGACTTCCTTCAAAACTGGATTTTTTTTAAATTTCTAATCTTCTTCAATGTAGAAGCATTTTTATATAATAAAATCATATTTTAATACTGCATTCAATGCCATAATGTGAAACGAAACAGAAAAGCCTCTGCCAGTATATTGGTGGTGTTAAGTCACTTTTTACAACACCGTAACATACGTTTAAGTTAAACGGTTTAACTATAATACCATGAATGTTTAATTCCAATTTAGGTATTTGAACTGACATTAGCTGCAGACTTGGGACCTTTGAGCAGGTCCAGAAAAATCCCCAATGAGCACGAGAACATAAAAGACTGTATTGGCAACAAGAAGTTTGGCATTGTTTATAGTAGGGCTGGGATGAGTTGGGTACTAGGCCTGGGACAAGTCCAAATTTACTACCCGGGTACCCATCACCCTATTGCCCGACCCTACCCGGGTACCCGCTGTAGATATCTAGAGATAGGTACAAACTGTCCGATTTGGAAAAGTTTGACCGGAGCTCTTGCAAAATGTATTTAGATACACGAGTAAAGCGATCTGGTTTACTGCATGAAGTTTTATCTTTATTCAAATATATAAAAGTCAGAAGGAATGGCTGCATAGTCAGAAAGAAATGAGAACATGAGTGACTTGTAGTGTAACCATAGAGTTTTAGATAATTTTTGTCATTAAACAATATATTATGTAACTAGTCACGGGTCTGGGTAGTCCTGTGGGTACCCGGGTCCTATTCAGGACCCACTCGACCCGAGTACCCGAGTTACCCGTCCCAGCCTTATTGGGTACCCATTCTCCTTTCACCCGACCCTACCCAGGTACCCGCAGTAGGTCTCAAGAGATAGGTACAAACTTTTTTCATTAATCAATATATCACATGACTAACCACGGGTCTGGGTAGTTCTGGGGGTACTGGGTCCTACTCAATACCCACCTGACCCGAGTACCCAAGTACCTGTCCCAGCCCTAGTTTATAGACAAACTGCCAAGACTGAAATTGATGGGGCGCAAGAAAAAATTAAGTGAAATTATCATGGCTGAGTTTGTTTGGATGTTAAAGAAAAACCTCAAACAAAACCTGAAGCTGCTGTTCATGGCCTGGTGAGCTGACATTAAGTTCTTGATTGTGACTGAGTATTTGACTCCACTAAGATCCCTTTCATAGTGGTTCATGTGATGCATTGCAGCTCATGAAAGGACAATATGTCCCACGTAATAAAGGAACTGTTTATTCATCCTGTTTACACACACATTGTCACATGGCAGGTTCTCCATCAAGTGCCTTCTATCAGGGAGAAAATCTCTTCTTGAGGCATGGCTTCAAAAATTTGCTTGTTTGTTGTTTAACGCCACACTCAGCAATATTCCAGCTATATGACGGCGGTCTGTGAATAATCGAGTCTGGACCAGACAATCTAGTGATTGATATCATGAGCATCAATCCCCGCAATTGGGATATGATAACATGCATCAACTAAGTCAACCTGACCATCCAATCCCATTAGTCGCCTCTTACGACAAGCACAGACGCCTTTTACGGAAGACATGGGTTGCTGAAGACCTATTCTACCCCGGATCCTCACGGGTCGGCTTCAAAACAATAGGACAATAAAAATATCAAAGTTGTCAGTGTACCATATTTTCTTGTTTTGTTTGTTTGTTTGCTTGTTTGTGTGAATGTTTTTAATGCCACATGCAGCAATATTCCAACAATATGGTGGCGCTCTGTAAATAATAGTCTTGTCCAGACAATCAAGTGATTGACATCATGAGCATCCATCTACGAAATTGGGACACGATGACCTGCATTAACCAAGTCAACAAGCCTGACCACCTGATCCCATTGGTGGCCCGCTTGGGATGCTGGACACGGACCTTCACGGGTACCATATTATCTTGAGTATAGTGCAAACCCAAGAAAAATGCTCACCCCTTAGAGGAGATGCAGTATTTTGAACAAATAGATTTTCCAAGTATTTTGTCATTTATGTGGTCCTTGTCATAACCCTAATGTTAAATATCAAAGTGTAAGGCTAAAAAAAAACCAACTAGTATTGGTTCTCAGGCACCGCCCACATCATCATAACGTTTGCCGCACGTTTCCTTTTGATTTCCATTTTTTTTTTTTTTAAACCAATCATTAAATATTCCCTGTCCAAGGGTAGTCAAATACTGTATTCCAGTATTTTACTCATCAAGGAATACATTTATGTTGGGAGCCTACCCAGGTTGATTGTACACAATTGTTTATTGATTACACAACTGTTTATTGGGTACATACTAGTTTGAACAACCAAAAAAAAAAAGACACCGCCCACCTGCCCGCCCACCCACACTATATTTTCAAAAACCATTGCCTGAGAACCAATTCTTTATTTTTTTAAGCTTAACGGAATCCCTGGATTCAAGTACTATTGCAGCAAACATCAATGACCCCAGCCCATACATTTCTAGCACTTCAGATATTTCCATGAAATCAAGTAGCTATGCAAAGCATGGTGCAATCTTACGTTGTCTCTGAATTTTCTATATGAAGAGACAAAAAGTACAGTCATGAGGCTCTGTATCCCTTTCTGTGTTTTTCAGAAATATTGTATCAGAAAAGTTTAAGAAAGGTAAGCGAGAAGTTTGTACACAAGATATCCTCACTACTCACTACATGTTTATAAGATTATGTAAGAGTGAATATTATCCTACCTTATTTTTTATCCATGGAATGAAATTCTTTAGTGTCAGGATGATTCTCCCAAGTGAATTTGAACCCATACCAGTGTGTTTAATCCTATCCTATCCTATACTCTAGAGTAAAACCTCCCCCGGGATAATATTTACTGGGTAGGTAGGATATAATCCTTGCTTACAATTACACCTTGAGTACCTGGGTGAGAATGGGGCCAGGATTGGATCAAGGTCAAAGGCCATAACGGTGTCAAAAGTGAAAATACCAAAAAGAACGAATGACAAATTGATCCACGCAATACATACTTCCTGCTTCCAGTGTCATGACAAATGAATGAGAAATGGAAGAGTAACGGACAATCATTAATCATTATGGCTGCTATGGACCCCATGTTTCAAATCATGGGAGCAGACAGCATGACTGGCATCCTCCGTTTAAAGTTTCAACTTCATAGTCCTGTTGTTTCAGATGAGACGAACTACGAACTACGAACAACAGACAATGCACCAAGCCATAGGCTCACTTTAAATGAAATTGAGCAAAAAATAAAACTGCCTTTTCACAAGAAGAGAGATATGATTTGTTATGATAATATATTCAAGCATGATAATCACATACTGACAACAGATGCAGACTATTTGATTGGTTTCCATGGTTACTTACGTCGGTCACTGAAATCATCCAGTAAGATAACTTCGTGCAGATATTCGGGCGGAGATCGGTTTATCACGCTGTGCACCGTCCTCAGTAACGGCGTCCAGGCCTCGTTGTGGTAGATTATCACAACACTCGCACTTGGGAGGATCCTAGGGTAGACAATATCCTTACACCTGGAAGTAAAACCAATAATCATTAAGCGTTGATTAAAATAAACTATTATGGCTCCATTATGTAGGACTGATAGAATATTCAAGCCATACAAAAGCGACACAGGCAGCTAGGGTTGTGTACTCCCCAGGGAGCTGAGAATGAAAATTGACTGCACTATGATCTATTGACCGGGATAATAATGCAGCGCTTTCAAGTCTTAGGGCATCCTTTGGGATGTTGATTTGGTGCGTTATAAATTCATGTATGCACATTATTAATATTATTATGTTGAACCAGGTCTTACAAGTGACCAGCCGTAATAGCTTTGACTTCTTTAATTAAAAGTTAGATCCACATCAAGTGCTTTTATGAGTTATCATGGTGTAATATTTATACATCATTTCATATAATTGTAGTTTAGCAAGTAATATTTACTTAAATAAAAGAGTTCAAGGTAATCTATAAGACTATGGATACATATCTTTTGTCTTATTGGATATTATGTCTGGGAGATGGGATCTTGATACCTTAGGCAAGTATTTATCTGAAAGCTTTAAATCTATTAAACTATGTAGACATAACTTTTGTCTTATTGAATAGTATGTCTAGGAGATGCGCTCCCGTTACCTTAGGCTAGCATCTATCTAAAAAGCTATAACTGAAACTACTGATATTTTTTTAATGCATTTTACCTGATGATAAGTATTACTTGCTAAACTATAATTATATGAAATGATGTATAAATATTACACCATGATAACTCATAAAAGCACTTGATGTGGATCTAATTATTATAGGAAAACTAAGTATAAATGTTATATCATGATACCACACTCGACAACATTCCAGCTTCAAAATGGTATCCTGTAAATAATCAAGTCAGAACCTAGCAGAGAGCCGTGATGGGGTCCTACAGTCAAGACGTGATTTCAGGGTCACATCTTGACTGTAAGACCCCATCGTGGCTCTCGTCTAGTCTGGACCAGACAAATTAGGGGTTGATATTATGAGCAACAAACCACGCCATCAGGGTTTGATGACACATAATCAACCAAGTCACCCAGCCTGAACAAACATTCTATTTAGATGCCTCTTATGACAAGAAAACGTTGCTTGGGATCAATTCTAACCCGGAATCGCCAAAGTGTACACCTGGTTAATACATGATTCATGAGTCGTCCAAGGTAAAACCAATATGTTTGTCAGTTTGTGTGCCATGTGATGTCACAGAGTGAGCAGAAGGGCAGTGGATCGATGCTCATGATATCAATCACTGGATTGTCTACTGATTATTTACAGACCGCCATCATATAGCTGGAATATTGCTGAGTGCGGCGTTAAACAATAAACAAAGGAGGGCCAGTGTCATATTGAGCTTAACACCCTGCTGCACTAGTCAATAAATAAATGGCTAGGGATTCTGTGGCATTTAATTATTCAATTATATCAGGCATTGCAGCTAGATGGATTGAGGAAGATAGCACAAAGTGATGCCTGTCGAATACATTTACACTTTCATGATAGTTTTATAACATAGGGAGGATTGTGAGTAATATGGAAAGAAAAAACATGTATTCAATGTTTTAATCAGAACTTCTGCATGTGATAAGAATCGGTTCAGATTCACTAAATGTGACATAAACACAATATATCAATATGAAACAATCCCCACACTGTACAAACACATACATTTAACAGATACCAGCTGATAAAAACATAATATTTTTTTATTCAAGAGAAAAATGGGCGTGGTGTTTTGACCTCATGCATCTATAAATAGCACGTTGCCTGACTAAGACAATGCGATACTGTTAGATCTCCTTCAAGTAGCTAAACACGTAGAAAGACAGGGCGGCCACTGAATAATAAATTGTTGTCATTCGGCCAAATGCCTGACGTGGAATCAAATGTTGTTATATGTACATATAGGCCTACACAAACCACACATCTCGAACCAATAGCAATCAATAAATCTGTTTATCGGTTTATCGATCTTACCTTCGATCACGAACATCCTTCACGGATCGCTCCAGCGATATTTTTTCACTTGCAACTATATTAAACGCTTCTTTATGCATAAGTTTTTCTCCTAAAAGTTTTTCTTCCCCTTCTAAATGCACCGGTAATCCTTTTTCGCCGGGTCCTGTTCGAAGTGACTCGCTAGCTTGGTAGGCATCAAACCGCTTCTTTCGAATAAACAGAACATGGCTGGGTACCTTTTCCGAAGACGGCCATTGTCCGACGAAGTTTATGTACAAAATCGCTGCACTCACACAAAATAATGCAATAAACGCTATGTGCTTAATTTTAAACCTTTTAAACCGTACGACTCTCATCCTGTGTCGTTCACAGACTATTCCAAAAGTGACATGACAACTTGGTTTGCAGGAATGTTAGTGTGTCGTTTTTCAAGGGCGGATAACTCTAAATCGTCTAGCAGACGATGCGACATGGCGCATATAGCCACAGGCATTGACACGTAGCATTGTGTTTATTAAACAGCCTGTAGGTAAATAGATAAATGTTTTGATTATCGCTGTATACATGCCGCCGGTTACATTGATCCGTATCATGCATACTTGAACAAAAGGAAAAGACAATGTCAACTCGTATTGGCCAAATAATTATTTGGGATCGTTATCTCGGTCATTCTGACAATGCCGATATTTTCTGAGTGAAATAACAATATTCATTTCTATGTAAGACACATAACATAAATGTATACGTGCGGGTTATATGTATTTCCACAGACTGTGAAAAACAGATATTGGCTTTCTGATACACTGGCGCTGCAAGAATGATTTCCACATTTATATTAGGGATGGGATGGTAACGCGGGTACACGGGTCGGGTGGGCACTGAGTAGGACCCGGGTACCCACGCATGGGTGGATACAGAGGGAGGGTGCGGGGGTGCGCACCCCCCCCCCCCCCCCCCCCCCCCCACACACACACCCCACACACACACCCCACACCCCACACCCCTTTTTTTTATTTCCCAAAAAATCTTTATTTCTGTATAAATTACCACCAATAAAAAAAATAAATAGATCTTAATTGTGCACCCCCCTTTTAAAAAAAGCTGTATCCGCCCATGCCACGGGACTACCCGGACCCCATTGTTAGTCATGGGATATATTGTTTATAACAAAAAAGATCTAGAACTATATCGTTACACTACAAGTCTGACTTTGAAATAAAGAAAAACGCCAGTCAGCTTCAGTGTATGCATGATAACTAGATCGTTTTATACGTGCATCCCAATACATTTTGTCCAGGGCTACGGTCAAACTATTCCCAATAGAGCTTGAGACCTACAGCGGGTACCCGGGTAGGGTCGAGGGTGGGTATCCGGGTAGTAAATTTGGACTCGTCCCAGCCCTAATTTATATGCACTGGACGCTATGTGGCGGAATATGGATCCCAACAGCTTACCTGTGAATTATTAGTTTGAGATGAGCAATTTTACGTGTAGGAGCTCAATTACTTCTTACAAAATAATCAGGTGCTCAGTTACCGTATTCGACGTAATAAGCGCCCAGCTCTAATAAGCGCCCACGGCTTTATTTGCTAATACGTTGACTAATAATAAAAATCCCAGTTCCGATTGATCAATGTACACAAGACTTATTTATTTGCGTAAAATACGCACTCGTTTGTATTATGCACCCTTAAATATGGGCAATTAAATTCTCGAAAACATACCTATCGTGTATATTACACAAATTCTTCTTTTATATCATTTCAGACTGTCAGCATAAACCTCAAAATTTACAATCTTTCAACCTCGTTTTTAATCTCACCAAAATTATATTCTAATAAGAGCCTCCTATTTCTAATTTTGAGAGCGCACTGGGCGCTTATTACGTCGAATACGGTATTATTATTTTTAAATAAATAAGAATAATGAACTGTATTCTTTAGACATTATATTGTCTGCAAGAAAAGGGCGCATTATTCATTTATTTTCAGTAAAACAGTAAATAATGTTAAAAATGGTTTCTTATAAATTTTAATGAATAAAATAATTCAGTGTGAAACCAAAGATAATAAAAATATGTAATTTGTATAACTGAAGTTGTGCGTGTGATCACGTTGCACGTGCTGTTTAGACGACTCCGATAACTGATTCAGTTAGTCGACTTGAAAGACCTCTTTTGACTGTTGTGATTCCCTCTCGTTGGGTTAAAACGGAATAGACTCAAATACAGAATAAACGCATTTGCTTATTGTTACACAAAAGTCAAAGTCATTGGTACAGTCTACTTCATGCACGATCCATTTCAGAAATAACACGGAACAAAATGACGCTAACTGGTCTGTAACCAGAGTGCATAAACACAAAACAGCACCTGACATCACAAAAAAAACATCGTTAAAATGGTGACAAAAAAGAACAATTGCCCCCAGTGTTTTGTGCCCTGACGACGTGGGTGAAGCTAAGACTCGCTTATGTGTAGGTAACCGTAAAACAGCCGGACAAAGTAAAGAATGCACTTGATGATTCACACTCCACTCTGCTCATAACTGGGTGACTATGCTTGTCGTAAGAGGCGACTATGCTTCTCGTAAAAGGTGACTATGCTTGTCGTAAAAGGTGACTATGCTTGCCGTAAAAGGCGACTATGCTTGTCGTAAGAGGCGACTATGCTTGTCGTAAAAGGTGACTATGCTTGTCGTAAAAGGTGACTATGCTTGTCGTAAAAGGTGACTATGCTTGTCGTTAGAGGCGACTATGCTTCTCGTAAAAAGTGACTATGCTTGCCGTAAAAGGCGACTATGCTTGCCGTAAGAGGCGACTATGCTTGTCGTAAGAGGCGACTATGCTTGTCGTAAGAGGCGACTAACAGGACCGGCTGGTCAGGCTCGCTGACTTTGTTGATGCATGTCATCGTATCCCAATTGCGTGGATCGATGCTCATGATGACAATCACTGGATCGTCTGGTTCAGACTCGATTATTTACAGACCGCCATCATATAGCTGGAATATTGCTGAGTGCGGCGTTGAACAAGAAAAAAACAAACAAACAAAACGTTACCATGTACAGTGAAATTGCGACCTCATGTTCCTGGTGACGTCACGCTGGTTCATATGAGGCATGTAATATCGCCTATGACGCCCGTTTTAAATTCATCATCATCGAATAACCATTTGTTTGTTTCATTCGTAGCCACCATAAAACATGGGGTTATACTTTATTTTGCCCGGAAGTATAGCTTGAATGGGGCGCATTCCATTCGTGATCAACTCGTGTTATTCCGGGACAAGCCAAAAATTGGTTACGGAAAGAGGCGAGTGGTGACAAACGAATAGGGCGTATATTGGGGCGTAAAACTACATATATCCTCACCACGTAAAAACTCCCTGTGACAAACACAGTCAGCTGTGTGGAATGACTTAAACAACTCTTTATTATTAAACACTCGACGCCTTTAAACAAACATAAAAGAAACACCGATCCACTGAACAATTGAATTACGTAATCCCATTGTGATCTCTTGCTGGGGAAATATATCACGTATTACCACTGGTACTACATACTGAGATAAGGCCGGGGTGTGACACGTTAAACACATTACCCCGGGGGTGAGGGCTAGGGGCCTGGACCCAGGGGGTAGATAGATTTAGTGAGTGATACTATAATAAAAAAATCAATTAAAAGGTTACCCCCTTTAGGGCCGCTGATAACAGACTTGGTCAAACTTTCTCTTTTAAAAACACGCACAATAAGATGTCTTGTCTCAATCAAGTAAAAACATGTACATAAGTCATAATTTCCTCGGTACCTTTTTCAACATTTCTTTTTTTTTTCCTTTTTCAACAATATATTTGTTGTTTGATAGGCATTTCTTAGAAGTTGATGGATGACAAATTAGATACAATTTATGGATAACAACTTCTTTATAATACTGTAATGCTATATTTGTTGAGGTGATAATAGGTATTTGTTATTATTTACAGTACTAAGAGATACGACTCTACGCAAGGACAAGGTTATATAACTCCTAAGATGTGTAATCTATTGTGTGACCTTTCAAGTGATCAGTTAGATATTATATATAGTCAATATGAGAGATGTGTTATCACATGTTAGCTTTGATATCTAGTGGTTATCTGTATGGCTTCGGGTGCACGGGTGGCCCAGTCGTCTAAGGCGCCGCGATTCGCTGTGCAGAGTTGCGTCCCTTGGGCACGCCAGAAACCTATGATTGTCGGTTCGAATCCCGGTTCGCCCCGATTATGTTTCTAGGTTTGTTAGCACCATACCCGTGCTCGTGGGTTTCACTGAAGTGGTAAACGTCTTAGACCTGCGTCACTTCGGGCTTTCCTCCCACATTAAGCTGACACGCCGTGATATAACTGGAATACTGTTAAAAGCGGCGTTAAACCCAACTCACTCACTCACTCACTGTATGGCTTCACGTACTTCAGATTTCTGGTGTGTTGCACGTGTATTTCATGGGTTTTACACACAGGGCAGCGTGATCCATGTGAAATTAAAACTTTCCTCCACAGGATAGTAGGCTGCACGTGCATTTAAGTGTGCGTAAACTTTAAGAGCTTAATCCATAGGATAGCGTTGGGCCTATCCATATAACAGTGTACTGCACGTGCATTTAAGGCTTTAGTTAAGTATTTTATTAACAGGATAATGTGTTGCACGTGGTTTAACGGGTTTCATGTATTGGATAGTGGGATGCACGTGCGTAAAGGGATATCCCACAGGGTATTGAACTGCACGTGCGCGTGACTGTTTTATCCATTGGGTTGGTTGGTTGGTTTGTTGTTTAACGCCGCACTCAGCAAATATTCCAGCTATATGACGGCGGTCTGTAAATAATCGAGTCTGGACCAGACAATCCAGTGATTGATATCATGAGCATCAATCCACGCGTTTGGGATCGATGACATGCATCAACCAAGTCAGCGAGCCTGACCACCCGATCCCGTTAGTCGCCTTTTACGACAAGCATGGGTTGCTGAAGACCTATTCTACCCCGGAATCTTCACGGGTCTTATCCATTGGGTAGTGTGCTGCCTTTGTACTTCGGGGTTCAGAATATGACGCAATCAGCCACCGCATGCGTTTCAAGTAGAACGTGTTATTAGCTATTTGTGATAAACAGCTCACTTGCGGTAGGACATTGGAGCCCCCCGTGGGATAGAATAGGTCCCCAATTGTGCTGGACGTACGTAGGCAACCAAATGGATCGGGTGGTCAGGCTCGGTGACTTGGTTGGTGCATGTCATCGAACCACCGACGGCGCGGATCGTTGTTCCAAATGTCAATTACTAGATTGTCTCGTCCAGACTCCTTTCTTTGATAGGCATTTAGAAGTTGGAATATTAAGTAAGGATAGGATTAATGGATGAACAACTTCTTTATTACAATTAAGAGCGATGTTTCGGTGTAGGTTCTAACCTATCAAACAAGTGCTTGATAACAGTGTAAGAACCTACACCGAAACGTCGCTCTAAACTGTCATAAAGAAGTTGTTCATCCATTAATCCCATCCTTACTTGGTCCAGACTCGATTCTTTACAGGCCGCCGTCATATAGCTGGAATATTGCTGAGTGTGGTTAAACAGTAAACAATCATTATGGGAGCAAGGCGCTCTCTGCTCCACGAGGGCTCTCGATGTGTCCAGTTGTATTGATGCGTGGTAACAGGTTATGTCGTCATAGATTTCAGCACGACTCTAACAGTCAGGTTCTACCTGTCCGTGTACATTAAGTAATGTCAACATTAACGGCCTATTGAGCGACACCTGGTCATATGTGCTGAGTCATTCTGGAAATGGAAATGCATTCAAATCAATTGGTTACAGGATGTCAAGATATTGATAATTCTGAATGAGAGATTTGTGAAACACCTGTTTCTCTATCGACCCAACTTATGCATCTTGTATGTATGGTAAAATAGAGGGTGAGGGGCTATATGTATGCGTTATTATTATATAGACATGCACTTATGCAGGCATAGACTTTAGGGTTCTGAAGGAGTGAGTATGGTTTTATGCCGCTTTTAGCAATATTCCAGCAATATTACGGCGGGGGACACCAGAAATGGGCTTCATACATTGTACCCATGTCGGGAATCGAACCCGGGTCTTTGGCGTGACGAGCGAACGCTTTAACCACTAGGCTACCCGACCGCCCCTGGGTTCTCAAGGAAGTGCACGAATGAGTTAGGTATAATACCGCTTTTAACACTATTTCACTATAGACAATATTTCAGTTATTTGTAAAGAAGACCAACCTTAGGTACGCACAGATTTTTTGTTTGTTGATTTTTGCTGTGTTTTTTATGTTAGAGGCACTGCTTTAGAACACGCATTTTTTTCTGTGAAAGGTGATCCATATGATCATATTTCTGTCAGGACATCCAGCATATATTTAGCTTACAATTTTTTTTATATATTATTTGTTTCCACTTTATTTTTGAACAAATAATAATGATAATAAATAATATAATCTCAAATTGTATGTTGTGAAGCACTGACTGAAAAAGTTTCTGACTGTTTCAAACAAAAATCCCGGGAACAGCCTCATTTTCACTCCTGGCACTGAATATACATCATGGATGCCAGGAGTGAGTGAGTTTGGTTTGACACCCCTTTGAACATTATTCCAGATATACCACGACGTGTCAGCTTAATATGGGGGAAAGTCCGACGTGATGCAGATCTTAGAGGTTTACCACTTTGGTGAAACCCAGCTCAAACGACAAACGATAAACATAGTCTGGGCAAATCATAGGTTTCTGGAGTGCCCAAGGGACGCAACTCTGCACAGCCAGAAAGCGGCTGAACGTGCTCGTTGTTTGAAAAGGAACGGCTATAGGTTAGATAAGTTCCAGTATATATCAATGTCATCAAAATCAGATCTTTCACTCCAATACAATACCTCTCTGCGTTTGAGATCTGAGGACAGGCCGCGTCAGAGGAACCAGGAGTGAACTTTGACCGCCTAATCTAATTGAAGGCTGCGTAGCGTGGATTCTTGAGCCAATCAGATGTCAGCTTTCCAAAAAGATTCAACTTCATTTCCTTACAACCTCTACTTCGATTTGTACTGATGAAAACCCACACAGAAATATTCGTTGATGGTACTCCCTTTTGGATGAAAATGGCATGGCGCTCAGAAACGACAGGGTCTACAACATTACTACAACAATAATGGCGAGGCTTTATGTATGTCAGTCGGACGTCCCCGATTATAATCGTTTTCGAGATACAAATTCAGATATTCTTGTCTAAATGCTTCGCTCTCACGTATAAAGAACGTTAATGTCAACGCTGATTGACTGATTAGCAAGTTCACCAGACGCGACCTGCTCTTGAAGCGTCCTCAGATCGTATCCCGGAGAGGTCGGATATCGGAGAAACGAATCTGATTTTCTTGAGGTTAAGTATATTTATTTATTACGTTTTGCTTCACGCTGATTGGTTGGTTCATGCGAACTGTTCTTTCGTCAGGACTGTTTACGAAGCGGCTATAGCAAAGGGGCGTCTTGTAAAGACAATGTCACAAGGACGTCCTTCATGACGTCACAGATGATTTTAACTCACCTCGTTCCAACAATAAGAGAGCCAGTTTCGTAGACAAAAATACCATATGTATTTTAGAATAACCTACGAGTTAGAAAGAAAAAAAGTATTATCTGTCCCGAATGAAATATATTTATATATATCTACGTTTCGAGCCTCTGTGGTCAGCATGTATAGGCATGTCTCGTTATAACGCTAAGTATAGCTATAAAGTATATTATTTACACATTTCATGTCAATTATATTCGGATTCTTTTTGTGTCGTGATCGCTCTTCTCGCTTCAGTGCCTGGTACAACTATGGCGGTATAACGAAGCGTCGTGCAGCCTATACGAGAACATGCAGTTTGCCGATAGATCTTCATTGTACTGCGTGGCTAACATTGTCACCATGAACCCGTGTCCATGGCAACACAATATGGTAAATACATAAAACTAAGTAAACACAGTCAACCCGTGTCCATGACAACACAATATGGTAAATACATAAAACTAAGTAAACAGTCAACCCGTGTCCGTGACAACACAATACGGTAAATACATAAAACTCTTAGTTGACACAATGAACCCGTGTCCATGACAACACAATATGGTAAATACATAAAACTAAGTAAACACAGTCAACCCGTGTCCGTGACAACACAATACGGTAAATACATAAAACTCTTAGTTGACACAATGAGCCCGTGTCCGTGACAACACAATATGGTAAACACATAAAACTCTTAGTTGACACAATGAACCCGTGTCCATGACAACACAATATGGTAAATACACAAAACTAAGTAAACTCAATGAACCCGTGTCCATGACAACACAATATGGTAAATACACAAAACTAAGTAAACTCAATGAACCCGTGTCCCTGACAACACAATATGGTAAACACATAAAACTCTTAGTTGACACAATGAACTCGTGTCCCTGACAACACAATATGGTAAATACATAAAACTAAGTAAACACAGTCAACCCGTGTCCGTGACAACACAATATGGTAAACACATAAAACTCTTAGTTGACACAATGAACCCGTGTCCATGACAACACACTATGGTAAATACACAAAACTAAGTAAACTCAATGAACCCGTGTCCCTGACAACACAATATGGTAAATACATAAAACTAAGTAAACACAGTCAACCCGTGTCAGTGACAACACAATATGGTAAATACATCAAACTCTTAGTTGACACAATGAACTCGTGTCCATGACAACACATAAAACCAATATAGAGAATTTTATCCCAAGGCAGAGATTTATATCCAAGACAAGAGACATGTGAGTGAGGTCGATGTGTTCCTTTATGCCCTTGGCACAAACTGCAATTGAAGATAAAAGTAGTTGAATGCAAATGTGATACATAACTTCTTGACTGGGTTCTGTTGTGTTTGTTCGTTGTTTAACGCCGCACTCAGCAATATTCCAGCTATGATGACCGCGGTTTGTCAATAATTGAGTCTGGACCAGACAATCCATGGATTGATAGCATGAGCATCGATCTGTAAAATTGGGATGCGATGACATGCATCAACCAAGACAGCAAGCCTGACCACCCGATCCCGTTAGTCGCCTCTTCCGACAGGTATTGGTGCCTGAAGACTAATTCTTACCCGGATCTTCGCGGGTCGGCTGGGTTCCGCCTATGCATCACAGAGATGATTAAGTGATATACGGTAAACTACGGTTATAACGAACACGCTTAAAACGAACTTACTTGTTAGGCCCGGCCATGTGTTGCATATATGCTGTATATATGCTTATAACGAACTGCGGTTATTACGAACTAAAATGGGCGGTCCCTTTGAGTTCCTTATAACCGTAGTTTACTGTATGTGTTTTTTAAGGAAATAGACACGATTGAATGTGTACACAGAAAGTTTGTGAAAAAAACGTATTAGATATATGTTAAAGATTACAGAGTGCTTTGTTAGATGAAAAAAGCCTACCTTACCAAATGTGTGCAGTTAACGATAAAGAAACCAATTGTACTTTTGCTAAATAATTACTCAGTATATTCCAACTTAGAGGTGACATGTAACCTCACGTGTGTTACATTTATTTATACATTTTCATGTAATATGGGTCATATGGCCTTGAAATCAATACACATCTTGAAATATATGTTTGATAATGAATGAACACAGAATAATGTTTAATGTTGTCTAACGCTGCTCGTTAAGTCACAGGCAGAGAGTTTGGTTTAAGGCGCTTTAAACAGTATTTCAGTTCTATCATTGTGTGTCAGCTTAATGTGGGAGAAAAGCCCGAAGTGAAGCAGTTCTGTTTCGTTTACCACGATTTTTTTAAAATGTTAAAGAATGCGTTATTACAGTGAATCTGGTAATGAAACTGGGCGCCACAAATCGTGTACCAAATCATCACATGTCTATATCAGTATGTCATCTCTGTAATCAAGACGTGGTTGACATGCTTGGCGTGGGTTTCCACTGTCGTGTCAAAGTTCTATCATTTCTAGCCTCCATTCTTTTCTACTCGAGACCATTACTCAGCGTACCAACATGAGACATTGGCGGTATTTAGAAACCGTATATCAACCAATAGACGCACGTGTGTTTAGTATGTATTTATTTGACATTATAACATGGGCCTCTATTCAAGACTCAATTAACAAAATATTCAACGCATACGGTTTCTGAATGTGAAACCCATCATGATGACCTCACACTATCTGAGCCAGGAAATCACTGGCTATTAAGAACGTGCAGTATGACGGATAGACTAACATTAGTCCCATGAAGTGAAGTTATTTTATTTAAAAATATACCAAATAAAAATAATAAAATCCAAATGGAGCCCACAACAGTGCTTAATTTCGGGGATTAACCAAATCTGCAAGGTTCTATTTTGTTGGAATTTCTGTAATCTTCAATATCAACCTTCATTTCTGTTTACATGCCAGTGATACTCAGTAGCGTATTTAAGACCACTACCTGACACCTCCCTGGTCTCCCCCTTCCTCCCCAAGCTACCAATCACTGCTGCTTTTCTTCTTGTTTTTTCCAGCGGAGGAAAACGAGACTTGAAATCTTTCTAGAGCTGAGTTGAATTTCCTTGTTAATTCATTCTCAAGGGTATGTGAGTTAGTGTTCTAAAGTGGAGACATAAGCCCAAATATTGTTGGAACGATGTAAAATTGTGGAAACTGTTCTCTATTCTTAAATAGTACAGGAACGTCTTAAAACGAGGAACTCTCCGTAATATCGACGGTAAAGGTACTGGGGCTAACACTAAACAGACTGATGCTCTGAGGAAGTGTGGCTCCAATTCCGGCACGGACCATCTCTTTTCATAAATTTTCATATAAAGCAGTGTCATAATTTATTGCATATACAATGCCAACAATTGATTGTTTCGGTTGGCAATACATGCCGTGTTGAATGGCTGGTGGGCGGAAGACGTTGTCACGTAGCCCCAGATGTAGCGGGCGATACATGCGGTATACATTCAATAACACCAGGTGACTAAGTGTTCATGTCATTCGTCACCACTCGCCCCTTTCCGTAACCTGCAAGAAGAATCCGGCTTGTCCCGGAATAACACGAGTTGGTCACGAATGTGTTCATGTCTGTATCAATCACAGAATCGGACAACCGTTCAGCGGTGTTAACACGTGACACATAGCGGCGCCCCCTGGTGGATTAACAGCAGCGACGACAGGTGTTCGAGTCATGTGACATACACTGATAGATACATGTCCTTTAAAGCACACGGTGTAGCATGTCGTTAGACAATTGTTATTGTCGAGTTTTCTCAATTTCCGTTAAGGGTTAGAATTTCGTGATTACTATTCATGCAGGAGAACCGACAGTAGAATCAATACATTGGACAAATTGTTGTATAAAAATATCAACCTACATTAATTTGGTATTGCTTTGCTTATTAAATATTATAGAGTAGAGTAAATTTTAGGTTTTATGGCCAATAAAGTTCAATAAAATTGTGTTGTTTGTTTGTCGCTTAATGTCGCACTCAGCAATGACGTCGGCCTGTAAATAATCGAATCTGGACCAGACAATCAAGTGATTGACATCACAAGTATTAATCTTCACAATATGGACACACGGACATGTATCAACCAGATCAGCGAGCCTGACCACCCAATCCCGTGAGTCGCCTCTTACGACAAGCACGGGTTGAAAAGACCAATTCTAACATGATGTTCACGAAGCCAATAATACTGCAGTTGCCTGACACATATATAGGGTATTCTCCTGTCATTGTATCGGCTCAAATATACCGGAAGAAATAAATAGGGGATTAAAACGATTTTGTTGTTGTGTTCATACGGTAATACATTATATTAACAACACTCAGTGAGGTAAACTGCCGGGCAAAAGAAAGTATACACCCATGTTTTGATGGTTAAAATGAAACAAAGAAGAAATGGTTTTTCGATGGTGATGAATTTTTGATAGTTACGAATGTCACAGTTGTGTTTTGGGTCTTAAGTGTGTCGTGTTTCGGCCACTGTTTTCTCGCCTAGTAACGGTTACATAACAATGTCATGTTTTGCTCAAATCCAATTTCCAAGCGTATACTTTCTTTTGCCCAGCAGTATACGTGCTTCCCCAGATAACCGTTCCTTTATTTCCGTCAGTATAGAAACGCTCTCCGCTCTCTGTAGGTATTAGTCTGTTTAGTTGGTATTCTGATTGCACACGAATCTGATGACTTGATAAAATATTAAATTGACCTATCCATCCCTCAAATGCTGACAGCTTCAAACTTCCACTTCTGCGAGTCTCCTCCATTACATGGGTTTACGATGACTGTCCCGCCAGAGCTGAGATTAACTCTGTCTAAACACTTGCCAGACTTGTCCTGGATGATTGTGCCTTGGTCCTGGAATACAAAGCTACACGTATCAAAACTATGTACGGTGACTAAACTGAACCCTTTCATCACGACTGACCCCTGGGGATTCCGGGGCAGAATTGGACCCCCATGCTAGCCTCAAACGTAAGTGTCTCCTGAACAAGCATTGCTGATGCTAGTACCAGTCACTGGATTGTCTGGACCTCGGGTTATTTCAAGGCCGCTATCATATACCTGAAATATTGCTGAGTGCGGCGTTCAATAGAAACCACGCGTAATGCAAACAAAGGTATTGTGCTGGGCATTATTTATTAGGGTTGTGTGGGTTTTGACCCGACGACCAGCAAATTCAATATACATTACGAAGGGACGCAATTATGAAAGTTTGATTTTGGGAGATTTGTCTTTTCATTGAAACCTACCTCGTCATGTTTCCACTTCATCCCCGGCGTCTTTTTAGAACACAGCATCATCCTGGCGACTCCGCCGTCGACCCCCTGCGAGTCAAGACACAGATCCTCCCGCCGTAGCTCTTCAGTCTGACTTAAAGAAAACAGCTGGAAACGGAAAGTGTTAACCTCACATGAATAAACTGATAAGTTTAACATAAATGATATGAAGATGATTAGTATTGTTTTTTCACTCAAAGGCAAAATGTATCTGTAATCATATGTTTTGTTATGATATTTTGATATGAAACAAAAGTTCATCTCTTTGAGGGGCGGTCGGGTAGCCAAGTGGTTAACCCGTTAGCTCGTCACGCCGATGATCCGGGTTCGATTCCCCACATGGGTACAATGTGTGAAGCCTATTTCAGGTATTCCTGGAATATTACTAAAAGCGCCTGGTATTGTCACACCTTGATTGTGATCCATTAACACTTGTTCATGATAAAAACGGAATCGTAAAATGGATATCTTTTGATTATTGAAATGGTTTTTGACGCTTTCATTTATTACTGTTGACCTGTGTGCGATAGAGTCACTTGTTTGTTTGTTTGTTTTTTGTTTTACGCCGCACTCAACAATATTCTAGCCACATGACGGCGGTCTGTAAATAATCGAGTCTGGACCAGAAAATCCACTGATTCACATCATTAGCACCAATCCATGCAATTGGGATGCGATGACATGCATAAAACCAAGTCAGCGAGCCTGACCACCCAATCCCGTTAGTCGCCTCTTACGACAAGCATAGTCGCCTCTCGTAAATGCAAATGCGTCTATGATCTAACAACTTTCACCTGGTTAGTACTGGCGCCCGACTGACAATAATACACGCCCAGGTCGTATTCCATCCTGTCGTTTCCACCCAGAGTGTCCAGACAGAGTGAACTGCCCATAGCCTTCACCTGGAAACAAAACCCAGCATGAATATACGGAAACAGCTGCCTTGCAACGTTAACGTTTTGAAACCAGTGTCTTCTGATTGGCTAATGTCGACTTCCTTTGAGTCATTTCATTGGTCAGTTATAGTTCGCGAAAGGTCGTTCTGACGTGACATGTTATGGGATGTAGCGAGTACTAAGATCTGATTTTGATGAGATTGACATCACGCTGTCACAATTCTCAATCTGTCTGAGGCCCTTTGGAAGAACAAATTTACCGATTCTTGCTCTCCACATCTCAACTTAGACAGCCATATTGTCGTCGGTACACGATTCATTTTGGCTACCTTCAAATGTTTTGACTGATTCATTTTTGTTTTCTCGGAGCGAGAAGTGAGCACATCTATTCCTAAAGGGAGGTAACCCGACACTTATCACAATTCGAGTTGCTCAATATAACCACATCTTCCCGGGGCAAAGGAGTTAACTCATTGTAAGAGTCTAGTTTTCACCCTTGCCGAACTAGGCTGGAATTATGGAGTTATATTTTTGTCGCAGGTTCAGGCTTCTAGTCGTCCCAGACAAATATTGAAGACGGAGTTTCTTTTAAAATGTATTTATTTGCCTGTAACATGAAACGTCAACATTAGAAAAGTGTTGAGTGCTGTCGGCCAATCCTACCAGGCTGACAGGTGACAATTGACTGTGCGTATTATATATGATGTATATAATAATGATAGGAGTAAAATAGGCAAAATATCTATCTAAGCACTGTGGCTATATATTACGGCGTGTCAGCTTAATGTGGGAGGAAAGCCCGAAGTGATGCAGGTCTCAGACGTTTACCACTTCGGTGAAACCCACAAGCACGGTTAATGGTGCTGACAGACCTAGAAACATAATCGGGGGCATAGAAGGGACCCAGAGCCCAGAAATTCAAGCTGAGTTCGGCAAGTTAGAGTCGGTTAACTCCCTTCCCTCGGTAAGATGTTTAACCAGGCAACGTCTTAGCGATAGTTATTCCCATACTTTAACATAGACTTACGACAGTCGTAACGTCACAATAGCTTTGTGAAACGGGGCGTAGGATCCAACCTACATGCATATGTCTCCACCAAACTTCGAGTTGTCTCAAGTGAATGCCCTAACGATATGAAATAGTCTGTGCTGTATATTGAAGCACATGTGAGACATTGTGCGTGACCTCCAACTCACCATGCCCCAGGCCTTGACACCCTCATCCAGGACAAACTTCTCGGGGTACACGTTGTCCAGATACCACTTGAAGCTCTTGCACTGAAGCTTGTCCCGGAGACCAACTCGAGCAGATATGTCCCCGATGTCTTTACCCTACAACAATATACACAGTGACATGTTAGACAGGCGAGCGTAACGCTTGTCCCGGAGACCACCGATATGTCCCCGAAGTCTTTACCCTAGAACAATATACACAGTGCCATGTCAGACAGGCGAGCGTAACGCTTGTCCCGGAGACCAACTCGAGCAGATATGTCCCCGAAGTCTTTACCCTAGAACAATATACACAGTGCAGGTTAGACAGGCGAACGTAAAGCTTGTCCCGGAGACCAATTCGAGCAGATATGTCCCCGAAGTCTTTACCCTAGAACAATATACACAGTGCAGGTTAGACAGGCGAACGTAAAGCTTGTCCCGGAGACCAACTCGAGCAGATATGTCCCCGAAGTCTTTACCCTACAACAATATACACAGTGCAGGTCAGACAGGCAACAGACTAGGTCGTCGCATAAGGTACTCGACATCTTTTCGAAGCTATATGAGATAAGTACAGCGATCTGATTGGATATCGCGTTTTCATTACAAGGGGCACAACTCGTGATCTACGCGAGGTGGCGCCAGGTCGAGCCAAGAAAAGTGGCCTTGATGTGGCAAGGGTAGACTAGGCTTTGATATCGGCTAGTGGACACGCTTGCCTCGGGAAGATGTCATCAGCCATGTTTTGATATCTGTCGATATATAAACATCAGTTGCTCGAGATTGTTAACAATCATTCCGCAAATAATTTATAGACAAAGAAACCATGTGACCCACCCGAAACTGTCGTCTGCTCCCGAATCTCGTGTGGCTCTGTACAGACTTGACACGTTTAATATTATCTGCATTCATTTCAAGTCAATATTACAACACAACAAGGACACTTCCACGTGTTCCATACCTTCAACGCATGTCTGTGCATATAGAACAGTCTTTTGTAATCGTCCATCCAGACCTCAGCCACCCTCGCCGAGTTTACACCGTGCGTGTCCTTGCCACCTGAATTATCACAGACAATGTGTTCAGTATGACGTCATTGGCTCAAAATACAAACCTTCAGAAGTGTACTTCCGCGGCATTAATACAATACCTCACATCCAAACTATAAACAAATGTCACACTTCCTCATTTAAACCATGTATAGATACAAAGTTACCTTGTTAATAATGTCAAATGTTTTTACTATATTAAGTGACCGCCTCCGTGGTCTAGTGGTAGAGCTTTCGTCCAAAGAGCGGAAGGTCCGGAGTTCGATCCCCGACCGCGTCATTGCAAAAGACGTTAGAAGATGGGACTTCTTGTTACCCTGTCTGGCGTTCGGCATAAGGGGCTAAAACAAGGACTGGTCGGCTCGGAGTCAGTATACTGTGTCTGGGTGGGGTATTCATGTTAAACTGCGGCATGGTATCTCAGTGTGCTAGCACTATAAATCGGCATCAGTCCGGACTAGTACAAGCAGCCACACACACACACACGTGCATACACGTCGCTATATAAGTGCAATAATTTTAAATCCCATTGCACATCACCATACCTATTATTAAGTTTGAAAAAGTGTGATGGGGGCGCCTTCAGTAGATGATCATGTGTTTCCTTCTTACAGCGTTGTAGGTTTCGTTGTAAGTAAAACAGTTGTGTTGCCGCTTTTAACAGTATTCCAGTTATATCACGGAGTGTCAGCTTAATGTGGGAGGAATGCCCAAAGTGATGCAGGTTTCAGACGTTTACCACTTCCGTGAAACCCACGGGCACGGGTATGGTGCTGTCAGGCCTAGAAACATAATCGGATCGAAAAGATATTCGAACCCACAATCATAGGTTTCTGGTGTGCCCAAGGGACGCAATTCTGTACAGCGACTGGGCCACCCGTGGCCTTATGTAAGACATGAAATTTGAAATTAATATGATGCAAATGACCGCTAGTATTATCAAAAAATTATTATTATCATCAAATTATTATCATTTATGACTATAATGATTTTTGGTGATGATGATGATTATTATTATTATTATTTTAATCATTATTGCGTAGATCGATGCTCATGATATCAATCCCTGGATTGTCTGGTCCAGACTTGATTATTTACAGAAAACAAAACATGTGCTGACAAACCAACCGGACGCGTCAGAACAATCTCCCAGTCCCCTTTTAGATGACTGTTACGAGCTCGGGACGGAATGATCTTGGTGGGTTTTTTTGTGGATGACGAGCGAACAAAGAAGCTTTACCCCACCAGTGATTGACATCACGAGCATCGAACCAAGCAATTGGGATACGATGACATGCGTCAATCAAGTCAGCGAGCCTGACCCCCCGATCCCGTGTGTCGCCTCTTACGACAAGCATGGGTTGCTAAAGACCAATTATAACCCGGATATTAATGATCGCCTCACTTATCAATTCTGCACCAACAACTGTTCTCACACAAGTGTGTCACAATCACACTCAACGCTGCATTCGGAATCGTACAAGGGATTTTAGCAGATATTTGTTATTGATTTGGAAAGGGTTTTGGTGCTTCTATTTACCTGGGGACCCGTGAATATTCCGGGGTAGAATAGGTCTTCAGCAACCCGTGCTTGCCGTAAAAGGTGACTATGCTTGTCGTAAAAGGCGACTAACGGGATCGGGTGGTCAGGCTCGCTGACTTGGTTGATGCATGTCATCGATCCAAATTGCGTGGATCGATGCTCATGATATTAATCACTGGATTGTCTGGTCCAGACTCGATTATTTACAGACCGCTGTCTTATAGCCGGAATATTGCTGGGTGTCCCGTTAAACAACAAACCAACCAACCAACCAACCAACTATTTACCTGGGAACGTATAGGGATGACTGGAGCGGAAGATATGCCCGACACGGGAACAAGGCAGAAACTCCAGCCGGCCGCCACACATCCACGTCTGAAGCACAACATGTCACAATGGATTATCTCTCCAATCTCGGCACCATGCTCATAATGCTGCATAATGTTGCTCACAAGGTATTTAGATACTTGTTCACGCCACCTTTACCTTGTCGTATAGTTATCTGAATAATATTTTTCAGATAAACTTTGCCTATCTGACTAGAAATAAGTTCGTTGTGGCCAACATGTCATGTGCATATTTGTTTGATGAGAGATTAACTGAACACTGTGTACTTGATCTCGAGGTTCTCCCTACACGTCCATTCCGTCACCTACAGAGGGTCGTGATGAGTGCCGTGAACGGAAGTCTCTGTACTTACTCTGAAGGAGATCTCGAGGTTCTCCCTACACGTCCATTCCGTCACCTACAGAGGGTCGTGATGAGTGCCGTGAACGGAAGTCTCTGTACTTACTCTGAAGGAGATCTCGAGGTTCTCCCTGCACGTCCATTCCGTCAACTACAGAGGGTCGTGATGAATGAGGTGAACTGAAGTCTCTGTACTTACTCTGAAGGAGATCTCGAGGTTCTCCCCTCCCCACACGTCCATTCCGTCATCATAGCCCCCGATCTCCCAGAAGAACTTTCTGTCCAGCGCCAGCAAGCCTCCGGCCATTGTTGGAGAGCTGAAATGAAAAGGGTTTTTTAACCATTGCAGTGCAAGAGTGGGCGAGTGCAAGAATGCAAGAAAGAGTGGGTTGCTCGCATTGTGGATTATGTAAAGGTGACTGCAAGGGAGTATTTGCTGCGAATAAAACGGCAATGTTTTACAGCGCAATTCGTTAGAATACAAAAGAGAAAATGTCAGCAGGAACCGCATCCAATCGAAAACGAAGGGCACTAATTACATGAACTACGGTAACTAATATGAAATTTCAGCAATTTGACCTGATAGGGTCCGTGTATTTCCGGTGTACTTTCTCCCTCTCCGGGATGTCTCTCCAGGTGAAGTGCATGCTCCAGGAAAACCCGCCCACATTGTAGCCCCCATTACCAGAATACTCCAACGTGTTGTCGTTGATGGCGTCAATGATGGGACACACTACCGTCTTCCGGTTTTCTTGTATTCGAGCAAGGATCGGTTCCAACCTTTGCAACAGAAAACTTGAACATCACATCTTTTGCTCAACAGGTCGTAATGCATTCACTAATTCAGTGAGTAAGACGACCCATCTTTTCAACAAATACAGGTTTTCCGGTAAAATATCTATATGTTGTACACAGTGGCAGTAAAATAATTAAAGTTAAAAAACAAACGATTTAATGATGAACAACTGTTTCAACGTTACAAACATGTTCAGGATTAAACTTTTTCTTGTTCATTTTAGCAGTCACTAAATCAGCTATAAAATTAATTCAAAAAGTTTCCACTCACCACTGTGTTCCTGCCTCACAGTGAGAATCCAGGAACACGATGACGTCACCCGTGGCAGCCTTGGCACCTTCAATACGGGTTCGTATCAAGCCACTCCTCTGCTGGGTCCTCACCATCTTCACAACACCATCAGGCCACGTCTTCTCCACGTAGGTCTTCAACTTGTCCCCCAACTCAGCTGCAACAGCAACAAGAGGGTCGGTGTAATATATATGATGTATAATATGATATATCTGATATAGCATAGATTGGTCTGATATAGCTGTTACAGCATAGATGGTCTGATATAGCTGTTACAGCATGGATGGTCTGATATAGCTGATATAGCATAGATGGTCTGATATAGCTGTTACAGCATAGATGGTTTGATATAGCTGATATAGCATGGGTGGGCTGATATATAGCTGATATAGCATAGATGGGCTGATATATAACTGATATAGCATAGATGGGCTAATATGTAGCTGTTACAGCATAGATGGTTTGATATAGCTGATATAGCATGAATGGGCTGATATATAGCTGTTACAGCATAGATGGTCTGATATAGCTGATATAGTATAGATTGGTCTGATATAGCTGTTACAGCATAGATTATCTGATGTATGACCGATATAGCTTAGTTGGGTCTGATATAGCTGATATAGCATAGATGGGTCTGATATATGACTGATATAGCTTAGTTGGGTCTGATATAGCTGCTATAGAATAGATGGTCTGATATGTAAGTGATATAGAATTGATGGGTCTGATATATAACTGATATAGCATAGATGGGGCTAATATATGACTGATATAGCATAGATGGGTCAGATATATACCTGATATAGCATAGATGGGTCTGATATAGATGACATAGCATAGTTTGGTTTATATAGCTAATAATAGGTCTTATATAAAGCTGAATTGCATAGACTGGTCTAATATATAGCTGATATGCCATATCTAGGTCTGAAATAGCAGATGTAGCATAGATGGGTCAGATATATAAATGTTACAGCATCGCTGGGTCTGATACTATAGTTGTTACAGCATAGATGGGTCAGATGTAGCTGATATAGCATAGGTAAGTCTGATATATAGCTGACATAGCATCGTTGGATCTGATATAACGTGTTTGGATCTGATATAGCTTTTTAGCATAGATGGGTGTGGTATATAGCTGATATAGCATGGATGGGTCAGACATACAGTTGCTATAACAGAGATGGGTCTGATGCAGGATAGAAGGGTCTGACATAACTGATATAGCATACATTTGTCTGATATAGCTGATACAGCATAGATGGGTCTGATAGATAGCATAGACTAGTTTGTGGATGCGTCTTGGGTTGTCATAGAAACAAAATCCTTATGTTGAAAGTATATCATTAACACAATTTATAGTTTGATACTTGTATGTCGTTAAAGCCCCAACTATAATTCCTTTTCCTGGCAACACCATGGGATGCTCATTCTGTCAATCACCGGTTTGCCTTGATGTTTCAGGCATGCCTCAAATGCATTTACAACTAGTTGAATGTCAAAAGGCATTTACTTCCAAAATAAAAATAACACCCAAAAACGAATTATAAGACGGTCCGCATACCTCAAACATTTCCTGATTTCATGTCATGATAAATAAAGGAGAAATGGCTGAGTATTGGGTAGAAATAACTACCATTAATCAACATGGCTGCCATTGCCTCTATGCTTCAAATCTGATCAGAGTCATAGGAGCATACAGCATCACTGGCATCCTCCATTGAAAGTTTCAACTCCTTAGTCCTGTTGCTTCAGATGAGGCGGACTACGAACATCAGACAATGCACCGAGACATAGGCTCACTTTAAATGAAATTGCGCGAAATATAAATCGTCCATGTCTTCCACAAACAGATAAGTGAGATTTATAAGTATAATAATATCAGCGCACTATAACCAAATACTGCCAATAGATCCATACTGTTTGATTGGTTACAACCCTTCCAGATCTCTCCGTTCTCAGAATAACCACCTGTTACAAGTCCCGGAAACCCGTCTCAAAACCTTTGGTCAGATATCTTTCCAGTTCTGCGCTTCTTCGCTACGGAACAAACTACCATCTGATCTTAAGCTGTCGCCATCACTTTCATCCTCTAAGGCTCATCTGAAAACACACCTTTTCAGACAACACTATCAATTCTACTCCCCCTTTCCATTAGCATTACTTGCTAAAACTATGTAGCGCCATGAGCATTTACTTGGAAAATGGAATCTGGCGCAGTATAAATGGACTTATTATTTATTTATTATTATTTACCATGGTTACTTACGTCGGTCACTGAAATCATCCAGTAAGACAACTTCGTGCAGATATTCGGGCGGAGATCGGTTTATCACGCTGTGCACCGTCCTCAGCAACGTCGTCCAGGCCTCGTTGTGGTAGATTATCACAACACTCGCACTTGGAAGGATCTTAGGGTAGACAATATCCTTACACCTGGAAGTAAAACCATAAATCATTCAGTGTTGATTAAAATAAAATATTATGGCTCTATGATGTAGGACTGATAGAATATTCCAGCCATATCAAAGCAACACAGGCAGCTTGGGTTGTGTACTCCTCAGGGCGCTGAGAATGAAAATCGAGTGCACACTGATCCATTGACCGGGGTAGTAGTGAAATATTTGGAGCATGTTTTAGGTTTGGATCATAATTATTCACTTTCTCTTTCGGCCCATAACATAATAATATGTTTAAATCTATCGATATTGTTCAAATAATCACCAGAAAACCAGTGTCAGACCGGTTTCAGCAATTGTATCTGACCTTTGACTTCGTAACATTAATATGGGCGAATAAATGTGTCTGTTATATAATTCAATCAATTAAAATTTGATATTGCAAACAAAAACAACAGAATGCATTGTTATTAGCTAATCGCTATCCTTAGAAATGGAAACACCTGACTTCTACTATCGGGCCATTGCCATGAAGCGTTCATAAAATATTTTATGAACGCATAATCACTGTTAAACAATGACTACAGGCCTTCTATGAAACGTTTCTTATCGTGTCTTCTACCTTGACTGTAAATGTACTTGCCCACTCTATATATTTGTTAACATGTATTTGGAATGGAATAAAATCTATATCAAATATTAAAATATTTAATCTAATTGTACCAATAATGTTCGACGTTATCTCCGGGACGTCAGTTGCACGCCTTTTTTAAACTGTGACACTTGACCTAATTAATACTGAACACTATGAATAAGTATCTGACTTGCTCTGTCTTTTATGTGGATAGCTAAAAATACAATTTCCTTTGAAACGTATACTTTTTGGTCGTTTTTATCCAACGCTTTACACGGCCATGGACACCGAAGACGACTATTTGTAAAAACGTTTCTCGTTTACGCGCATAATAAATAATAGATAATTAATACAAAGAACAAGAATATTCCACACGTGGGAATTTCTGGTGTCTCCGCCGTGACAAAATATAGCTAAAGGCGGCTCACTGACTCTAACGGTTATTGCAAACATATAAATATATCAAAATATTGCCTTTCAGTGCACATAGGGAATCGAACCTTGGCAGTCGGCGTGACGAGCGAACGATTAACTAGGCAACCCCACCCCCTTAAATGTTGCTACAGTGATGCTAATGTAAACATCCCAAACCAGGAAAGATCAGCGTCGCTTCCCTCAAAATGTTTACATTATCAGAATCTTCTACTCAACTGGCATCCTAACTACAGTAAAGTACGGTTATAACGAACTCAAAGGGACTACTAATTTTAGTTCGTTATAACCGAAGTTCGTTATAAGCATATATACAGCATAACTACAGCAAATAGTCGGGACCAAAAAAGTAAGTTCGTTATATCCGTCAGTTCGTTATAAGCGTGTTCGTTATAACCGAAGTTTACTGTACATGTACATTTAAGGTCCCTGAAGGTAACCAACCCACATACTACTGACATAGCACCCAATATTGCCATGTATCAACGGTCAAAGTACCAGCTATTCAAATGCACACAAAACACATAATCTTGCATAACACATATATCACAACGTGGCACCCCAAAAAGGGTTAGAAATGGGAGAAAATGACACATTAAATATAGCCGCTGTTCAGCCACGTTTTAATCGGATCGGAATAATGCGAGTTGGATCAAGACACGACACTGTTATGTTTCATAGAAGATATCGATATTGTCAATAGTTAATATTTAATATCATGAGCTCACGTGACCGTTCAATGAAAAAAATCTGTTTATCAGTTTAAAGATCTTACCTTCGATCACGAACATCCTTCACGGATCGCTCCAGCGATATTTTTCCACTTGCAACTATATTAAACGCTTCTTTATGCATAAGTTTTTCTCCTAAAAGTTTTTCTTCCCCTTTTAAATGCACCGGTAATCCTTTTTCGCCGGGTCCTGTTCGAAGTGACTCGCTAGCTTGGTAGGCATCAAACCGCTTCTTTCGAATAAACAGAACATGGCTGGGTACCTTTTCCAAAGACGTCCCGATGATATTTGTGTAGAAAATCACGACAGTCAGACAAAATAATGCAATGAAAACTATCTGCTTAATTTTTAGCTTTCTAAACCGTATGACTCTCATTCTGCCGAAACAGACATACACTGACAATGGCGGACGTGTCTAGCCGATGCGATATGGCTCATAGCGCCTAGACATGCATAGACACGTCGCAATGGATTTATGACACAGCTTGAGGGAACATAGATAAATGGTGTGATTAGTATTGAAGAAATGTCAACAGATTACGTTGATCGAACAAAAGGATTAATGAATACGATTCTCGTCATCAAACTACCGGCATCGCCTTGTATCTCACGAGTGTTTGGAGTTACAGGTAAACTTTCATGGGCCGCCTTCGTAGTGTAGTGGATAGAGCGTCTGACCGGACAGCGGATTGTCGGTGGTTCGATCCCCTGACCGTGGCATGCCAAGAGACGTCAAATGATGGTACTTATTGTTCCCCTGCCTGGAGCATGAGACGAACGGGCTTAAACAAGAATCGGTGGGGTCAGAGTGCGCGCGCGCGCACACACACACACACTCACACGCACACGAACGCGCACGCGCGCACACACACACGCACAGGCACACAAACACACCAAGTCAGTGAGTCTGGCCACCCGATCCCGTTAGTCGCCTCCAACAACAAGCAAAGTCGCCTCTTACAGCAAGCATGGGTTGCTGAAGACCTATTCTACCCCGGATCTTCACGGGTCTATTTCACGTCTAAACCCCATTTCACTTCACATCATATCAGTTTGTTACCAGTGGATATGCATGTCTCTATGTTCTTTTGTTAAATCTGAAAATAAAATATATTCAACATTATAAGGTCAATTTTGTTTCAATGGTTACGATGAAGTCGGTTGCCAAGCAACGGGGAGTACAAAAATATTCAGGTGTTGTTTTTTTTTAATCTGGTGTTACCTGTAGCTGAAAAAATATCTTCCCACCAGAATATCAAATGTTCGGTCCCGACATGCCTGGTTTCAAGAACGTGTGTTTCGTGGGGTCGTCCGCAGCAGCGTGGGAACCTCTGCATCTGTACTACCTCGAACACGGTGGCCAGTTGTAGCGGTGCGTGATGACAGGTGTTGTCTTCATAGGCGGCAGCAAGACTCTCTGAACAATCAAATCCACTGCCCGTGTCATAAACTGGTAATGTCAACATTATTCTCCTATCGAGCGACACCTGGTTACGTGTACATAGACGTCCTATGATGTTTAATGTGTTCAAATCAATCGTTTATAGTATGTCATGATATTGATGATTCTAGATGATATATTTGTTGGACTGCTAGGTATTTTTGTTAATTTAGGAAGGTTATAATTATGTTACCGTTATGATAACTTAAATATTCATCGTTATTAAACACCGTTACGTTTTTTTCTATATCCAGAAATAATGTTTTGCTTTTTAAGCTGAGTTTAATCAAATTCCGTTTTGTTTCCTGATTTAATTCATCTTTTTGCAGTCATAAAATAGAATATATTTTTTGTATTGAGACCAGGGCCTACTTGCACAAAGCGATCTTAGCGCTAAGACTATTGTAAGCCTATGCTAAAGTATTTGGAGTTACGATCATCTTAGCGCTAAGATCGCTTTGTGCAAGTGGGCCCAGATATTTATTCGGCGACAGCTGCATGACCAGATATATTTTTAACAAAATTTAAACCATGACCCAAAGTACTTTTTCTAAAAGCACCATTGCAACAGTATCATTTTTGTGGCAGACAATTTTATTTTTTCCAACAATCTGAATTCTTTTCAAGAATTTTTGGGTGTTATTATTTTTTTAGAAATCTCAGCCCTCTCCCAGGATAGACAAATGTTCGACTCCCTACAAAAAGACCACATTTATAGTTATTTTAGTGATCTGAAAGAAACTTTTCTAATTTTAATTTTAAGAATTTTCACTCACATTTAAAATCATCATTCAAATCTTTCGCCTATGTGTCTGGATATGCATACTATTTTGCATTGTGTTTATCATAACGCATTCATCATCCTTGTTGCCTTTTTGTTTTGTCTGGAGAAAGGGACGAACTGGTTCTGTTTTGTTTCCATTCAGAATAGTTTTCAAGGCTGCCTTAATTTATCTGTGTGTTAAACCTTCCAACAGTGATGCTGATCTGTTTGAAGACTCTTAGGAGGTGATGACATCACTGCAAGAGATGAAACGTGTACGAAAGAAACTAGTGGTTGACTGTGTGACCACCAACGCGGGGTGCGATAACCGGCCATCCGGGTCATCGTTTTCAACCATCGAAGTACCATTCATTCAGTAAATGACTTCGGTAGGTGCCACACTTTATATTTTTGTTCGAGGGGTCAAAATAATTCTGAACCTTCGGCTAAAAACAAAATGAGGAAAAAGCCCAATTAAATACACAACGTCAATGCCAGAGAATAACCAGTCTCGACTATCTGCCGAACCAGATTCCACTGGGCGCCGAAGGGCAAAATAGAGGTGAAAATTATATGAATGGATCACTGAAAATCAGTGATGACATCAGGTATTCGCGAACAGGGTAAGCATGTCCTGCTCTACATTTAGCACCCGCCACTCAAAAAATACCTGTCCCCGATTTCTCGAAACAAACTTAAGTTCAAAAGCTGAGTTTTTGCTGAGTTTGATTAGAGAAATGCAGTTGAGTTAAAAAATCAGCTGAATTTTTTTTTCAAACTCAATTTGAGATTTGAGTAAAAGCTTAAGTTTGTTTCGATAAATCGGGGCCTGGTCTGTAGGCGCATGCGTATTGTACTTTTTTGAAAGTTGAAGTCGTCCCTCTTGTCATATTGTTTCTGGATATTCTTTTTTTCAGATAACATTTGCTTTCATTTTTTTTACAAATTGTTGCCTATCCCCTGATGATGACGATGAAACCATATCTATTATCATCACGTTGAGTGACAAATACCCCATGGATGAAGGGACACAGTTCTCACAAACACATTCAACTTACTAAAACAATATACCATTAACACCAAACACATTTTATTATTGCACACAATCGTTGGGTGGTTTTAAGAAAATCCAATGAATGCATACAATATATTAGAGTGAATCACATGCATAGAGATAGTCTAACAAAATCAGTGAGTGCTTTCAACGCCGCGATAACCGTACGTCGGTTATATCATGCGTGTCAGCTTAACTGCAAGTGCAGGCGTTGTGTGTCCACTTGCGGCGCTCGTGAGGAAGTAGTAGTTGTTGATGCTACAAATTGTCGTAGGCGCGTTTAGAGACGACCTTGTGCAGACACATCTGGTAGGCATACATGATCACGACGGCCACCATCAGAAGCAGGATGAACACAAGGATGACCCTGAAAAACAAAATAATACCACCGGTACAGATATAAAGAGATAGACTGGAGCAGTGCCTGTTTCCAATATGAATTTAAGACAGTGATAACCTAATCAAATACATCACCATCGAATAACCATTGCTTGCTTGTTTCAAGTTTAGCCACCATCTAACACTGGAGTATATTTTCCTCTTTTCTGGTGTGTTTTGAAAGAATACAATCCTCTGAGGAAAGGGGATGGGGTGGGGATGGGGGCACGGGTGGCCCAGTCGTGTAAGGCGCCGCGATTCGCTGTGCAGAGTTGCGTCCCTTAGGCACGCTAGAAACCTATGATTGTCGGTTCGAATCCCGGTTCGTCCCAATTATGTTTCTAGGTTTGTCAGCACCATACCGTGGTCGTGGGTTTCACCGAAGTGGTAAACGTCTGAGACCTGCCTCACTTTGGGCTTTCCTCCTACATTAAGCTGACACGCCCTGATATAACTGGAATACTGTTAAAAGCGGCATTAAACACAACTCAGTCACACACTGAGGGAAGGGGAGTGATTTTTAGGTAACATTTGAGACATTATCATAATGTTCTCATAATGAATCGAGAACAAACTGTGAACGTATTGAGACAAAGATTGAGAGCAAGATTTGCCCTTTTTACCCAATTATTTTACAGGAAGGAGAGAAGTTAGTTTAAGTGCCTTGTGTCAAGCTGAAACATTGTTTCTATAGATACCGCTCACAAAGAGTAGGGGGCATTGAAAGTAGGACTTTGTTGTTTAACGCCCAAAATCAGCAAAATTCCAGCTATATGGCTGCGGCCTGTTAACAACCGACTCTGGACCAGACAATCCAGTGATTGCCATTATAACCATCGACGCCGAGCCTGACCACCTGATCCAAATAGTTGCCTCTTACGATGCTCAATTCTAACCCAGAATCCCCTCGTCTTCCCAATGTGTTCCTATCTTACGAATAGTAATGTTTGTTTGTTTGTTGTTTAACGCCGCACTCAGCAATATTCCAGCTATATGACGGCGGTCTGTAAATAATCGAGTCTGCAACCAGACAATCCAGTGGTTGATATCATGAGCATCGATCCACGCATTTGGAATCGATGACTTGCATCAACCATGTCAGCGAGCCTGATCACCGTTAGTTGCCTTTAACGGCAAGCATGGGTTGCTGAAGACCTATTCCACCCCGGGTCTTCCCGATATACATGTTTGTGAACTTTGGGGATAAGACATGGGTGCCCTTCCCCCCCCCCCCCCCCCCCCCCCCCCCCCTTCATGCTGATCTGTTTCTTTGTAAACATGAATTAGAATTGTAATTATTCAAAGCGCTGCGCTAATGTGACTTTTCAAATTTTCTTATAGGTGTCCTGCGTACTAACAATTATTGAATTACCATAAGTTGAAGAAATTCTTCCAAAAGGATCTTGAGCGTCGGTGCTGTTTTGTTTGCAAACACAACTACAGGCACATGTTGTTAATGCTTATGCATAGAAATGTCAACAAAGCCCATATTTGGACATATATCAATATTCATGCGCAACCAGATTTTGCAACCGGTTTCAGTTTGGTTTGTTAACGAACGAAAGTTGTTATGTATTTACACTTAAATATATATTTGACGTGGGTAATAAATAAAATACGACACTCATTCTCGTAAGATACCATTTTTACGAAACTCGTGAACATTCAATGATACCAAAGAAAGTCCACTCGTTTCGTCAAAATGGTATTCTCTACATATGTTATCGACACGACACATCAGACGACCATTCGTGACCAACTCGTGTTATTCCGGGACAAGCAGGTTACGGAAAGGGGCGAGTGGTGACGAATGATCAGACGACATTGTTCAGATACGTACACCTGAGCCACGAGGAGGGTCTGGAAGCCACTGAGATCCAGTTGTTCTATCGGCGGAATGATGTGGGCAGGGATGCCGCCCCCCGTCGGTGTGATCCTTCTGGCGGTCGGCCCTATAGTGACTGGTTTCTGGGTGATGGTTTGGATGCTGACAAGCTTTGGGGTGATGGTTTGGATGCTGACAAGCTTTGGAGTGATGGTTTGGATGGTGATCGCCGTTGGGTCGCCAGTTGCTCTTAGATTCGACTTCATTGCACAGGCAGCGACACTCCTCAGCGTCATCAACTGGAAAAGAAACACACGTAAGGTCGTCGCAGCTGTATCCCCGTGATAATTCACCCGGAAGTGACAACCCAGAACAGTTTCGAGGGAGCCGCCATCTTGGTTTCGACTCTATCGTGCTATGATTATGGAAAGGGTCACTTGTATTAGCTTTTTATGAGTACAGTATATCACGACGACCTATAAATCATCGAATCTGGACAAGACAAACCAATGGCTGAAAGCATGAACAAATATAACGACGTCTAATCAGAATACGCTGACACGGAAGCAACCATGTTGATCTAGGCTGAGTAGGAGGAAGGCCTAACGAGAGCGTTTAACAATTGAAAGCCGCGAGCTAGGCTTTGAACTTCATAAAGTGACCCGTGAAGATCCGGGTTAGAATAGGTCTTCAGCACCCCATGCTTGTCGTAAAAGACGACTAGGAAGATGCTTGTCGTAAGAGGCGACTGGCGGGATCGGATGGCCCCTTATAGAATATGCATTAGAATTCTGGGACAATTGTACTGTAGAAATCAGCGATTAACTTTAAATGAACCAATTGAGAGCCGCAAGAATGATCACAGGTTTACCAAAAAGTGCTCCTAAATCTAGCTTACACAATGAAACTTGCTGGATGACTTTAAAGTTCTCCCCGCGAATATCCGGGTCTTCAGCAACCCATGCTTTCCGTAAAAGGCGACTATGCTTGTCGTAAAAGGCGCCTAACGGGATCGGGTGGTCAGGCTCGCTGTCTTGGCTGATGCATGTCATTGTGTCCCAATTGCGTGGATCAATGCTGATGATGTCAATCACTTGATCGTGTGGTCCAGACGATGATTTACAGATCGCGGCATAAGGTTGGAATATTGCGGCGTTTCACAACATTCAAATATTCTCTTTTTTCCGAGGACAAGTTTCTGGTTGTGTCCTGGGTTCACAAGGCAGTGTGGGGGCACCTAAGGGTAGGAGAGGCTGTGCTGGTATCAACCTGAACGTTACTTACAAACCGCCCACTGCCAAGTGGGACCTCGCCCTTCGATGTGAGGATGCCGGGGTTCAGAGTCTTGTCACATATGAGTGTGATGTTGGTGGACCTACAACAGCAATCACAGTTACATACTTGCCTGGTTTCTGAATTGTCGTTAAGTTCAGAGGTGAGGGACTGAATGCAAAGAGGCAATGCACTGTATTGGTAATATTGTTCTGTTAATCTTCGTCATCAGCATTGATGAAACTAGAAGACAGGGAATGGGTGGAAGGTGGGTAGCGGATGGTGGTGGGTAGCGGTGGGTTGTGGGTAGCGGTGGGCGGTGGGTAGCGTTTGGTGGTGGGTAGCGGTGGGTGATGGGTAGCGGTGGGTGGTGAGAAGCGGTGGATGGTGGGTAGCGGATGGTGGTGGGTAGCGGTGGATGGTGGGTAGCGGTGGATGGTGAGTAGCGGTGGGTGGTGAGAAGCGGTGGATGGTGGGTAGCGGTGGATGGTGGGTAGCGGATGGTGGTGGGTAGCGGATGGTGGTGGGTAGCGGTGGGTGGTGAGAAGCGTTGGATGGTGGGTAGCGTTTGGTGGTGAGTAGCAGTGGGTGGTGGGTAGCGGTGGATGGTGGGTAGCGGTGGGTGGTGGGTAGCGGTGGATGGTGGGTAGCGGATGGTGGTGGGTAGCGGATGGTGGTGGGTAGCGGTGGGTGGTGGGTAGCGGTGGATGGTGGGTAGCGGTGGGTGGTGGGTAGCGGTGGATGGTGGGTAGCGGATGGTGGTGGGTAGCGGATGGTGGTGGGTAGCAGTGGGTGGTGGGTAGCTGTGGATGGTGGGTAGCCGTGGGTGGTGGGTAGCGGTGGATGGTGGGTAGCGGTGGGTGGTGGGTAGCGGTGGATGGTGGGTAGCGGATGGTGGTGGGTAGCGGATGGTGGTGGGTAGCGGTGGGTGGTGGGTAGCGGTGGATGGTGGGTAGCGGTGGGTGGTGGGTAGCGGTGGATGGTGGGTAGCTGTGGATGGTGGGTAGCGGTGGGTGGTGAGAAGCGGTGGATGGTGGGTAGCGGTGTGTGGTGAGAAGCGGTGGATGGTGGGTAGCGGATGGTGGTGGGTAGCGGTGGGTGGTGGGTAGCGGTGGATGATGGGAAGCGGTGGATGTTGGGTACTGGTGAGTAGCTGTGGATGGTGGGTAGCAGTGAGTGGTGGGTAGCGTTTGGTTGTGGGTAGCGGTGGGTGGTGAGAAGCGGTGGGTGATGGGTAGCGGTGTGTGGTGAGAAGCGGTGGATGGTGGGTAGCGGTGGGTGGTGGGTAGCGGTGGATGATGGGAAGCGGTGGATGTTGGGTACTGGTGGGTAGCTGTGGATGGTGGGTAGCGGTGTGTGGTGAGTAGCGGTGGGTGGTGAGTAGCGGTGAATCGTGGGTAGAGGTGGATGGTGGGTAGCGGTGGGTGGTGGGTAGCGGTGGATGGTGGGTAGCGGTGGATGGTGGGTAGCGGTGGATGGTGGGTAGCGGTGGATGGTGGGTAGCGGTGGATGGTGGGTAGCGGTGGGTGATGGGTAGCGGTGGATGGTGGGTAGCGGATGGTGGTGGGTAGCGGATGGTGGTGGGTAGCGGTGGGTGGTGGGTAGCGGTGCATGGTGGGTAGAGGTGGATGGTGGGTAGCGGTGGGTGGTGGGTAGCGGTGGATGGTGGGTAGCGGTGGATGGTGGGTAGCGGTGGATGATGGGTAGCGGTGGATGGTGGGTAGCGGTGGATGGTGGGTAGCGGATGGTGGTGGGTAGCGGTGGGTGATGGGTAGCGGTGGATGGTGGGTAGCGGTGGATGTTGGGTACTGGTGAGTAGCTGTGGATGGTGGGTAGCAGTGAGTGGTGGGTAGCGTTTGGTTGTGGGTAGCGGATGGTGGTGGGTATCAGATTGTGGTGAGTAGCGGTGGATGGTGGGTAGCGGTGGATGGTGGGTAGCGGTGGGTGATGGGTAGCGGTGGATGGTGGGTAGCGGTGGATGGTGGGTAGCGGATGGTGGTGGGTAGCGGTGGGTGATGGGTAGCGGTGGATGGTGGGTAGCGGTGGATGTTGGGTACTGGTGAGTAGCTGTGGATGGTGGGTAGCAGTGAGTGGTGGGTAGCGTTTGGTTGTGGGTAGCGGATGGTGGTGGGTATCAGATTGTGGTGAGTAGCGGTGGGTGGTGAGTAGCGGTGAATCGTGGGTAGCGATGGATGGAGGGTAGTGGTGAGTAGCCGTGGGTGGTGGGTAGCGGTGGATGGTGGGTAGCGGTGGGTGGTGGGTAGCGGTGGATGGTGGGTAGCGGTGGGTGGTGGGTAGCGGTGGATGGTGGGTAGCGGTGGATGGTGGGAAGCGGTGCATGGTGGGTAGCGGTGGGTGGTGGGTAGCGGTGGATGGTGGGTAGCGGTGCATGGTGGGTAGAGGTGGATGGTGGGTAGCGGTGGGTGGTGGGAAGCGGTGGGTGGTGGGTAGCGGTGGATGGTGGGTAGCGGTGGATGGTGGGTAGCGGTGCGTGGTGGGTAGCGGTGCGTGGTGGGTAGCGGTGGGTGGTGGGTAGCGGTGGATGGTTGGTAGCGTTTGGTGGTGGGTATCAGATTGTGGTGGGTAGCGGTGGGTGGTGGGTAGTGGTGAGTAGCGGTGGATGGTGGGTAGCGGTAAGTGGTGGGTAGCGTGGATGGGGGGTTGCGGGGAGTGGTGGGTAGCGTGGATGGTGGGTAGCGGTGAGTGGTGGGTAGCGTGGATGGGGGGTTGCGTTTGGTGGTGGGTATCGGATTGTGGTGGGTAGCGATGGGTGGTGGAGGATTGGTAGGGAGAACAGAGAGGGTGATGGAGGATGGGTAGGGAGAACAGAGTGGATGGTGGAGGATGGGTAGAGAGAACAGAGTGGATGGTGGAGGATGGGTAGGGAGAACAGAGTGGATGGTGGAGGATGGGTAGGGAGAACAGAGTGGATGGTGGAGGATGGGTAGAGAGAACAGAGCGGATGGTGGAAGATGGGTAAGGAGAACAGAGTGGATGGTGGAGGATGGGTAGAGAGAACAGAGCGGATGGTGGAGGATGGGTAGGGAGAACAGAGTGGATGGTGGAGGATGGGTAGAGAGAACAGAGCGGATGGTGGAAGATGGGTAAGGAGAACAGAGAGGATGATGGAGGATGGTAGGGAGAACAGAGTGGATGGTGGAGGATGGGTAGAGAGAACAGAGTGGATGGTGGAGGATGGGTAGGGAGAACAGAGTGGATGGTGGAGGATGGGTAGGGAGAACAGAGTGGATGGTGGAGGATGGGTAGGGAGAACAGAGAGGGTGATGGAGGATTGGTAGGGCGAACAGAGAGGATGGTGGAAGATGGGTAGGGAGAACAGAGTGGATGGTGGAGGATGGGTAGGGAGAACTGAGGGTGATGGAGGATGGGTAGGGAGAACAGAGTGGGTGGTGGAGGATGGGTAGGGAGAACAGAGTGGGTGGTGGAAGATGGGTAAGGAGAACAGAGAGGATGATGGAGGATGGTAGGGAGAACAGAGTGGATGGTGGAGGATGGGTAGAGAGAACAGAGTGGATGGTGGAGGATGGGTAGGGAGAACAGAGTGGATGGTGGAGGATGGGTAGGGAGAACAGAGAGGGTGATGGAGGATTGGTAGGGCGAACAGAGAGGATGGTGGAAGATGGGTAGGGAGAACAGAGTGGATGGTGGAGGATGGGTAGGGAGAACTGAGGGTGATGGAGGATGGGTAGGGAGAACAGAGTGGGTGGTGGAGGATGGGTAGGGAGAACAGAGTGGGTGGTGGAGGATAGGTAGGGAGAACAGAGTGGATGGTGGAGGATGGGTAGGGAGAACAGAGAGGGTGATGGAGGATTGGTAGGGCGAACAGAGAGGATGGTGGAAGATGGGTAGGGAGAACAGAGTGGATGGTGGAGGATGGGTAGGGAGAACTGAGGGTGATGGAGGATGGGTAGGGAGAACAGAGTGGGTGGTGGAGGATGGGTAGGGAGAACAGAGTGGATGGTGGAGGATGGGTAGGGGAACAGAGAGGGTGATGGAGGATGGGTAGGGAGAACAGAGTGGGTGGTGGAGGATGGGTAGGGACAACAGAGAGGGTGATGGAGGATGGGTAGGGAGAACAGCATGGATGGTGGAGGATGGGTAGGGAGAACAGAGTGGATGGTGGAGGATGGGTAGGGAGAACAGAGTGGGTGGTGGAGGATGGGTAGGGAGAACAGAGTGGGTGGTGGAGGATGGGTAGGGAGAACAGAGAGGGTGATGGAGGATGGATAGGGAGAACAGAGTGGATGATGGAGGATGGGTAGGGAGAACAGAGTGGGTGGTGGAGGATGGGTAGGGAGAACAGAGAGGGTGATGGAGGATGGATAGGGAGAACAGAGTGGATGATGTAGGATGGGAAGGGAAAACAGAGTGGATGATGGAGGATGGGTAGGGAGAACAGAGTGGATGGTGGAGGATGGGTAGGGAGAACAGCATGGATGGTGGAGGATGGGTAGGGAGAACAGAGTGGGTGGTGGAGGATGGGTAGGGAGAACAGAGAGGGTGATGGAGGATGGATAGGGAGAACAGAGTGGATGATGTAGGATGGGTAGGGAGAACAGAGTGGATGGTGGAGGATGGGTAGGGAGAACAGAGTGGATGGTGGAGGATGGGTAGGGAGAACAGAGTGGATGATGGAGGATGGGTAGGGAGAACAGAGTGGGTGGTGGAGGATAGGTAGGGAGAACAGAGTGGATGGTGGAGGATGGGTAGGGGGGAACAGAGTGGGTGGTGGAGGATGGGTAGGGGGGAACAGAGTGGATGATGGAGGATAGGTAGGGAGAACAGAGTGGATGGTGGAGGATGGATAGGGAGAACAGAGTGGATGATGTAGGATGGGTAGGGAGAACAGAGTGGATGGTGGAGGATGGGTAGGGAGAACAGAGTGGATGGTGGAGGATGGGTAGGGAGAACAGAGTGGATGATGGAGGATGGGTAGGGAGAACAGAGTGGGTGGTGGAGGATAGGTAGGGAGAACAGAGTGGATGGTGGAGGATGGGTAGGGGGGAACAGAGTGGGTGGTGGAGGATGGGTAGGGGGGAACAGAGTGGATGATGGAGGATAGGTAGGGAGAACAGAGTGGATGATGGAGGATGGGAAGGGAGAACAGAGTGGATGATGGAGGATGGGTAGGGAGAACAGAGTGGGTGGTGGAGGATGGGTAAGAGGAACAGAGTGGGTGATGGAGGATGGGTAGAGAGAACAGAGTGGATGATGGAGGATGGGTAGGGAGAACAGAGTGGATGGTGGAGGATGGGTAGGGAGAACAGAGTGGATGGTGGAGGATGGGTAGGGAGAACAGAGTGGATGGTGGAGGATGGGTAGGGAGAACAGAGTGGATGATGGAGGATGGGTAGGGAGAACAGAGTGGGTGGTGGAGGATGGGTAGGGAGAACAGAGTGGATGGTGGAGGATGGGTAGGGAGAACAGAGTGGATGGTGGAGGATGGGTAGGGAGAACAGAGAGGGTGATGGAGGATGGGTAGGGAGAACAGAGAGGGTGATGGAGGATGGGTAGGGAGAACAGAGTGGGTGGTGGAGGATAGGTAGGGAGAACAGAGTGGATAGTGGAGGATGGGTAGGGAGAACAGAGAGGGTGATGGAGGATGGGTAGGGAGAACAGCATGGATGGTGGAGGATGGGTAGGGAGAACAGAGTGGATGGTGGAGGATGGGTAGGGAGAACTGAGGGTGATGGAGGATGGGTAGGGAGAACAGAGTGGATGGTGGAGGATGGGTAGGGAGAACAGAGTGGATGGTGGAGGATGGGTAGGGAGAACAGAGTGGATGGTGGAGGATGGGTAGGGAGAACAGAGTGGATGGTGGAGGATGGGTAGGGAGAACAGAGTGGATGGTGGAGGATGGGTAGGGAGAACAAAGTGGGTGGTGGAGGATGGGTAGGGAGAACAGAGTGGGTGGTGGAGGATAGGTAGGGAGAACAGAGTGGATGGTGGAGGATGGGTAGGGAGAACAGAGCGGATGATGGAGGATAGGTAGGGAGAACAGTGGATGGTGGAGGATGGGTAGGGGGGAACAGAGAGGGTGATGGAGGATGGGTAGGGAGAACAGAGTGGATGGTGGAGGATGGATAGGGAGAACAGAGTGGATGGTGGAGGATGGGTAGGGAGAACAGAGTGGATGGTGGAGGATGGATAGGGAGAACAGAGTGGATGGTGGAGGATGGGTAGGGAGAACAGAGAGGGTGATGGAGGATGGGTAGGGAGAACAGCATGGATGGTGGAGGATGGGTAGGCAGAACAGAGTGGATGATGGAGGATGGGTAGGGAGAACAGAGTGGATGGTGGAGGATGGGTAGGGAGAACAGAGTGGGTGGTGGAGGATGGGTAGGGAGAACAGAGTGGATCGTGGAGGATGTGTAGGGAGAACAGAGTGGATGGTGGAGGATGGGTAGGGAGAACAGAGTGGATCGTGGAGGATGTGTAGGGAGAACAGAGTGGATGGTGGAGGATGGGTAGGGAGAACAGAGTGGATCGTGGAGGATGTGTAGGGAGAACAGAGTGGGTGGTGGAGGATGGGTAGGGAGATCAGAGAGGGTGATGGAGGATAGGTAGGGAGAACAGAGTGGATGGTGGAGGATGGGTAGGGAGAACAGAGTGGATGGTGGAGGATGGGTAGGGAGAACAGAGTGGATGGTGGAGGATGGGTAGGGAGAACAGAGAGGGTGGTGGAGGATGGGTAGGGAGAACAGAGTGGATGGTGGAGGATGGGTAGGGAGAACAGAGAGGGTGATGGAGGATGTGTAGGGAGAACAGAGTGGATGGTGGAGGATGGGTAGGGAGAACAGAGAGGGTGATGGAGGATGGATAGGGAGAACAGAGAGGATGATGGAGGATGGGTAGGGAGAACAGAGTGGATGGTGGAGGATGGGTAGGGAGAACAGCATGGATGGTGGAGGATGGGTAAGGAGAACAGAGTGGATGGTGGAGGATGGGTAGGGAGAACAGAGAGGGTGATGGAGGATGGATAGGGAGAACAGAGTGGATGATGGAGGATGGGTAGGGAGAACAGAGTGGATGGTGGAGGATGGGTAGGGAGAACAGCATGGATGGTGGAGGATGGGTAAGGAGAACAGAGTGGATGGTGGAGGATGGGTAGGGAGAACAGAGTGGATGATGGAGGATGGGTAGGGAGAACAGAGTGGATGGTGGAGGATGGGTAGGGAGAACAGAGTGGGTGGTGGAGGATGGGTAGGGAGAACAGAGTGGATGGTGGAGGATGGGTAGGGAGAACAGAGGGTGATGGAGGATGGGTAGGGAGAACAGAGTGGATGATGGAGGATGGGTAGGGAGAACAGAGTGGATGGTGGAGGATGGGTAGGGAGAACAAAGTGGGTGGTGGAGGATGGGTAGGGAGAACAGAGTGGGTGGTGGAGGATGGGTAGGGAGAACAGAGTGGATGATGGAGGATGGGTAGGGAGAACAGAGTGGATGATGGAGGATGGGTAGGGAGAACAGAGTGGATGATGGAGGATGGGTAGGGAGAACAGAGTGGGTGGTGGAGGATGGGTAAAAGGAACAGAGTGGGTGATGGAGGATAGGTAGGGGGGAACAGAGTTGGTGATGGAGGATTGGTAGGGAGAACAGAGCGGGGGGACCGGGACGGACCTACCTGAGAGTGTTCTCCCCCTTCTGATTCAGTGTGTCGGCGGAGTAGCTGAGGTGCAGACTGCCGTTCACGACTCTGAAGGTGGCGCTCTCCTGATTCCCGATGTTGTAGAATTCTGGGAGGTGTATGTTCCGGACCTGGCACGCCTGGAAGCACGGCAAAGCTACACGTGTAGTCTCCCCGGAGAGGTGAGATGGGAATTACATCTACACACTAGGACATTAATATAATTACATACATGAGTATTATCAGTAGCAGAAGAACTTGGAGTCTCATCGTCATCACCATCACCATCACCATCATCATAACGATGATAATGTTGATGAAGACATTGATGCTACTGATAATGAGGATAACATGATTGTTTGATTCTATTTTTCGATGCTTGTGATTAAATCTGATAATGATGATGATGGTGATGATAATGGTGATTAAATCGATGATGATGATGATGATTACAACGATGGTGGTGGTGATGATAAAATTTATGCTGATGGTGTGATTACGACAATGACAAAGATGACGATGATGATGATGATGATGATGATGATGATGATGATGATTAAATCTATTATGATGATCAAATCTATGATGATGATAAGGTTTGGTTTGTTTGTTGTTTAACGCCGCACTCAGCAATATTCCAGCTATATGAGGGCGGTCTGTAAATAATCGAGTCTGGACCAGACAATTCAGTGATTGATATCATGAGCATCAATCCACGCAATTGGAATCGATGACATGCATCAACCAAGTCAGCGAGCCTGACTACCCGATCCCGTTAGTCGCCTCGTACGACAAGCATAATCGCCTTTTACAGCAAGCATGGGTTGCCGCAGACCTATTCTACCCCTGAATTTTCACGGGTCTATGATGATGATTAAATCTATGATGATGTTGTTGATGTTGATGTTGATACCGGCGGTAGCGGGAACTGACTTACAGCGACGTCTTTACAGTCCCCTTCTGTGAATGGCAGACATGGATTCCAGGACACCTTGTCCGTAGTTTCGCTCTGCACATCCAGAAACCTGGGAGTAATCAGTGGATGAGTTTGCTGAACAATAGAAGAGTAATATCACGTGGCAGCTTATTGTAGAGTGCGTGTGCGTGTGCTTGTGCTTGTCCGGACCTGTCCGCCTGTTTTATAGTGCCAGCCCACTGAGACGCCATGCCGCAGTTTAACCTGAATACCCCACTCAGACACAGTATACTGACTCCGAGCCACCAACCTTCCGCTCTCTTGGCAGAGTGAGTGAGTGAGTTGGGTTTAACGCCGCTTTGAACATCATTCCAGTTATATCACGGCGTGTCAGCTTAATGTGGGAGGAAAGCCCGAAGTGATGCAGGCCTTAGACGTTTACCACTTCGGTGAAACCAACGAGCACGGGTATGGTGCTGACAAACCTAGAAACATAATCGGGGCATACCGGGATTCAAACCCACAATCATAGGTTTCTGGCGTGCACAAGGGACGCAACTCTGCAGCAGTCGTAGTAGTACTATTAGTAGATGCATCAGTAGTAGTCGTAGTAGTAGTACTAGTAGTAACAGCAGTAGTAGTCGGAGTACTAGTAGAAGTAGTAATGGTAGTAGAAAAAGTAGGAGCAGCAGGAGCAACAGAAGTAGTAGTAGTAGTAGTAGTAGTAGTAGTAGTAGTAGTAGTAGTAGTAGTAGTAGTAGCAGCAGCAGTAGTAGTTGTAGTAGAATTTGCATTAGTTTTTGCATATGCGATGGTTAGAATATATATTGTATCAATGCATGAAGTTTGTCGTAGAAGTGTCGTCATGGTGTCGTCGTTGCGTCGTGTCGTTGTAGTGTCGTCGTAGTGTTGTGATATCGTCGTTGTTTCGTGTCATCGCTGTCAACAAATGAAGCAACAACATACTGTATAAAATCAAACACGTTATAATACACACCTAGGCTTCCCTCTGGCAGCCAATGGCGATAAGTCAATGATCCCATCTTCCGACTTACACGAACATGCCGAGATCTTTTCACAGGATGTAATTTCACCAAAACAATAAAAACATGAACTGAATATACAAAATACGATTAAATAGACGTCCCCCATCGTGAACGGGCGTTTCTGCTACCTGTGATGAGCACGAGATCTTGAACTGCAGCTTGTCACTGATTGCGAGTATCGTATTACAAACTCCCACACGTGACAAGCGATGAAATAAGCTTAATAATGGCGGATTGGTTTCATCACTCGGGCGGATATCAAGTTTCAAGACATCGGGTGTATACTAATAACTACTATGGGACTGGTCATTTATTATTAAGGGTGGGCAGGTCAGAGGTTTTTGATGCACCTATGTACTGAAAATAATTACCCTCCCCTATTTTTTGTCATATTTGTTATGACCCTCCTCGTGTCCTTGTACATTTTCTTTTCATGACACTCCCCTAAAGCAGAAAATGCAAAGTCACTTTATATATTTTATTATAAAATGTAAATCTTTCATTACCCTCCCCAATATGTGTTTTATTTTTAATGAGCCTCCCCTAGGGACTGTCCTATTTTGTGTTGACCCTCCTGATTCCCTTGTTACAATGACCTTTCCGAGAGTATTATACACTGACGAGCAAAGGAAACTATACCAAAAGCGAATTTATTAAAATTTGGATTCGAACACTAAATAATGATTCCAAAATATGTAAAACCGATCGTAGAAATCCAACAGTAGGCAACTGCCACCTTGCTTTAGTATACTGAGTTCCGTATAAAATTACTTCATTCGCTGAAACTGGAAATGCAAGAGCAGCATTATCACTGACTGACATATCCAGTACAAGCCGGCCACGTCACTTCACCCATCGAAAGTCGTTATTTGCGTACTCTCCTGGACTGTGACGTCATCAGCATAAATTGCCCTGGGGCATGTTGTTAAATTCATATCGGATTTATTTACTCAAAACTACCCTCGGCGGTACAAGAGTACAATATGTAATTTTTATATAAAATAATTTCAGACATTACACAGTGCATTCAATGCATGTTTTATTTAACTTCAAGATGAGGGGTTTTAGAACTCATTCATTAATATTTTGGCATATTTACATACATTTCTCAAGTGTTTAGTGCTGGTGTCGTGAAATAGTCTTGCCAAGTTATGGGTATTTAGAGACTTGTAACATTCTGTGATGTATAGAATTGTAAAGAGCACATGACGGCGTTATTCATAGCATTCAGGCCGTATATACTTTCCAGGATGGCGTTATTCATAGCATTCAGGCCGTATATACTTTCCAGCATGGCGTTATTCATAGCATTCAGGCCGTATATACCTTCCAGGATGGCGTTATTCATAGCATTCAGGCCGTATATACTTTCCAAGATGGCGTTATTCATAGCATTCAGGCCGTATATACTTTCCAGGATGGCATTATTCATAGCATTCAGGCCGTATATACTTTCCAGGATGGCGTTATTCATAGTATTCAGGCCGTATATACCTTCCAGGATGGCGTTATTCATAGTATTCAGGCCGTATATACTTTCCAGGATGGCGTTATTCATAGTATTCAGGCCGTATATACCTTCCAGGATGGCGTTATTCATAGCATTCAGGCCGTATATACTTTCCAGGATGGCGTTATTCATAGCATTCAGGCCGTATATACCTTCCAGGATGGCGTTATTCATAGTATTCAGGCCGTATATACCTTCCAGGATGGCGTTATTCATAGTATTCAGGCCGTATATACTTTCCAGGATGGCGTTATTCATAGTATTCAGGCCGTATATACCTTCCAGGATGGCGTTATTCATAGCATTCAGGCCGTATATACTTTCCAGGATGGCGTTATTCATAGTATTCAGGCGTTATTCATAGTATTCGGGCCGTATATACCTTCCAGGATGGCGTTATTCATAGTATTCAGGCCGTATATACCTTCCAGGATGGCGTTATTCAAAGTATTCAGGCCGTATATACTTTCCAGGATGGCGTTATTCATAGTATTCAGGCGTTATTCATAGTATTCAGGCCGTATATACTTTCCAGGATGGCATTATTCATAGTATTCAGTCTGAAGTTTGAAGGATTCAGTCTTTCGGAATATCCCATGTTAAGTGTTTCGAGGTTGCATGATTGGTCGGATAAAATGTCGTTCTGACCCGTAATGGGATGTCCTCACTGCAAACTGAACACACACGCACGCATTCACGCACGCACGCACGCACGCGCACACGCACACACACAGATATCCTTGGATTTTCGCTGACAGTGCATTACAACACTATAATAATATCATCGCTGTCTCCTCTTCGCATCTTCGCTTTTTTCACGATTAGAAACGCCTTATTTGTCTTTTTGTCAAGTATGGTATATTGTTTGGTATGGTTTCTTGTGCTCGTGACTGTATATCAATTCATTTACGACAAATACCTTGACCTATTTGCTGCATATTTATATTTTATGTATTTGGATGTCACGTGGGAAGTTACTGACCGAAAATTGCAACCATGTAATTTTTGTTGCAGAGATCTTTTTTCAACAATCTGAAGCATAACTACTTTTTTGAGCATTTTCTGAAGCAGTTTGTTTCCAGGCGGCTACTATGAGGCGCTGGTCTCGCACCAAGGCTCTGGTTTTAATCCTAGTTGTAAGCTGGGCATGCGATTTGTACTTCAAATGTTGTGTCGGCTGCATGTTAAGAAGAGGAATCAGGTTACTAAGTACTCTAGTTTGGTATGCGTTGTGTTGCGTTCATAACTACACGCCACATACGTCATATGATACCGCTACCAGCCATGTCGGTGTATCAGTTGTATACATGTATATAAACCCAAAGCCATTTGATGAGCACAATATAAACAATATTTTTAACCCGTGATTAAGCTTTCCCCTTTATTCCCTCGTGAATACATCACCCCCCCCCCCCCCCCCTTCCCACCCGTACCCGCCATTCACCCCTCCCCGATCTTCACCCCTCCCCGATCTTCACCCCTCCCCCATCTTCACCAGCCACACTTCCACCCTCACCAAACCACAACTTCAGCCACACCCACCACAACTTCAGCCACAGCCACACCTTCCCCTCCTCTACCGCCGACCCCTACCCACCACACCTTCCCCCTCTTCTCGCTCACCCCCACCCATAACACTTCCACCCCTACCCACCACACCTTCCCCCTCCTCTACCTTCAGCCCCCACCCACAACACTTCCACAGCACCTACAACACTTCCACCCCACCCACCATACCTCCCCCTCCTCTCTCTCACCCCACCACAACACTTCCACCACTACCCACCATACCTTCCCCCTCCTCTCTCTCACCCCACCACAACACTTCCACCACTACCCACCACACCTTCCCCCTCCTCTACCTTCCACCCCCACCCATAATACTTCCACCCCAACCTACAACACTTCCACCCCACCCACCATACCTCCCCCTCCTCTCTCTCACCCCACCACAACACTTCCACCACTACCCACCACACCTTCCCCCTCCTCTACCTTCCACCCCCACCCATAATACTTCCACCCCAACCTACAACACTTCCACCCCACCCACCATACCTCCCCCTCCTCTCTCTTACCCCACCACAACACTTCCACCCCACCCACCATACCTCCCCCTCCTCTCTCTCACCCCACCACAACACTTCCACCACTACCCACCATACCTCCCCCTCCTCTCTCTCACCCCACCACAACACTTCCACCCCACCCACCACACCTTCCCCCTCCTCTACCTTCCACCCCACCCACCACACCTCCCCCTCCTCTCTCTCACCCCACCACAACACTTCCACCCCACCCACCACACCTTCCCCCTCCTCTACCTTCCACCCCACCCACCATACCTCCCCCTCCTCTCTCTCACCCCACCACAACACTTCCACCACTACCCACCACACCTTCCCCCTCCTCTACCTTCCACCCCCACCCACCATACCTCCCCCTCCTCTCTCTCACCCCACCACAACACTTCCACCCCACCCACAATACCTCCCCCTCCTCTCTCTCACCCCACCACAACACTTCCACCCCACCCACAATACCTCCCCCTCCTCTCTCTCACCCCACCACAACACTTCCACCCCACCCACCATACCTCCCCCTCCTCTCTCTTACCCCACCACAACACTTCCACCCCACCCACCATACCTCCCCCTCCTCTCTCTCACCCCACCACAACACTTCCACCACTACCCACCACACCTTCCCCCTCCTCTACCTTCCACCCCCACCCATAATACTTCCACCCCAACCTACAACACTTCCACCCCACCCACCATACCTCCCCCTCCTCTCTCTCACCCCACCACAACACTTCCACCCCACCCACCATACCTCCCCCTCCTCTCTCTCACCCCACCACAACACTTCCACCCCACCCACCACACCTTCCCCCTCTTCTCGCTCACCCCCACCCATAACACTTCCACCCCACCCACCATACCTCCCCCTCCTCTCTCTTACCCCACCACAACACTTCCACCCCACCCACCACACCTTCCCCCTCTTCTCGCTCACCCCCACCCACAACACTTCCACCCCACCCACCATACCTCCCCCTCCTCTCTCTTACCCCACCACAACACTTCCACCCCACCCACCACACCTTCCCCCTCTTCTCGCTCACCCCCACCCACAACACTTCCACCCCACCCACCATACCTCCCCCTCCTCTCTCTTACCCCACCACAACACTTCCACCCCACCCACCATACCTCCCCCTCCTCTCTCTTACCCCACCACAACACTTCCACCCCACCCACCATACCTCCCCCTCCTCTCTCTTACCCCACCACAACACTTCCACCACTACCCACCATACCTCCCCCTCCTCTCTCTTACCCCACCACAACACTTCCACCCCACCCACCATACCTCCCCCTCCTCTCTCTTACCCCACCACAACACTTCCACCCCACCCACCATACCTCCCCCTCCTCTCTCTTACCCCACCACAACACTTCCACCCCACCCACCACACCTTCCCCCTCTTCTCGCTCACCCCCACCCACAACACTTCCACCCCACCCACCATACCTCCCCCTCCTCTCTCTCACCCCACCACAACACTTCCACCCCACCCACCATACCTCCCCCTCCTCTCTCTCACCCCACCACAACACTTCCACCCTACCCACCACACCTCCCCCTCCTCTCTCTTACCCCACCACAACACTTCCACCACTACCCACCACACCTTCCCCCTCCTCTACCTTCCACCCCCACCCATAATACTTCCACCCCAACCTACAACACTTCCACCCCACCCACCATACCTCCCCCTCCTCTCTCTCACCCCACCACAACACTTCCACCACTACCCACCACACCTTCCCCCTCCTCTACCTTCCACCCCCACCCATAATACTTCCACCCCAACCTACAACACTTCCACCCCACCCACCATACCTCCCCCTCCTCTCTCTCACCCCACCACAACACTTCCACCCCACCCACCATACCTCCCCCTCCTCTCTCTCACCCCACCACAACACTTCCACCCCACCCACCACACCTTCCCCCTCTTCTCGCTCACCCCCACCCATAACACTTCCACCACTACCCACCACACCTTCCCCCTCCTCTACCTTCCACCCCCACCCACAATACTTCCACCCCCACCTACAACACTTCCACCCCACCCACCATACCTCCCCCCTCCTCTACCTTCCACCCCCACCCACAACACTTCCACAGCACCTACAACACTTCCACCCCACCCACCATACCTCCCCCTCCTCTCTCTCACCCCACCACAACACTTCCACCCCACCCACCACACCTTCCCCCTCTTCTCGCTCACCCCCACCCATAACACTTCCACCACTACCCACCACACCTTCCCCCTCCTCTACCTTCCACCCCCACCCACAATACTTCCACCCCCACCTACAACACTTCCACCCCACCCACCATACCTCCCCCCTCCTCTAATTCCACCCCCACCCACAACACTTCCACAGCACCTACAACACTTCCACCCCACCCACCATACCTCCCCCTCCTCTCTCTCACCCCACCACAACACTTCCACCCCACCCACCATACATCCCCCTCCTCTCTCTCACCCCACCACAACACTTCCACCCCACCCACCACACCTTCCCCCTCTTCTCGCTCACCCCCACCCATAACACTTCCACCACTACCCACCACACCTTCCCCCTCCTCTACCTTCCACCCCCAACCACAATACTTCCACCCCAACCTACAACACTTCCACCCCACCCACAACACCTTTTCCCCTCCTCTACCTTCCACTCCCACCAACCACACCTACCACCCCTCACCCACCACACTTCCACCCCCTCTTACCACATCTTCCCCCTCCCCTACCTTCTACCCCCACCCACCACACTTCCACCCCCTCTTACCACACCTTCCCCCTCCCCTACCTTCTACCCCCACCCACCACACCTTCCCCCTCATCTACCTTCCCCCTCCCCTACCTTCTACCCCCACCCACCACACCTTCCCCCTCATCTACCTTCTACCCCCGCCCACCACACCTTCCCCCTCCTCTACCTTCTACCCCCACCCACCACATCTCCCCCCTCCTCTACCTTCTACCCCCACCCACGACACCTTCCCCCTCCCCTACCTTCTACCCCCACCCACCACACCTTCCCCCTCCCCTACCTTCTACCCCCACCCACCACACCTTCCCCCTCCTCTACCTTCTACCCCCACCCACCACATCTCCCCCCTCCTCTACCTTCTACCCCCACCCACGACACCTTCCCCCTCCCCTACCTTCTACCCCCACCCACCACACCTTCCCCCTCCCCTACCTTCTACCCCCACCCACCACACCTTCCCCCTCCCCTACTTTAAACCTCCACCCACCACACCTTCCCCCTCCCCTACCTTCTACCCCCACCCACCACACCTCCCCCCTCCCCTACCTTCTGCCCCCACCCACCACACTTTCCCCTTCCCCTACCTTCTACCCCCACCCACCACACCTTCCCCTTCCCCTACCTTCTACCCCCACCAACCACACCTTCCCCCTCCCCTACCTTCTACCTCCACACCTCCCACCTCCCCTACCTTCTGCCCCCACCCACCACACTTTCCCCTTCCCCTACCTTCTACCCCCACCCACCACACTTTCCCCCTCCCCTACCTTCTACCCCCACCCACAACACCTCCCCCCTCCCCTACCTTCTACCCCCACCCACCACACATTCCCCCTCCCCTACCTTCTACCCCCACCCACCACACTTTCCCCCTCCCCTACCTTCTACCCCCACCCACCACACCTCCCCCCTCCCCTACCTTCTGCCCCCACCCACCACACTTTCCCCTTCCCCTACCTTCTACCCCCACCCACCACACTTTCCCCCTCCCCTACCTTCTACCCCCACCCACCACACCTCCCCCCTCCCCTACCTTCTACCCCCACCCACCACACTTTCCCCCTCCCCTACCTTCTACCCCCACCCACCACACCTTCCCCCTCCCCTACCTTCTACCCCCACCCACCACACCTTCCCCCTCCTCTTCCTTCCACCCCCAACTTCAATACTTCTACCCCCACCCCCTCTACCAACCATTCCTACTCTCCACACTCCCGCACACCACAATTTCACCCCCTCGCAACCGTCGACTCCTCCCAACTTTACCTTCACCCCACCCCACCCCTTCCCCCACCCCAATATCTTCAGTAAAGTATGCGAGGTCACGGCTGGGACAATGGTGGAGATTGTCGGTGAAGGTGTAACTCAATTCCCCAATAGCAACGAAATTATTAGCAGAAAGGCGATCGTGCTGTCCTTTTGTGTTTAGCCGTGTGTGACTGCATGGAGTTGAAAGCGAAACCAGATCGAAGGGTTGATTGACTTTAACCCTTACAGCCTCAGCCAATGGAGTAGTCCAATGTCACCACTCCTGTCTTCTCGTGAAACCAAGTCGTCGTCTTAACTTAACATCGTCGTTCATTGTCTATTTTAAACTCACTAACTCTCGGGTAATCACACATATTTAGAGAGTTTCAAGCAATCCTCTTCCACTGAACCATGTTGCATTGTGGGACGAGTGCCTGTGTATTTGTGAGACGGCCAGTACCAAGTTAACTGTTTGGTATTACCACTTGGAGGGTTAACCAACTGTTCACGGAAGCAGTCAGCGTAGAGCATGTGTGATGTTCTGTGATAGCGGTTGTTGTGGGGAATCTCTGTTGGGGACAGAACAAGGCACAGCACGGCCATGTAAAGATCACCGCCATGCTCAGCGTCAACATGTCTCCGTAGCCGGTTGGTGATATTTTTACAACTTATAAACTGTTGAACGTACCTCGTTATGAGTTATAATATAACGATGTAATGGGTTTTTTTCTGGTTTTGAATAGAATGGTGATAGTGTGTACACACTGTTGCTATCCATGGTGACATAAACAAATATATCCACGGTATATGACGTCACGCAGTACCGCCAGTCATGGGGGAGGTGAAATGAGGTTTAACGTCGCGTTCAAGATTATTACACTAAGTCTTATAAAGCGACCTACATGCATATGTACATAATATCATGCCGCGGTTGTAACATTGATACAATGTGTGTGTGCGTGCGTGCTTGCGTGCGTGCGTGTGCGTGTGCGTGTGCGTGTGTGTGTGTGTGTGTGTGTGTGCGCGCTAGTCGGACTCATGCCGATTTATAGTGCTAGCCAACTGAGATGCCATGTCGCAGCTTAACATGAATACCCCACCAAGACACAGTATACGGACTCCGAGCCGACCAGTCCTTTTTTTTAGCCCCTTAATGCCGAGCGCCAGACAGGGTAACAACAAGTACCATCTTTTAACGTCTTTTGGTATCGAACCCCGACCTTCTGCTCTCCTGGCGGATGCTCTTCCACTCGACCACGGAGGCGGTCAAGTAATTTATGAGCCGTCTAAATGCAAGAAATTCCAGAAAGATTAAGAAAGCGCTTGGATACCTTATAGTGAAGCAATACAGTAGTCGCTGTATATCTACGATACTAAAGACAAAAGTATTAGTAGGTTTGTAACAGCCGTCCTGTATTAGCTGGAGTATTTTTGAATGCGGCATTAAACAACATTCACTCACTCTAGTCTTCCGACGCGTTACTGGGTTAATAGGAATATGGGTAAATACATGTAGGTATCATGCTTTCTCACTCACTCACTCACTCCGTGTTTCGACCCGTCTAGATCCGGGGTAGAATAGGTCTTCAGCAACCCATGCTTGCTGTAAAAGGCGACTCTGCTTGTCGAAGAGGCGACTAACGGGATCGGGTGGTCAGGCTCGCTGACTTGGTTGATGCATGTCATCGATCCCAATTGCGTGGATCGATATGCATGACGTTAATCACTGGATTGTCTGGTCAAGACTCGATTATTTACAGACCGCCGTCATATAGCTGGAATATTGCTGAGTGCGGCGTTAAACCACAAACAAATAAAACGAACACTCCGTGTTTCAGGGCCGTCATGTTCAACTGCACGGAGACGGACGTGTGGGGGAACCCATACACCTTCCAGTGTACATACGGGTGCTGCGGCTCCAGCAGCTTCCGGTACTGTTGCTCTAGCAACGGAAACAGCTACATCCCAACTCCATGGCAACCAGAGTAAGCACATGTTTCAGTATCATAACATCAATACAGGCTTTCTGACTTGTCGGAACGAGACCGAATTTGAGGGCCAATGGTGATACTTTAATGTTCATATTAAGTTTCCAACACATCCGTGAAGAACCGGGGTAGAATAGGTCTTCAGCAACCCATGCCTGTCGTAAAAGGCGACTATGCTTGTCCTAAGAGACGACTAACGGGATCAGGTGGTCAGGCTCGCTGATTTGATTGATGCATGTCATCGTATCCAAATTGCGCAAATCGATGCTCATGATGTTAATCACTGGAATGTCTGGTCCAGACTCGATTATTTTACAGACCACCGTTATATAGCTTGTTTAATCCTGAGTACAACAACAAACAACCACACAAATCAAGTACATCCGAGGGGGCACGGGTGGCCCAGTCGTCTAAGGCGCCGCGATTCGCTGTGCAGAGTTGCGGCCCTTGGGCACTCCAGAAACCTATGATTGTGGGTTCGAATCCCGGTTCACCCCAATTATGTTTCTAGGTTTGTCAGCACCATACCCGTGCTCGTGGGTTTCACCGAAGTGGTAAACGTCTGAGACCTGCATCACTTCGGGCTTTCCTCCCACATTAAGCTGACACGCCGTGATGTAGCTGGAATACTGTTAAAAGCGGCGTTAAACCCAACTCACTCACTCACTCACTCAAGTACATCCGATCTGATGATCGCGGGTTCGAATCCCAGAATCACCTTCAGCGTGACCATACCCGTTCTCGTGGGGGGTAAACGTGGTAAACATGAACGACCAGATCACTTCAGACTTTCCTCCGACAAGCTGACATGCCGTCATGTAACTGAAATAGTTTTCAAAGCAGCGTTATACCAAACTAACTCACTCGCATGTAGCCAGACATCCTTATTAATTGTGAATTCAGGTTAATTGTTATACTTTATCATATCAAATTAAATGGGGAATACCAAAAGTAGACATCTTCCCGAGGCAAGGGAGCTAAATGACTATACAAGTGGAAACTGGACTTTTACTGTCAGTTAACTCCCTTGCCTCGGGAAGATTATGGTAGAATGATCAAAACTCAAAGATGTTGTTTATCGCTAATAAAATGGACAATTCTTGAAAAGCGCACTTTGCAGTTTTTGTCATTGCTTTGACTTTATTCGTATCAGCAGCTATCTTCGTTAATTAATCATCACGGTATTTCGCAATCTCATTAAAATCAGATCTTAGTTCTCGCTAGCGCTAAACAAAGATTTGAGGACATCCCATTACGGGTCACGTTATAACGACCTTTCATCCGACCAATCAGAGCGTCGCTTACCAGATCATGAAAGTGACAGCCGGAATGTGTTTTCTAATCATGCAACCTCGAAATATTTAACAGAGGATATTCCGAACGACAGATACGGGTTTTATGATTATATCCATAAAATCCCATTCCAGAATGTTGTTTTGGTCAGTTTTAGAATTTTTAATCGAGAATACGTCAAAATAAGTGTCGAAGCGTAGTCGCCAGTTTGAAACTAGTGCCGTAAAGCTCGAGATAGCTGCCTTCTGATTGGCAAATGTCCATTTCTTGTCAGTCATTTCATTGGTCGGTCAATGTTCGCGAAAGGTCGTTCTGACGTGACCCGTAATGGGATGTCCTCAGATCTTTGGTTAGCGGTAGCGAAACCATGCCCATATATATATAATACAAACTAAAATCAGTCTCACTTGATGCGGTGTTTCAGTATTCCTGACTCTGTCATCGCTGGGGTGACGGCGGGGTGTGTCTTGGGGCTGGTCGTCATAGTGGGCGTGGTCTATGCACTGTGTAAACACGCCAAGAAGAGGGACCGTTTCATGGATGAGGCCATTAACAGACTTCGCATTCCGCAAGGGAAAGCAACACGTGGGTATTCCTGCCATAATAGCTAAATGTAATTGCCCCAAAATAGATATTTACATTGTATACGTTTTTAAAAATTGTAGCATCGGTTTTTCCCTCCCACATCAAGCTGACACGCCGTGATATAAGTGAAGTATTGTTCAAAGCTGCGTTAAACCTATTATTGCAGTGGATTTACGGCTTTTGAAATTCGCTAAGTGCAAATTGAAAAATCAGAATATTTTTATTTATCAGCTTCTTGTCTGGTGGTTGTGGAACAAGTGTACAGATTGCATCACAGGTTTCTGCAGCAGCAGTGTGTGTCTGTCTGTGTCCGTGTGTGCGTGCGCGTGTATGTGTGTCACAGGAACTCGATGATAGCATGTAAAACATAATATATTCGTATAGAGAAAAAAAATCACACATCTATATACATAGAGACCTTTTCTCTATGTACATAGAGTGGTGTGATTTTTTTTCTATACGAATATATTATGTTACACCCGCTATAATCGTGTTCCTGTGGTGTGTGCGGGCGTACGTGTGTCTGTGAGTTTGCGTGTCTATGTCTCTGTGTGTGTATATGTATGTGTATGTCTATGTGTAACTAAGGTGTAACTAATCGTGTGTAGACAAGTGCTAAATTACAGGCCAGGTCTATGTAACAATGACCAGTCTCCCATGTTACAGGCCAGGTGAACGTGACGACCAGGATGTACCCCGGGCCCAGGAGTGGGGTCAAGTTGCTGACAACCTACATCCCCAGGGAATCGCCACAATTAGCCTCCACCCCAGTCGGAGACGCCCCTGCGAGTCTCAAGCCACAAAAACAACTTAAATCGAAAAGGAAAGGGACAAAATCGACTGGCAATATAAAACCCCAGACGCATAAAACGCAGAACCGCATTGCAAAAACAACTACTTCCGGTACGAACCGGAAATCTCACGCGGAGGCGACACCAGGCCAACCTGGTGATGAGAAGGCGAAAGGCAAAGCAAGAGGTACGACCGACGGTAAGAGAAATGTGAAAATGCCAAATACAAAAGACACGAAACTGACTACGAACTTAAAAAGATCACCTACCCTGAAGAGGAAAAACAAAATAAGCCAGTGAACTTTGTTATGTTTTGGATATAAACTTTGATGAACTTTGTGTTGAAAGTGTCACTACCCCTAATGTATATACTAATACAGAGGGTAATGTATTTCCGTATTACAGAATTTCTGCCATTACATTTAGTATTCCTTATAGATATCAAAACTACATTAGCCCACGATTAAACTAGTTCCCGGACATCTCTGCGTGCCGTCAGCTCAAGTAAAGAGCCGCGTTTGGCCGTCAGTTTAAAAGCTCAGCTCGTTATTCTCACTTCACATCCGGTTGGACGAAACGCGGCTTGAGCCCGGAACTAGCTGTGATGCAAATGTATGTAAAATGCACACTTATTGTATCATATTCTGTTTCGATGAACTTACGTAATATCTATTTCATTTCTGTACGGGCATTGACCTTAAGTATGTTCACAGAAGATTGTAACAAAATATTTTCAAGATTAATTTCCGATTTTATTACCCATTGATATTCACTGTTTGACAAGTAATCAACTGTTTATGCCATAACATTTATTACTCCTTCTTTTATTTTAAAAATTAACATTTTAGCCACGGACTTGTCGTGGGAAACATTTTAAACGTGCGTTTGTTCTGCTGTTGTCCCAGTGGTCACGTGAAGTTTGTTTATATATATTTGTGTGTGCGACACTTATTTTTCTCGCAGTGTTATTGACAATAAACTATGTATACTATATATTTTGTTAGTTTTTGTAGCAAAGGCAAACGGTTTCACTAACTTGGAGTTTAATAACGATTCCATCTGACATGCTTGGCTTTTGTTGTTAATGTTGTTGTTGTTGTTGCAAAATTCCAGTTATATGACGGTAGCCTGAAAATAGACAATCCAGGTATCAATATCATGAACACCGATCAACAACATCTTACAAATTTGTCTGCATGGACAACAACGCGTGCATCATTGCCTTCTCCGTGAAATTCTGAATTGAATGGTAAGAAAGTTGACGTATGTAAATTGTGCAAAATAAACTTAGTCTCTAATCAGGCCTTCTCAATAACACTTTTCAATAGGATGAATGCCACATCTGTATAGATTTCTTTGTTATTTAATGGGAGGGAAACAAAATAATACGAACAATATTATCTAGATAGAATATTGTGGCAAAACATAAACACACGTACTGCACTGTAAAAATCATGCCCTTTCCTTCCTTGGTAGATAATTAGTTTGTTTATTTGTTTGTTGTTTAACGCAATACCCAGTTATATGACAGTGGTCTGTAAACAATCGAGTCTGGACACGACAATCCAGTGATTGATATCATGAGCATCGATCCACGCAATTTGGAGCCTTTTACGACAAGCATAGTCACCTTTTAAGGGAAGCATGGGTTGTTGAAGACCAATTCTACCCCGGAATCTTCACAGGTCCAATGTTGTACAAAAATACATTGGTTCAAAATGTAGTTGCAACCACATGACCCCTACCATGTTTGAAATGTAAATTTGTGCAGAAAAAAAGCAAATTTATTAATTTTGACAGATAAGATATCTGAGATACCCATCACCAGTTGTGTATTATGCGGGGTTTTTTCTTTTAATTTATGAAAGTTTTAAGTCAAATTATATTTTCAAAAATACAACCATGCAGAAGGATTCTTTGAGTTTTGGCTGAGCACAAGTACAGTTATTTGGGGGGGCGATCGGGTAGCCCAGTGGTTAAAGCGTTCGCTCGTCACGACGAAGACCCGGGTTCGACTCCCGACATGGGTACAATTTGTGAAGCCCATTTCTGGTGTCCCCCGCCGTGATATTGCTGGAATATTGCTAAAAGCGGTGTAAAACCATACTCACTCATTCACTCATTGTTTGGATTTAACATCTCTAGCTTAAGATGTTTTCATTTGAAGATCAAGCATATGATAAAATCAACTGACTGGTATATAGTTTCTTTGGCTCCTCGGTATAAAGTGTCAAAATGTTGTCAGAAGGTTAAAATTTGAAAATTACCTACGTTACACCATTCTGAGAGATTCATCGTCTACTGGTAGCCTATGTAGCTTGTAAAAACACCTTGGTGACTCTGCAGGAGGAACACTAGATAGGAATATTCAACACTTCTGCTGTCTTTGATTTTCACAAGACGACTGGAGTGACGTCAAAACCACGTGACGGCACTCCTCTACAATATATTAAATCAAATATTTTATTAGACGTCAAGATCGGGTGAATGGGTACAATATCATTCACTGTCTAGCCTCGTGTGTTTGAAAATATGTCGTTATAAAACATGTAAAACATAAGAAGTTTATAGTTGGCTTGCCTTCGCCGCTTAATCCCTGCAGCCGAGATACGTCCATTTTGACGTCAAGGAAGCAGGTTTTACAAGAATATTTCAAAAGCGATATTCATATGGTATGCATTGCATTACTACGGTGGTTCATACATGGAATCTGTTTTTCAATATTTGGATATTTCACTTACTGTTATCGTAACCTTTGGGTAAATTAACACGATTTGTCATACAAATATGTGATAAATCATGTATAAAGATGATATTGAATCGCTGAAAAGTGAAGCGAAAATGTCAAAAACTAAAATGAAAATGTCAAAAACAAAAACGAAAAGGTCAAAAGCTAAAATGAAAATGTCAAAAACAAAAACGAAAATGTCAAAAACTAAAATGAAAATGCGATTCAATAGCTACTTGAAAGTACATTTTCCATGTTTTCGGTTGATTTTATACATCATTTATCACATATTTGTATGACAAATTGTGTTAATTTGCAAAAGGTTACGATAAATGTAAGTGAAATATCAAAATATTGAAAAACAGACTCCATGTCCCTTATGGGCCACCGTACAATACACATGGCTACGCATATGAATTTATGTAATAAAAGTTAAAAATGTGTTTATCTAAACGTATTGACTATAAAAAAATGAAACTGCCAGGTAAAAGAAAGTACATACTTAAAAATGGATTTGACCCATGCATTAACGTAAAACGTAAAACGTAACTAGACTGAAAGCAGTCGCCGAAACACTGCAAACTTAGGTCCAAAACGCAGCTGTGATACCCTTATCAAATACGTCACCATCGAATAACCATTTCTTGTTTGTTTCATTTTTAGCCACCATCAAATATGGGTGTATACTTTTCCCCCGACAGTTTAGATGATAAACATGATGGATTTTGTTGATTAGATTTTTTAAGATGTGGCGTATCGTTCACGAGGTTGGCCGCACTTAATTCTGGGTGAGGTGAGGTGAAATTGGGGCGCTCTCCGGGCGGACGCTCTACCTCTAGGCCACGGAGGCGGTACTTACTTCTGGGTGGGTGAGGTGAGTCGCTCTCCGGGCGGACGCTCTACCTCTAGGCCACGGAGGCGGTACTTGCTTCTGGGTGGGTGAGGTGAGTCGCTCTCCGGGCGGACGCTCTACCTCTAGGCCACGGAGGCGGTACTTACTTCTGGGTGGGTGAGGTGAGTCGCTCTCCGGGCGGACGCTCTACCTCTAGGCCACGGAGGCGGTACTTACTTCTGGGTGGGTGAGGTGAGTCGCTCTCCGGGCGGACGCTCTACCTCTAGGCCACGGAGGCGGTACTTACTTCTGGGTGGGTGAGGTGAGTCGCTCTCCGGGCGGACGCTCTACCTATAGGCCACGGAGGCGGTACTTACTTCTGGGTGGGTGAGGTGAGTCGCTCTCCGGGCGGACGCTCTACCTCTAGGCCACGGAGGCGGTACTTACTTCTGGGTGGGTGAGGTGAGTCGCTCTCCGGGCGGACGCTCTACCTCTAGGCCACGGAGGCGGTACTTACTTCTGGGTGGGTGAGGTGAGTCTCTCTCCGGACGGAAGCTCTACCTCTAGGCCACGGAGGCGGTACTTACTTCTGGGTGGGTGAGGTGAGTCGCTCTCCGGGCGGACGCTCTACCTCTAGGCCACGGAGGCGGTACTTAATTCTGGGTGGGTGAGGTGAGTCGCTCTCCGGGCGGACGCTCTACCTCTAGACCACGGAAGCGGTACTTACTTCTGGGTGGGTGAGGTGAGTCGCTCTCCGGGCGGACGCTCTACCTCTAGGCCACGGAGGCGGTACTTACTTCTGGATGGGTGAGGTGAAATTGGGTCGCTCTCCGGGCGGACGCTCTACCTCTAGGCCACGGAGGCGGTACTTAATTCTGGGTGAGGTGAGGTGAAATTGGGTCGCTCTCCGGGCGGACGCTCTACCTCTAGACCACGGAGGCGGTACTTACTTCTGGGTGGGTGAGGTGAGTCGCTCTCCGGGCGGACGTCTACCTCTAGGCCACGGAGGCGGTACTTACTTCTGGGTGGGTGAGGTGAGTCGCTCTCCGGGCGGACGCTCTACCTCTAGACCACGGAGGCGGTACTTACTTCTGGGTGGGTGAGGTGAGTCGCTCTCCGGGCGGACGCTCTACCTCTAGGCCACGGAGGCGGTACTTAATTCTGGGTGGGTGAGGTGAGTCGCTCTCCGGGCGGACGCTCTACCTCTAGGCCACGGAGGCGGTACTTACTTCTGGATGGGTGAGGTGAAATTGGGTCGCTCTCCGGGCGGACGCTCTACCTCTAGGCCACGGAGGCGGTACTTAATTCTGGGTGAGGTGAGGTGAAATTGGGTCGCTCTCCGGGCGGACGCTCTACCTCTAGACCACGGAGGCGGTACTTACTTCTGGGTGGGTGAGGTGAGTCGCTCTCCGGGCGGACGTCTACCTCTAGGCCACGGAGGCGGTACTTAATTCTGGGTGGGTGAGGTGAGTCGCTCTCCGGGCGGACGCTCTACCTCTAGACCACGGAGGCGGTACTTACTTCTGGGAAAGAGATCATGACAGAGATACCGATGCGCGGAAATTTAAACATTTGAAAAAATATATCCTGGCACTGGACTTATTATACCAGTGGGATAGAGGTGAGCCGAATTTTCTGTAGCGCAAATCTTAAAACAAATAATGTAAAGGGACCGACCATTTGATATTCTAGGGATTGTTGAAAAAAGAAAGAGATTGTCAGCCACAAAAAATACAATATTTTTTCAAAATATATTTGGTCTCTTAGTTCTAACTAAAAGCATATCTGGTTTTGCAGTTGTAACTGAAGAAAGGGCTAGTTTCCATACAAAATCCAACCTCAAACCAACTCAAACACCTACACCACTCAATCCCGCACAGAATACCAAATGGTCGGTCACCTACCTCATGTGCAGTTACGGATGCGTACCCGAAGCCCTATTAGTATTAAGTCCCCGTTACACTATCAAAATCATTTATCAAAAAACTTTGTAAAAAAAAATTTGACTAGGTTATTTTGGTCAAAGTTGGGCGGTTTACACAGATCAAAGTCTTTGACAGGCCATCAAAGTTTATGCGGGAATCTTTCTTGCCAAGATAAAGAAAGTTTTGCTGTTATATGTATTTTGTGTTTTGTCACGTCGAGAAGACGGCGTCGGAGTCGGCAATGGAATACATGGTCCCGGGATTGGCTGCAGAGGAGGCATCAGCTTAGTGCCTACAATCCCCATGACAACTATCTAATAATTAAGAGGGAAACGTTCAGGTTTCTTCTTGGAAACAGTGAAGCCGTACATTCGAAAGCAGGACACACGACCGTGGATTTGAATTTCTTGATGTTTCTTGCAGTCTGATTACATTAAAGTGCATCAAAGTTTGACAAAGCTTTTGACGGCATGTTACATTATCAAAAAACCTGGTCAAAATGGACTTTTTGGACTCAAAGTTTCTGACAGTGTAACAGGGATACTGTAACATTGTTCGAGGATATTGTGACGTCATCGCATTATGACGTCATTTGTTATGCATGACGTCATCGTGTTTCACTCCGTCATATGCAACGTTTTGTTGATGAAGAATGTCGATACTCACCATAAACATTAATCGTAGTAAACTCAGAGTAACGTGAGCGTGATGGATGTTGCGGTAGGCCACAGCCATGATTCCGAATGCAGTAACTTATCATTCCATGACGCTACAGATGTCATATCACAGTCGTCAGTGAGAGACGGCGGGGGCTACAACGACTACGATGAAAGCTGGTAAGGAACTGAGAGGAACTATTTTAAAAATTCAAACTTCATTTGCTTTTTTGCTTTTATGGAGGTATGAACATTAAAACTGGTGTGCATACTGTGCAAGCTTGTAAATCAATAAATGCAAAATAATATAAATCGATTTTTATAAAGAAATACGTCAATATTAACAATTTCAGAGAGTGTTTATTTAATCATTAACATAAAAAGTGGAGACAACAACCGATAACCTCAAGAATGTAACAAACCTCCGCATACTCTGTTATCAGCCAACCAGGAAACAGTGGGTGTGGCCTAATATTCTTTTTAGGTTTTATTCATTTTGTAAATACAGTTTCTATTTAATATGTTTACGATGATAGTTACAAATTATGTATTTCTGGAGAGGATCCAGTGAGCAGGATGTGCTTTTTCCCAATTTTGACTGTCGTGTCAAACAGCACAAGGATCTGGAAAGTAAATGCTTTTTAAATAGACAGGCGTGGTGGGGTAGCCTAGTGGTTAAAGCGTTCCCTCTTCACGTAGAAGGGCCGGGTTCGAATCCACACATGTTTACAATGTGTCAAGGCCCCCTCTGTCCCCCCATATTGCTAAAAGCGGCGTAAAGCCATACTCACCCTAAACAGAAACAAGCAGTTTCAGGCCATGTTTTCTTATCGTCACAAATCCTGAAGCCGATTTATAGTGCTAGCTTACTGAGATACCATGCCGCAGTTTAACATGAATACCCCACTCAGACACAGTATACTGACTCCGAGCCGACCAGTCCTTGTTTTAACCCCTTAATGCCGAGCGTCAGACAGGGTAACAAGGAGTACCAACTTTTAACGTGTTTTGGTATGACGCGGCCGGGGTCGAACCACGGACCTTCCGCTTTCCTGGCGGACGCTCTACCACTAGACCACGGTGGCTGTCCTATATCAAAGAAAACACTGACAGTGTGACGTATCATGTACACCTGCTGCACTGCACCGAATAACACCAGCCGCTGCAATGTTTTACCAAAATGGAGTATTGCCATATAAGTCTATTTCAGCTCATCCCTTGACACACGAAGTACATCAATCACCACACCTGTCACTTTCGTCCCCCCACATCATCTACATGACAAATTAACCAAGAAGTAAAATTTTAAGACTTAAAAAAAATAAAATCAAACATTCAGAACGGATACAAAGATCAAGCCATGTTATTTGTCGAGGTTTTTTGGTGTTTACACTGAATATTGGTTTACGCCTCCTTTACCAGCAACATCACGGCGGGGAAAGAAATCGGCTTCGCCACATTATACCTATTGGAATCGAACCCGGTATGACGAGCGAACGCTTTAACCACTAGGCTACCCAACCTTATAGGGGTTTCCCCTCCACATTCGTTTCGTACCATATACATGTTTGAGAAGAGGAAGCGCCCATGTACCGGGCCAACAAGCGTTACCCGTGAAGACCTGGGGTAGAATAGGTCTTCAGCAACCCATGCTTGCCCTAAAAGGCGACTAACGGGATCGGGTGGTCAGGCTCGCTGACTTGGTTGATGCATGTCATTGATCCCGATTGCGTTGATCGATGCTCATGATATCAATCACTGGGTTGCCTGGTCCAGACTCGATTATTTACAGACCGCCGTCGTATAGCTGGAATATTGCTGAGTGCAGCGTAAAACAACCAACCAACCAACCAGCGTCCTACCTGAACTGCACGTATTTAACCCCCTCGTTATTTCGCCCATGTGGCTAAGAACGGAAAAAACGTTTTAAGCCCATGGGGTTAAATTATATTGAAAGATTTGATTGATCTCTCATACCGAATACTAGTATTCTTCAACATGTGTTTTAGCACGCTTTAACACGCTATATTTGGTCAATTTGCACCAATATTGCACCTTAAGCCCTGTTAGATGTTTCCACGTTTACAAGGCACACTGGACCCTTAACGCAGGTGATATTCTAAATATTCAGTGTGACATTAAAAATACATATGGAAAACATGCATGACTGTGATATTGATTTGCTGTAATTTTTAACAGGTGTCAATTCAATTTTGAACTTGTTCTTGATTTTTGTTAAAGTGTTGCTCTCTCATTCCATTTGTGAGTATTAATTCATTACACGTGGGATATTCATTCTTCTTGTCATAATTTTGTGTTTAAGCCCTGGGCGTAAATTTGGATATAATAATACTCAACTTAAAGAGGACAAATCAGAAATGGCGCCAAGGGATAATAAAAACCGTGGAGTCCCTGTAAAGTGTATCAGAAAGTGCACATACATGGAACAATACCATGTGACGTAATTTAAAAATTATTTCACGACTAAATATTGAATATCACATTGTTCCAGGGGCGATTACTCTGACGATTCAAACGGCCAACCCGCCCGACCACTCTCCAGGCCCAACCCCGTGGTGTTGTTGGCGCTACTGATGGTGCCGTACATGGTGTTGTTCTGTCACGCCCTGCACGTTGGGGTAGATGTCAACCACGTGCTGCAGGTACGAACTGTCAAACAACGTTGGGTCGAATTTTGATGTGTCGAACTTATGGTTGTCTCGAAGTAAAAGCTTGGTCCCTGCATATTCCATATTTTTTATCACTTTCGGTTGTCTCGAACCTCGGATAACTCGAAGTGTTTACGTACATCACAACATGTTTTAACTGAATATGACATGTATGACACTCAATGTCCAGTCAGCTATCCTAGCTCTAAGACCATCGTAACTCCCATACTTTAACTCCATTACTTAATATTAGTCCACAGGAGTCCGTATCTAAAAATAGACGCCCTCATGCATATTCATGACCATCTCCACACGGGCTCGCGTGTGGAGATGGTCATGAATATGCATGAGGGCGTCTATTTTTAGATACGGACGCCTGTGATTAGTCTTATCATTCAAGTTGGCCCGAAGCGGTTTAGTATTATTATTGTCTTCTTTTTTTAACCAGCTAACTTGCATGACATTTACACAATCTTCGGACTTGTCTTCGGTATAGTAGCACCGCGGTTACTTATAGTTATGTTAAAATTGCATTCGACCTGGGTAGTTTTGGGGGAACCAGGTTAGGCTTACCTACCCTTGGTTAAAAACCTAGGTAGGTACCATAGAAACAATTCTCATTTTTTTACCAAACAGTGCAGATATAAAATTGAATGTGTCGAGTTGTTCATTTTCTCCATTGAATCTTGACGTCTACCCTAATGTCCACACATCGTGATTGCAGGATGTCGCCGTGAACGCCTTCTACATGACGACATTTGTCCTCTGTCTCCTGGGAGCTGCCAAATGTGAGGAACTATTGTCACTCGAGTTATACACTAAACAGCGCTGTATGGTTACTTGTTACAAAACGGGCGCTATATATCGAGTTTTGGACTGAACAACGCTATATGGTTACTTGTCACTCAACGGGCGCTATATATATATATATATATATATATCGAGTTTTAGACTCAACAACGCTATGTGTTTACTTGTCACTCAGCCGGCGCTATATATCGAGTTATACACTGAACAACGCTATATGGTTACTTGTCACTCAACGGGTGCTATATATCGAGTTTTAGACTGAACAACGCTATATGGTTACTTGTCACTCAACGGGCGCTATATATCGAGTTTTAGACTGAGCAACACTATATGGATACTTGTTACTCAACGGGCGCTATATATCGAGTTATACACTGAACAACGCTATGTGGTTTCTTGTCACTCAACGGGCGCTATATATGTATATATATATATATCGAGTTTTAGACTAAACAACGCTATGTGGTTACTTGTCACTCAACGGGCGCTATATATCGAATTATACACTGAACAACGCTATATGGTTACTTTTCACTCAACGGGCGCTATATATCGAGTTTTAGACTGAACAACGCTATATGGTTACTTGTCACTCAACGGGCGCTATATATCGAGTTTTAGACTGAACAACACTATATGGATACTTGTTACTCAACGGGCGCTATATATCGAGTTATACACTGAACAACGCTATGTGGTTTCTTGTCACTCAACGGGCGCTATATATGTATATATATATATATCGAGTTTTAGACTAAACAACGCTATGTGGTTACTTGTCACTCAACGGGCGCTATATATCGAATTATACACTGAACAACGCTATATGGTTACTTTTCACTCAACGGGCGCTATATATCGAGTTTTAGACTGAACAACGCTATATGGTTACTTGTCACTCAACGGGCGCTATATATCGAGTTTTAGACTGAACAACACTATATGGATACTTGTTACTCAACAGGCGCTATATATCGAGTTTTACACTGAACAACGCTATATGGTTACTTGTCACTCAACGGGCGCTATATATATATATATATATATATATATATATATATATATATATATATATATATCGAGTTTTAGACTTAACAACGCTATGTGGTTACTTGTCACTCAGCCGGCGCTATATATATATATATATATATATATATATATATATATCGAGTTTTAGACTTAACAACGCTATGTGGTTACTTGTCACTCAGCCGGCGCTATATATCGAGTTATACACTGAACAACGCTATATGGTTACTTGTCACTCAGCCGGCGCTATATATCGAGTTATACACTGAACAACGCTATGTGGTTACTTGTCACTCAGCCGGCGCTATATATCGAGTTATACACTGAACAACGCTATATGGTTACTTGTCACTCAACGGGTGCTATATATCGAGTTTTAGACTGAACAACGCTATATGGTTACTTGTCACTCAACGGGCGCTATATATCGAGTTTTACACTGAACAACGCTATATGGTTACTTGTCACTCAACGAACGCTATATATCGAGTTTTACACTGAACAACGCTATATGATTACTTGTCACTCAACGAACGCTATATATCGAGTTTTACACTGAACAACGCTATATGGTTACTTGTCACTCAACGGGCGCTATATATCGAGTTTTACACTGAACAACGCTATATGGTTACTTGTCACTCAACGAACGCTATATATCGAGTTTTACACTGAACAACGCTATATGATTACTTGTCACTCAACGAACGCTATATATCGAGTTTTACACTGAACAACGCTATATGATGACTTGTCACTCAACGAACGCTATATAACGAGTTTTACACTGAACAACGCTACATGGTTACTTGTCACTCAACGGGCGCTATATATCGAGTTTTACACTGAACAACGCTATATGGTTACTTGTCACTCAACGAACGCTATATATCGAGTTTTAGACTGAACAACGCTATATGGTTACTTGTCACTCAACCGGCGCTATATATCGAGTTTTAGACTGAACAACGCTATATGGTTACTTGTCACAAAACGGGCGCTATATATCGAGTTTTACACTGAACAACGCTCTATACGTGTAAAGCTCTTTTGTTTCATGCTTTGGTCCAAAATACAAAAAGCAAAAACAGAATGTCCTAGCATCATATATTATATATTTAGAGAAGACAAGATCTCGTATTATAATAACTTTAGACTGCGAGAGGCATTCTGAAATCTGAACTTAAATAATTGATTTCAATGTGACCGAAAACTGTAGTCCACCGATCAGATAAAACGTGCCTGTTTATTGTTCTAATGTAGCCCGGTAACCCCGTAAAATAGCGGTGTAGATTCGTTCCCCTGCAATATTTCTTTTGACTATGTAATGCGACTGGTATCATCGTTCCCCGACAGTGTAGGTCGGGGATCCTGCTTCCACACACTGGTGTGCCTGGACCGAACTCATGATATATTTGCACTTTGTCATAAACCATCATTCACTCATTTATGTAAGGCACATTTTCCTCCAAATTACATTCATGCTTAAATTGGTTGAAGCGAGCGTGACAGTCTACAGAAACGTGTATTTACTACTAACCGGAGCCCGCTTGCACAGGGCCCCGTTTTCTCAAAGCGACCAATCTCATTAAAAACAGATCTAAGTTCTCGCTGCCGCTAAACAAAGATCTGAGGACATCCCATTAGGGGTCACGTCAGAACGAACGTTCACGAACTGACCGACCACTGAAACGACTAACAAGAAGTCGACATCAGCCAATTAGAAAGCAGCCTTTTCGAGCTTTACGGCACTCGTTTCAACCTGGCGACTAAGCTTGAAAAATATGTTGACACAGTTCTCGATTAAAATTTTGAAAACTGAACACACGAACATTCCGGAAGGTCTAATATATGGTTAAGAGTGTATGGCAGTACTTCCCACGTACTGTGCAACGCCTCCTCCGTTCAAATGTTTATCCTACGGAAACGAGAGATAGACGATAATGTTGACGGAATTAGTCCTACTGGCCGTAACTGTCGTTCGGAACACACCGTGTTAACGTTTTCGAGTTTGCATGATTAGAAAACACATTCCGACTGTCACTTTCAGGATCACACTCCGTCGCAGTGGTGACTCAGCATAACACCACTGCCACAGGCTAATTTGCATATCACGTGACCGGACTTTTCTCTTGTTTGTAAACAAACGCGCTTTTTCAGAAATCAGTATAGAACGGACTACTGCAAGTATTTGGGGGCGCTTTACATATTGTTTGGCATAACTATATAGATATGCTACTACAACTGCGACAGTGAGTTGCATGACAATATATATTTATGCATCAAAGTGGGGCTTCGATGACAGCAGGTGGAGCCGTACAACCAATGTAAACATAGGATAACTACGCAAAAACAAGTAGATTTTTACGTATTTGCATACTTTCTCAATGAAAGTTAACCATTCTTTGACATTTGTTTATGAAAATGTGTAGACTTGTCAAACATGAAACGATGAAAAGCATATGCAATATCTTGAATGGACTGTGAAAGATGTGACGAATCGTCACATTGCGCTGGCCTGTGGCAGAGGTACTATGCTAGCTGGCTGTCGGCCGCATGGAACTCTGGGTAGGAGAGTGTTTCAGGATCTGGTAAGCGACGCTTTGATTGGTCGGATGAAAGGTCGTTCTGACGTGACCCGTAATGGGATGTCCTCAGACCTTTCTTTAGAGATAGCGCGAACTAAGATCTGGTTTTAATGAGATTGCATAGCGACCATAGCGCTAGGAAGACCGTAACTCCCATACCTTAACATAGACTTACGACAATCGTAGCGCTAAGATGACTTTGTGGAACGGGACCCTTAGCACTAAGAAAGTCATACTCGTAACTCCCAAACTTTAACAAAGTCCTGCCGACATTAAGGATACCGATACAAATTTTCAGTCGACTATGACAGAAATTTGATTGTTGAGTTTCCATTCCTTGTTTTAGTGAGTTGCTTCAAAGTTTGCGTGTGTAAATGACCCTCCTCGCTATACCGCTAGTGTACTACCACCGTCAACGCCTGCTGGAGTGGACGGTGCGTCTACTGTACTACGCCAACGACGGCCCGTTGCCTGGGGTGCCCCTCGACAACACGAAGCGCTGCATCGGCGTCCAGACCCACGACACCGACTTCAACCGCCAGGCAGACACCGTCAGGAACTACCACGCCACCGAGACGAGGAGGGCACGACGTCACATTCTTCAGATGAGAAAGAAATATAGTTCAAGAGGTAAGTTGTCTTATCGAGGACTAGAGTGTTTGTTTGTATGATGTGTTGTTTAACGCCGGACTCAGCAATATGCCAGCTATATGACGGCGACCTGAAAATAATCGAATCTGCACCAGTGAATCAAGTGATTGATATCATGAACAATGATCCACGCCGTCGGGGTACGATGACACACCAAGTCCACCAAGTCACGTAGACCGGCCATCCGATCCATTTGGTCGCCGCTGAAAACCTGCATTGGTTGCTGAGAAACAACTCTAACCCGTTGTGTTTGTTTCGAATTCACGGGGGAACATAATGTATGAATGAAGGAACGGAGGGTGAAAAGCTGAAAAACGAATGAATGCATGAGAGAAGGAGGAATATCAAAAGAAAATCTGATCGAGATGGAGAATTCACTTCACCTGATAAACCTCTTTTCTACAGGTGGGAGGGTCGATTTTGTGAGAACAGCTTTTCGTAATGCGTTAGAAATCCCTCCCTATCTTTGACAATGTATTTATATTACGCAACACGAAACATGCCTGGTGCCGTTATAAGACATCCTCCCGAGGCAAGAGAGTTAACTGACTTTAAAAGTCCAGTTTCCACCCTTGCCGAACTAGGCTGAAATTACTGGGCTCGATCGTAGCGCCACCAGTGGCTATTACCAGTTATGTCCCTTCTATGTCTCTCCTATGGACCAATCAGATTCAACCTCTCGTATCACTTGCGTTTGCTTCACACAAAATGGTGGCGCCCAGTCAGGACGATCTGATCGATAATCAAGATCTATATTGTGATAAAACGGGTCTTACATCGCGAAATGAATCAATTCACGTGAGCACCTTGATTAAAAACATGAAAAGATTTGGAAAATATCTGCTGACAACGAGTTTGCGGTTCACATGCTTCGCAAATCCTGCAATCGACCGAAATCTGCATGACAGTTTACGAACCGGATTTCGATTTCGGTGCGCGATTTTGATTGGACTATGCATAGACTCGTTAGTCCAGCCAAAATGTAACTCCATAATACCAGCCTAGGCCGGCAAGGGTGGAAACTGGACTTTTATAGTCAGTTAACTCACTTGCTTCGGGAAGATGTTATAAGACAATTTCGGCGATAAGGATTCGGCGGAAAGACTAGGGGGTAGAGATGGCGCAGTCGTGTAAGTCGCCGCGATTCACCCGTCAGAGTATGGCATTCTTCATGGGTACCAGAACACCTATATGTTCGTGGGTTTGAGTCCTGGTTCGACCTGATTATGTTTCTAGGTCTGTCAGCACCATACCGGTGCTCGTGGGTTTCACCACGGGGGTAAACGCCTTGGACCTGCATCACTATATGCATTCCTCAAGACAGGCTGACGCCGTGATATAACCGAAATACTGTCCTAAGCGACGGTAAACCCACGCACTGAGACGTGAGACCCTTCCACCGTCACTTACTGCAAAAACTGGCACAAAGCAACAGCACTTCCTTGTGACAACATAAAATAGTTTATTGAAAACAAGATTGCACAATCCACTGTTTTTCTACAAAGTAATATAAATATAAATATACATGAAGGCTCTCAATGAGGTTCGTGACCACTGGCCCTTCTGTAACTTTAACGACACTATTGTCTTTCCGTGACTAACAAAATGGCCACTTGTGTCTTTCCGTGACTTACAATCACGGAAAGCTGACACACCGTGATATGACTAAAATAATGTCTAAAGCGGCGTTAAATACAACTCACTCACTTTTAAACGCTTTTTCGACATATGAAGAACCCTTTACAAGAAGACATATATCTTTGTTAAATACATTCAAAGTATTCTTTGTTATATGTGTTGGTTTCTAGTGAAGAAGCTGAAGGATTTGGCCAAGGAGCGGAACATGATCTTGTCGCGACTGCAGCTGAAGTTCCCGGAAGTGGAGCACGAGAAGGAGACTCTGATCGCCGAGAGGGACGCCATTGAGAAACAGCTGGAAGAGGAGAAACGACGGAACAAGGAGCTGATTGGTCGGTTCCAAAGAATCAACCAACAGTTCGGCAGACTCGGACATGCGCAGTACCCACCTCCGCTGATGGCGCTGGACCTTTACAAATAAATAGTACTTTAGTATTACTGCGATGTCCATAAAACAAATAAACAATGTCACGAAAACCAAGAGGGACAGTTATTCAATCTGAGTTTACAATCACCAGACTTACACTGATGATCTTAACAGGTAATGAACAGTGATCCCCTGTGTTCGTATCCCCTGTTTGAATCCTATCACGGGAATCTGTCTACGATTCGTTTGACAATACATAAGCTGAATCGTGAGTGAATCATCATCACTGTGCCGTCTACCGTTTGAGCTAACCTCACTGTTTTCAAAGTCACGTGTTTTGCCTACTTGCAGGGACTGTAAACAATTGTCTGAACACACTGCTCCACAATTACCAATTGTTAAACAAAATAATCAGAGACAACACTTCCTAATAAGGAATGACTTGGATGTAGGGCATTGTTTTCATCAGGTTCGTTGCTCCGTCATCGCCGATCATACGTGCATGGTCTACGTGCATAGCGAACTTGATGTGAAACAAAATATGGCCATTTAGACGCAATGACACGTGTGATATATGTTTACATTTTATATATAGTTTATGGATTAATTTAACAATTTATCAGTTTTATTTATGAACTCCAGATTGCACTTCCCAATTGATGCAACAACCTGACTGAACCGTTGTCCTTTAACCAATAAACGCCTGTAAAATTAACTTAAGAATTGACTTTAACTTTGTGTGAGTTCATTGAAGTATTGGGGGCACGGGTCATCATAGCCATGGGGGTCATGTTTAAACTTGCAACCCTTCGAAGTCAACGAGCAGTTTGTAGTGACAGCATTGCTAGGATCATCAATGCAAGTTCTCATGGGCACGGGTGGCCCAGGCGTCTAAGGCGCCGCGATTCGCTGTGCAGAGTTGCGTCCCTTGGGCACGCCAGAAACCTATGATTGTCGGTTCGAATCCCGGTTCGCCCCGATTATGTTTCTAGGTTTGTCAGCACCATACCCGTGTTAGAGGGTTTCACCGAAGTGGTAAACGTCTGAGGTCTGCATCACTTCGGGCTTTCCTCCCACATTAAGGTGACACGCCGCGATATGACTGGAATACTGTTAAAAGCGGCGTTAAACCCAACTCACTCACTCACTCACTCACTCATTGGAGTATGAACCTTCACAGATTGAGGAACAAACTGTATGAACGTCGAAGCTTTTAAAAACACTACTTTGTACCTCGAAGGATGTAGATCAAGATCTGTACACAATTTCTTTTCAGAATCTAATGTGACTTCATGTTTACACGCAACAACAAGCCGTATCGCGGACTAAAATAAGTCTTCAAAAAGAGAGGTGACGTGAGCGTATGTTTGCTTAACATGCCCTAAAGGAACATCTGTTTAAAAGTGTTATAGTTTGTTTACAACATATGTATTCAAATAATATCATCATTGGATGGGAAAGGTGTATTAAGAACTCCCTCAGTAAGTCAGTCACAATGACAGCGCGTCGTAATACATTTACATCACGTACGAGACGTCAAAATGGCCGACACGATAAACGCGACGGGATAGCATTCCGAAGTTGTTAATGAACCTGTGGTGGCTACATGTGTTGGTCATAATTGATCAATTGGCCGATCATTGAAAAGTGATTTTAGATATGTGTCAAATAGATACGACGGCATATCCATAGATTGCTGTAGATGTCACGGTCAGTCTAGACAAAGATCGAGTCGATACTACGATAGTATGGATGTGCATTTCTTCGTTTTGTTCATTAGGATTTGTCGTAGCGAGGATATTCGTGAACGATCATGCAGTCAAACTCTCTGACGTTTCTCAATGTATGCTCAAAGGATGAGTTGAAGATAAAAGTGTCTAAACAATCAGAAACAACGCTTCTATGTGTATTCGTGTTAGGGACTACCCAGGAATGTGGAAGTAGTCCGTCAGTGTCAATCTCAGTAAAATCAGATCTTTGTTCTCGCCACCGCTAAACAAAGATCTGAGGACATCCCATTACGGGTCACGTCAGACCGACCTTGCGCGAACTTTGACCGACCAATGGAATGACCAATCAGAAGGCAGCTTTCTCGTGCGTTAAGGCACTAATTTCAAATTGGCGACTACGCTTCGAAACATATTTTGACAAATTCTCGATTACAAATTTGAAACCTGAACAAAAGAACATATTGGAATGGCTAATAGATGGTCTAGATTGTATGGATTCAGTCGTTAAACCCGTAACTATCGTTCGGAATACCCCGTGTTAAAGTTTTCGAGGATGCATGAGTAGAAATCACATTCCGACTGTCACTTTCATAATCTGGTAAGCGACGTGCTGATTGGTCGGATGATAGGTCGTTCTGACGTGACCCCCAATGGGATGTCATCAGATCTTTGTTTAGCGGTAGCGAGAACTAAGGTCTGATTTTAATGAGATTGCCGTCAGTGTTTACGTCTTTTCAAGAACACGGTTACGTCAATTTCGTGTCATGTGACCGCCCTCTTTACCAATGGACGTGTAAACTTCACATTACAAAAATCTATTTATTATACAATATGAGGGCGAGACTGAAAACATCACACACGCCTTCCATTGTTCTGACGTCACACATTTATAAAATTACGTCATCCGAACAATAGACTGACTTCAATGAAGGTACACAGAGAGAAGGGACATCTCATTCTTTCTTCTTCATTTTCTTTCGCGAGATGACAATAAATAAAATATAGAGTATTCACTCAACACTCAGTGAGGAATGTTATCGAGGTAAAACATCACGAGTGATTTTGATGAAATTGGGAATAAATATTCAATTATTATCCGTTGTTGACTTTGTTATACGTATGTCTATGTCTAGTGGAACCAGCTCGAGTCCAGTCTCAAAACGCTGAAAAAGCGCCGCTAAAATAAATTGATTGGAGTCAATGTTTCGATCGCTTCTTGTTTTTCGGCCTTTACAATAAACATTTACTTTTTATTTTACGCCAAGCAGAATTCCATCGTCGTGTTGTGCTAAACTTTAACGATATAATAAAGTATATTTTGTGACGCAGTTTTGTTCAGCTGGGAGATATGAACATATACCAGTCATGTGATGAGTGATAGATCACCAGGGCAACGAGAGCTGGGCAGGAGTTGCAGAGTGTTAACGTCAGGCTTTCGGCAGATGGTTTAGTTATGACACCAGTTATAAATATGTTTGTCGACATGACTCACGCACGTCTTTGTTTGCAGGGAGCTACGTCAAATGCATTAAACTTCGTCAAGAAAATGCGTCATTAATTTTCAGAAACCTTTCAGGAAATGTTAAATTAACACATACGTCAGTTGTGTTTTTCTTGTTATTCATTTATCAAATATTTGGGTTTTTTTAGGAAGTGTCACAAGGCTCGCGGTGTGCCCTACATCAAACAGATTGGCTGGGACCCACCATTGTATCTTGAAGATACGATCATTTTATGATCGAAGACCGATTATTGTATCATCGAAGACCGATCATTGAATCATCGGAGACCAGTCATTATGTCAGTGAAGCCCAGTCATTATGTCATTGGAGACCGGTCATTATGTCATTGGAGACCGGTCATTATATCATTGGAGAGCAGTCATTACGGCATTGGAGACCGGTCATTATGTCATTGGAGACCGGTCATTATGTCATCGGAGAGCCGTCATTATGGCATCGGAGATGGTGATTAAGTCATCGGAGACCATCATTAAATCAGTGGAGCCTGGTCATTATGTCATCGGAGAGCGGTCATTATGTCATCGGAGACCGGTCATTATGTCATCGGAGACGGTCATTATGTCATCCGAGACCAACATTATGTCAGTGGAGCCAGGTCATTATGTCATCGGAGAGCGGTCATTATGTCATCGGAGACCGGTCATTATGGCATCGGAGACGGTCATTATGTCATCCGAGACCATCATTATGTCAGTGGAGCCTGGTCATTATGTCATTGGAGACCAGTCATTATATATGATTGGAGAGTGGTCATTATGTCATCAGAGAGCAGTCATTATGTCATTGGAGACCGGTCATTATGACATCGGAGAGCGGTCATTATGTCAGTGGAGACTGGTTATTATGTCATTGGAGACCATCATTATATCAGTTGAGCCTGGATCGTTATGTCATCGGAGAGCGGTCATTATGTGAGTGAGTGAGTATTGTTTTGCGCCGCTTTTAGCAATATTCCAGCAATATCACGGCGGGGGACACCAGAAATGAGCTTCACACAGTGTACCCATGTCAGGAATCGAACCCGGGTTTTTGGCGTGACGAGCGAACGCCTGAACCACTAGTCTACCCGAACGACCTAGTCATTATGTCATCCGAGACCATCATTATCTCAGTGGAGCCCAGTCATTATGTCATCATAGAGCGGTCATTTTGTCATCAGAGACCGTCATTATGTCATCGGAGACCAGTCATTTTGACATCGGAGCGCTCTCATTATGTCATCGGAGACCTTTTTTTTGTCAGTGGAGCCGGGTCATTATGTCAGTGGAGCCTGGTCATTATGTCATCGGAGACGGTCATTATGGCATCAGAGAGCGGTCATTGTGTCATCGGAGACCGTCATTATGTCATCGGAGACGGTGATTATGTCATCGGAGACCATCATTATGTCATTGGAGAGCAGTCATTATGTCATCGGAGACCGGTCATTTTGACATTGGAGACTATCATTATGTCATTGGAGAGCGGTCATTATGTCATCGGGGACGGGTCATTTTGACATCAGAGACTATCATTATGTCATTGGAGCCAGGTCATTATGTCAGTGGAGCCAGGTCATTATGTCAGTGGAGCCAGGTCATTATGTCAGTGGAGCCAGTTTATCATGTCATTGGAGCCTGGTCATTATGTCATCGGAGACGGTCATTATGTCATCAGAGAGCGGTCATTAAGTCAGTGGAGACCGTCATTATGTCATTCGAGAGCGGTCATTATGTCATCGGAGACCGTCATTATGTCATTTGAGAGCCATCATTATGTGATCGGAGAGCGTCATTATGTCATTTGAAAGCGGTCATTATGTCATTGGAGAGCGGTCATTATGTCATCGGAGACTGTCATTGTGTCACCGAGTTTGGGATGGGGGATAGCCCAGAGGTCAGGCTGTAGACCGGAATTCGATTTCCCTGATGGGCACGATTCATGCAGCTTATTCTTTAATCCTTGTCGTGATATGGCTGGAATACTGCATTGCGGCGAAGAACCATATCACTCATTTAGCTGATTCAATGTTTAATACAAAGTGGCCATCTCCCCGAGACAAGGGAGTTAACTGACTGTAAAAGTCCCGTTTCCACCCTTGCGGAACTTTGCTGGAGTTATGGAGTTCGGCTATATCGTGGCTGGAGTAGGATTTGCAAAACACGTGTCACATTAGCGTCACATATATTTTTCAAACCTTTTCATGTTTTTAATCAATATGATCACATGATTTGATGCACTTCGCAAATTAAGACCAATTTTATCACAGTATACATCTTGATTATCGATCATATCGTCATGACATGGTGGAATCTGATTTGTCAATAGGAGGGACATAGAAGGGACATAACTCGTAATAGCCACTTGGGACACTACGATCGAGCCCAGAAGTTCCATCCTAGTTTGGCAAGGGTGGAGACTAAACTTTTATAATCAGTTAACTCCCTTGCCTCGGGAAGATGAAAGTGGCCGGAAATATTACATTTGGCTCAAACTATAAAATCGACCTTTTATGTCGGAAAAAAAGTCATTCTGAGTCACTCTGGTCAGTTAGAGTGAGTGAGTGAGTGAGTGAGCTTTTAGCAATATTCCAGCAATATCACGGCGGGGGGCACCAGAAATGGGCTTCACACATTGTACCCATAGCGGGAATCTAACCCGGGTCTTCGGCGTGACGAGCGAACGCTTTAACCACTAGGCTACCCGACCGCCCCCTGGTCAGTTAGAACATACACTATATATAGAAAGAACATTTGTCTTTTCGTATCATATAACATATTTATCTCATCTTGTGACTTAAAAAGTTTTGGCAGGTCGCAAAATAAGACAAACATATCATTTTATACGAAAAACCTAATCAAAGCCCTTGTTTGATTCACCTCCGCATGAGAAGTGCAATATTTTTTCAGTTTCATTTCAACCTCTCAATCACTTTCATGCGTCACTGACTGACAGGTGTAAAGTCCCCTGCGGATGGCAATATGGATACGCTTGTTACTAACACATGTTTCTCTTGTTTTTCCACAAAACATGATCCGATATGGCTTCTGGGCAGTAGTTATTCTCGAAGAACGTTTTAGCAACCACTATTAATTTATTCATGAATGTTGAACTTGTCACATAACGCTTGCCAAAAAAGTGTGAATCATTTCGACAGAGCAGGAAACGTATTCGCTCTATGACGGTTCTGGCTTATCTGAAGCCTGGGGGCATGCCGCGACTACATATATATATGTACGTTCTCCTTGTAACGACAAAGCTGCTGCCAGGCTCCCACTAGTACGACTAGGAAAGATATCAAAATGGCTCATTATAAACTTTTGTCAGTTGGATGTTTATATTTTTTCATTTGTCAGTGTTTTGCAGCGATTGTGAATTCCGGTGCGCATCCTCACTTTAGTTACAACTCTTTCCGCCGTTACGGTAAGTAACAGTGAATGTTATCAATATGTGTGGACGTTTCTTTCTTTTAGTGAGGGGGCACGGGTGGCCCAGTCGTCTTAGGCGCCGCGATTCGCTGTGCAGAGTTGCGTCCCTTGGGCACGCCAGAAACCTATGATTGTGGGTTCGAATCCCGGTTCGCCCCGATTATGTTTCTAGGTTTGTCAGCACCTTACCCGTGCTCGTGGGTTTCACCAAAGTGGTAAACGTCTGAGACCTGCATCACTTCGGGCTTTCCTCCCACATTAAGCTGACACGCCGTGATATGACTGAAATACTGTTAAAAGCGGCGTAAAACCCAACTCAACTCAACTCTTTTCTTTTCTGTTTCGGTGGATAGTTGAGACTGGTTATTCTCCGGTGTTGACATGTTATTTTAACATGTGGGGTAGAAACCCATTTGAGATAACTGGTACTACCCCAAGTTGTACGTTACTCCGTTTCGGTCGATTTCACCTACCTCTGCGTCGACACTTCATGGTTTTAGAGCGTTATAGATGTTCTTAGATCTTATTTAGTTTGCATTATCATTATTGCCTTGATAATCCATAGATGTGGCGGAACTCTTTTGTGAAGGGTCACACTTCGTATGAGTAGTCAACAGTAAGACGGTTGAAGTCACTCATTACCGTTGTGCTATGTATTAATGCGCCACTGCGACCATGACAATAGATAAAATATGCATTGATTCGATGCTTAAAATCGGGCAATTGTAGGGTGTGAGAAATTGAGATATTGTTTCTGTGAAGGTGAATCCTGAGCGAACTTTAACCAATCAAAACGAAAGATGCATAGATTCCTATGAATCAAATGTCAACTTTCAAAAAGGTTTTGACTTCGTTTCTTTACCACCTCGGTTTGTAAAGTCCGATTTTTAACACACACAAAAAACAAGAAAGAACACAAATATTACTTCGATGGTGCTCCCTTTTGGGCCTAAATACCATGGCGCTCAGAAACGACAGCGTGTATAACGTATCTACCACAATTTAAAAGCGCGGCTTTATGTTTTTGCACACGAACTCCCCGATAGCATTCGTTTTCGAGGTACAGAAATCCGATATGCATGTTCAACTGCTTCACTCACTTGTACCCAGATAATTAGAAAGTTAAATTGTGCGCAATCCGTGTTTTTATTTTAGAATGGCAATCAGAAACTCGGTTACATGAAACTGATCATTATTTACAGGACCCATCAACTGGTTTCGGATCTGGTCTTCGTGTGCGGGAGATCGACAGTCCCCAATAAACATCGACACCGCAAGTACGTCCATCAATGAAACCATGCACATACATTACGACCACTTAAGCAGGACGATTCCTGGGAAACTCACCAACAATGGTAAGGCGATACTTTCTTCATCCTCGTGGCTCAGGGGTATATTTGTAACACGTTTCATAACCACTTTGCATTATTCTTTTTGTGCTTACATTTTGTAATACTGGTTCAGCTTAACGGTGTGATGATGTGAAATAGGGTTTAACGTCGGGTTCAAGCGTATTGCACTGGTATAGCGACGCGCGTGTATTATGTTTGTGTGTACGGGGCCGTCCGGACTAAAGCCGGTTATAAAGTGCAAGCCCCGTGAGATAACATGCGGCAGTTTCAACATGGACACAGTATACTGACTCAGTACTGAATCAGTCCTTGTTTTATCCCCTTAATGCCAAGCGTTGGTCAGGGTAACAAAAAGTACCATCTTTTAACGTCTTTTGGTATGACATAGCCGGGAGCGAACCACCAAGGCGGTTTAACATGAATTCGGCCTGGTTCGGGTTGAAGAATAAGGCTAAAGTAGAAGTAACAGATATCTTCTTAAATTACCTTTTTAAATTGCATTAGTCGGTACAGTTGACCAGAACCCTATTGCTGGTCACAACAGACGAGTGACGGATCATTGGTCGGGTGGTCAGGTTCGGTAACTTTTGTGTGACTGTACCCCGACGGTGTGTATCAGTGCTCATGCTATCAATCACTGATTGTCTTGTCCAGATTCGAATATTTACAGGCCGCCGTCGTATAGCTGGAAAATTGCTGATACGGCGTTAACAAATAAGCACAGACATCTTTATTTCGCGAAAATGGTGAGTGGAAGAGTAATTGTTAGAAACATTCTCATTCAGGTCACGTGCCAGTGTTTTCGTTTGCGGATCAGCAGAGGCCGGTACTGACGGGGGTCCCTCATCATGAACATGACAGGTACCTGCTGGAACAAATACATCTTCACTTCCAGAAGGACAGCCGGACAGGATCGGAGCATACGGTGGACAAACAGTTCTACTCTGGAGAGGTAAGTGTCAGACTGCGCATCCATGTGCGCATATCACGTTACTTCCGCCCAAGTCAATAAAAACTAACTTCAACGCTAGAGAATAATCAATCACGAAATGTTCTGTCTTTATTTCATCGAAAGTAAACTTCAACTTACGATATTAGATCGAAAACAAGAAGAGGTCCCATGAAATAAACTTTTTGTATTTGGGGCTGATTAAAGAAGAAATCATTGCATAAATATTTAAGATATTTTATCAGTCCTACAGTGCACATTGGCAGGTGTTTCTTCAGGGACGATGCGTAGCCATGGCAACAGTATTGACCCATAGAAAAATTGACATTAACGAGGACCGGATGAGGGTATTCCGTCACCGCAGCTACGTTTTCACTTGAGTTTATCAGTTGTGGATATATCCCCATAATATATTGTGCAATTACACAGGAATGTTTATTCAATATTATATAATTTCAGTTCCACCTTGTCCACTACAACAGTAAATACGGCAACTTTAGCGCTGCAGTGAAGCAGCCGGATGGCCTCGCTGTCATCGCTGTTTTCCTCAAGGTACGGTGCTACCAAAGCATGCGCAAATTTTAATCTGATGCAGTAACCTTTTTTTGTTACACATTAAGGATTAACCTATTGCTAAAGTAATTCTGACTCGCTAAATTATGCATACTAAATCTGATACTTCTGCTACCCTGGGCGAAAGCACATTTAAGTAACAGGTACTTCTTTTTAAAAACAATAAAAGAAAAAAAAGTCTGATATGATTTAGAACAGTGGTAAGTCTCTCTCTAGCAGATTGTCGAAATATTCATGTCAGTTGTCACGACGCGTTTACGTTCGGAATACAGATATGACATACAGGCACTGTGTGATAAGTATTTAAGCAAATCTATATTTGCAGGACCTGGGTCGACCTGCCCCAATGCATGTCGAGGAGCTGTTGGTGGAGACGGAAGAGACGCACTCTGCCCGTAAGTGCAAAACGTGATCAGATTGGCGGCCATCTTGGTTTTCATCATCAGGATACGAAGGGCCACTGTTTGATGTTCTAGGATGTATGATTCCAGTTTAGATTTTCGCCATGCTTGCAATACAATTATCCTGGGCCTATTTACCCGTGAAGATCCGGGGTAGAATAGGTCTGCAGCAACCCATGCTTGCCGTAAAAGGCGACTATGCTTGTCGTAACAGGCGACTAACGGGATCGGGTGGTCAGGCTCGCTGACTTGGTTGATGCAGGTCATCAATCCCAATCGCGTGGATCGATGCTCATGATATCAATCACTGGATTGTCTGGTCCAGACTCAACCAACCAACCAAATCCTGGGCCCATTTGATACTATAGCTTCGTTTGGAGTCTGATCCGACTTACAAGGAGCTAAAAGTTGACGTCAAATCAAATCTCCCATTGATGAGAGAGATGGATATGTGAGGCCATTTCTCCCAATCAAACTATGGTTGCGATGGGCCAGGGTATTTACCATAATAGAATTGACATGTAATAGCCTGGATAAACGTAGATGACGGCCTGAGATAATCTGTAAGGCCAAGAAAAACCTCGTTCCAAATTCAAAAAAAGGTATTTCCATATGTCACTGCTTGTGGCTACGGGAAAATCTGCTTAGGTGGTGTGTAGGCTTTACAGCGCTACAAATCGGTTTTTAAAAAAAAAAATCTATATAAATCTACCAATCTCTTCCTTAAACACTTAAATAAATGTACGTATACTTTATTTCATCGAATTGAACTTCGAATTCAAAATCGAAAACAAAAACGGAGGTTAGTTTCGATGGAGCCGCCATTATTTGTTTTGTTTTTTTGTTTACGTTCTTGATATATTGTTACATTGCACAAGGGCGTGCTTTTCTTACAGGACGACCCTTAGCCGCGAGCACTGACACATAAGAATACCTATATTAAACGAACATATGACTGAATATGGTAAACGTAGCTACGGAGTAGGGTGACCGCCATTCATTACGATCAAGGGGCGGTCGGGTAGCCTAGTGGTTAAAGCGTTCGCTCGTCACGCCGAAGACCCGGGTTCGATTCCCGACATGTGTACAATGTGTGAAGCCCATATCTGGTGTCCCCCGTCGTGGTATTGCTGGAATATTGCTAAAAGCGGCGTAAAACCATACTCACTCACTCATTACGGCCATACGCTGTATCTTCCATCGTCAGCTTGCGACGGTCATGGGCTACTGGGGATCCAGGTTTTAAATGACGGAAGAACACGGGCGTCGGAGTTCGCATAACGTTATGGTTCCATATTTTGTTAAATGATGTGCGTTTATTCCGTATGTTCCAGATGCCTCGCTTGCTTTGACCATCAACCCGAGCGAATTCCTGCCAGAACGATGCGAATTCTACACCTATCCAGGTTCCCTGACCACGCCAGGTTGCGAAGAGTCCGTCACGTGGATCGTCATGGCAACACCGATGTCCATTCCCGATGTCGACGTGAGTTGATATTAAGACCATTTCTTTTCACTTTCACATACAATGACTTCAAGGTTAAATTATTAAATAAAACAATCATAAGCATCCTTGATTGGAAGAGTGGTTTAAAATCTGATTTTTAATACGATACAAAATACATCTCTGTGGACACCTCCATAGAAGTATCGGAGTGCCCTGTGTAGATCCGGGCTAGAATTGATCTTCAGCAACCCATGGCATCAGAGTCGACTAATGAAGAGTCGGTCAAGCTCGTTGTTGACTTTGTTGATGCATGCCATCGTATCCTAAATGCGTAGATCGATGTTCATGATATCAATCACTGGATTGTCTGGTTCAGACTTGATTATTTACAGACCGACATATTGTTGATTGCGGCATTAAACAAACAAACAAACAAACATATGTAGTACAAGATCTGATCATAATGAGTGAGTATGGTTTTACGCCGCTTTTAGCAATATTCCAGCAATATCACGGCGGGGGACACCGGAAATGGGCTTCATAACGAGAGAGGGATGTTATGGGATTTATCTGTGCCTGTTCAGAGGCTGATATTCGGACCCACGCCTGCAGCAAATGTCAGTAAAAATTCCCAAATTGGAATTAAAGACCTTCCAAAATTATGATGCCTTAGTAATAATTGATGTTATGGCCTTGAAGAAACCAACAAACATAAAACGGAGGAAGAGTCCATTTTGCTTCGTTCTACATTATTACATTGAATGCAATGCCACGAATACAACCGTTACTCTAAAACACCGCTGAATATCAGAAATTAAGAAAAACCTAATGTTGTTCAAAATATATTTTTTCTCCAATTTGTCTTACAGTGCTATAGATAAGCTGGTAGATATTTGGGTATTTTGACCCGGGGTTAATTTTGATTGGGTATCCAAATGAATTGAAGGGTATTGTAACATTTTTACCCACCTGTTTCTTGACATTTGGGTATTAAACTTATAACCTGTGTTGTAACAATCCCTGTAAATCATTTAAAACCATGTGAATAGTAGTGTACCCATTTGTGTCTGCCTGCGGCTCCCTCTCTGTCAAGACCCGGGGTAGAATAGGTCTTCAGCAACCCATGCTTGCCGTAAATGGTGACTATGCTTGTCGTAAGAGGCGACTAACGGGATCGGGTGGTCAGGCTCGCTGACTTGGTTGATGCATGTCATCGTATTCCAATTTGCGTGGGTCGATGCTCTTGATATCAATCACTGGATTTTCTGATCAGACTCGATTATTTACAGACCGCCGTTATATAGCTGGAATGTTGCTGAGTGCGTCGTTAAACAACCAACCAACCAACCCTCTCCGTCAGTGTATTGCATATAGCGACGTTTCGCTGAAATTTCTGACGCCGTTATCCACCTACAACTCCAGCTTGATAGGGTGAAAAAATCAACATCGAAACGTGGTTATATATATGCAATAAATCAGAAGTTGTTATCCATTAAGTTGTTCGTTTTCTTATTCACTTACCAACTTCTAGAATGCCAATCCATCAGTCAGTCCCAGATAACTCTACAATCAATACCTGTAATCAGTACATGCAATCAATATCTATCATTATAGCTCAAATGGATAGAATTATCATTAAAACGCCCGCATGTTATCAGAAATGAGCGGGCCACTGTAACTTGATAATGCCCTCATATTACTTGACGACGGGCCATTATCACGCCCGTTGTTAGGTGACGTCATAGGATAGGGATAGGTGACGTAACGTTCAATAGTAACGTCATCTGGTTTGTTCTATGACGTTTCCATATTTGTAAAAGTTGGTCAGTGACATTCGTGTTGATTGCAGTAAATGTTTCAAAATCGACATTGTTGTTTCTTTTTATTTGATAACAAATTCCATCCATTTTAGCTATAATAACGGTAACGCTATTTTTCAGGGCATTATCATTTGCAGAAGCCCTCGGTCTTTTCAACTGCCCTCCTTCGTCGGGCAGTTAATGGAAGACCTCGGGCTTCTGCAAATGATAATGCCCTGAAAAATAGCGTTACCCTTATATCAATACTGTTACATGTATATAATTATACATCATGCTGGTCTACAGATGGACAGGTTACGGGAGATGAAGGATATTCACGGGAACCCCATCGCCCAGGACGGCAACTGTAGGCCCCGACAACCTCACGGAGCCAGGATTGTGGAGGCCAACTTTGCCGCCAAAACTGGTCATAAAAAGCTGGCGTACACCACTACGTCGTTGTCAGAGAAGAACAGTGATAGTTTGGCAGAGAAGGAAGGACACTAGTGATCGCTTGGTTGGTCACGGAAGGACAAGTTATAGTTTGGGTTATTCTCGAGTGGATATTTGTAAGTCACGGAAAGACAATAGTGTCGTTAAATTCATGGAAGGGCCAGTGGTCACGATCCTCAATGAGAGCATTCTTAATATTTTAAATTATATTTATATTACTTTGTACAAAAACAGTGGATAGTGCAATCTTGTTTTCAATAAACTATTTTATGTTGCCACGAAGAAGTGTTGTTGCTTTCAAGTTTATAGTGAGTGCCGGTGGAAGGTTTTCACTTATCTGTGAATGAGTTGTCGCTTGGGACAGTATTTCAGTTATATCAGGGCGTCGACCGCCTCCGTGGTCTAGTGGTAGAGCGTCTGCCCGGAGGGCGGAAGGTCCGGGGTTGGATCCCCGGGCGTGTCGTGCCAAAAAGACGCCAAAAGATGGTACTTGTTGTTACCCTGTCTGGCGCTCGGAATTACGGGGCTAAAACAAGGACTGGTCGGCTCGGAGTCAGTATTGAAGTGTATCTGGAATTCGAACCCACAATCTGGCACGCCAAAGCGGCGTTAAATCAACACTCACTAGTAAACTACCGGGTAAGAAAGTATACACCATGTTTGATGATGGAAGAAACTATAACAAACAAAGTGAGGTGAGGTGAAATGGGGTTTAACGTCGCGTCTAAGATTATTGCACGTATATAGCGACGTGCATGTACGCGTGTGTGTTTGTGTGGCTGCTTGTACTAGTCCGGACTGATGCCGATTTATAGTGCTAGCTCACTGAGATACCATGCCGCAGTTTAACATGAATACCCTACTCAGACACAGTATACTGACTCCGAGCCGACCAGTCCTTGTTTTAGCCCCTTAATGCCGAGCGCCAGACAGGGTAACAACAAGTACCATCTTTTAACGTATTTTAGTATGACGCGGCCGGGGATCCAACCCCGGACCTTCAGCTCTCCGTGTGGACGCTCTACCACTAGACCACGGAGGCGGTCTCAAAAACAAACAAGAAATGGTTAGTCGATGGTGATGTATTTGATACTGGTATCATAGGCGACATTACATGTGTAATATCAATTATTATCTCACACCATGTGACGTCACATGACGTCCTTAGGAACATGGGGGATCACTATCTAACAGTACACAGTAATGAGCACAGTAAAGTGTGAATTTGAAAGTGTATACTTTCTTTTGACCATCAGTTCAGTTGCCAGAAAACAGAAAATTCAAGTGAGGCTATTCGTGTCTGTCAAACGCCAGTAGGGGAGAAATATAGATTACTAAACGAGTCACCGTTAGATACCGTTTTTATTACAATGCGTGTATTTCAAAACGAGGGAAAGCGAGTTAATTAGATACCGTTTTTATTGAAATGAGTGTATTTCAAAACGTATCTAACGGGGACAGCTAGGGATGAGTATTCGAGTCACATGTGACATGTTGAAAAACAACCCGTTTTTTGAGAGAATCCGTGCATTCGGTCAAGTTGTCTGACCGCCTCCGGGGTCTAATGGTAGAGCGTCCGCCCGGAGAGCGGAAGGTCCGGGGTTCGATCCCCAGCCGCGTCATACCAAAAGACGTTAAAAGATGGTACTTGTTGTTACCATGTCTGGCGCTCGGCATTAAGGGGCTAAAACAAGGACTGGTCGGCTCGGAGTCAGTATACTGTGTCTGAGTGGGGTATTCATGTTAAACTGCGGCATGGTATCTCAGTGTGCTTGCACTATAAATCGGCATCAGTCCGGACTAGTACAAGCAGCCACACACACATACACGTGCATGCACGTCGCTATATAAGTGCAATAATCTTGGACGCGACGTTAAACCCCATTTCACCTCACCGATCAAGTTGTCATTCTTTCTTCAATAGTCGCGGAAGCGTACGTACAATTTCATGTGTGCGTTGACTGTCATGAAAGAACGATGACCATGTTATTAACAGCTGATGAACATATTGTTTATGCCAGCGTCACACTAATTGGATGAATTTATGAAGCTGGAAAAATGGACATCGAGGATTTAACACAATGAAAAGTGGAAACGCCCAAAAGACACGCCTGAACGCAACCAGTGGTTTAGGTCATGCACGTGCACTGAATGGTACATTCGAGGCACCTGAACTGTACTCTTGAAATGCGACGTCTTTTGAACTTTTACCTTTTATTATCTGCGTGACCCCTTAATAATGACGCTGAGTATAGTTCAAATTTACCCACGAGTCGAACATTATCATCGCCAAAGACTGGCCGCTTCCAGCGACTAGATCTGGCATCGACGCAAGGCATTAACAAAGCACCAGACGCTCTCTGTGGCATCAGTACAAGGTTAGGTCAACTGAGGAGAGATATCTTGAAACGTAAAATATTGCCTATTTTGGGGAGGGGGTTCGATTCCCCACATGGGTACAATGTGTGAAGCCAATTTCTGGTGTCCCCCGTCGTGATATTGCTGGAATATTGCTACAAGCGGCGTAAAACCATACTCAGTCACTTTATTGCAGCGAAATGACTCGTGTAAACACCATGTATAAGTGAGTGAGTATGGTTTTACGCCGCCTTTAGCAATATTCCAGCAATCACACGGCGGGGGGACACCAGAAATGGGCTTCACAGATTGTACCTATTTCGGGAATCGAACCCGGGTCTTCGGCGTGACGAGCGAACGCTTTAACCACTAGGCTACCCGACCACCCCCACAATGTATAAAACACACTCACGTCATACCACATGGAATGAATAAATTTATTTTCCATTCATTATAAATAATCAACACAGTCCGAAATACCATCGCCATAGACTGTCGCCCTGCCGGTGAGGTGGCAGCAGAGTGCTCCCACATTATCTCCAGCCAGTGTGCATGTGATGGCAATAGCCACTACAAACTCTACTTCACCGCATACCTACCTGTGCTCTGAGTTTAGAGTAGCATGCTACTGTTGGGAAATTGGCATTTAATTGTTTCCCGTGTTTGAGCGCGGCTCGTCTACTCGTTTATAAATAGACTGAAGCCTAGTCAAGCTGAGCATGGGACTTTGGACGAACTCCTCACAGCGATAGCATGCACCGAAACAGTCAGTCGCTGCGAGAAATTTAACAATATGTACAGTGACAGAAGTGTGTAAGTGAAAAAATACATGTGATAGAGAATGTTCTTTTTAATAGTCATTTCTCAGGAGTAGACCTATGACAAAGTAAACAGAGGTTTATGGATAACAACCTTCTAAGTATACTGTAATGATCTTACGTTTCGGTATAGATCATTATACCTTGTAAAGCAAGTCATATTTTGTCCATGCATGAGACGTTCCTTTTATGTCATAATATTTTTTTTAAATGTAAAAAGATAAAAAGTCACAAATATCCAATTACTGTACAAGTATGATGCAAGAAGTTATTCTCCAAGCTCATCGTGACGGCGGGCGGTGGAGTAGTGTTGTGGTTAAAGCGTTCGCTCGTCACGCCGAAGACCCGGGTTCGATTCCTCACTATGCGTCATGCCAATTCCTGGTGTCCCTGCCATTATATTATTGGAATATTGTTAAAAACAATGTAAAATCATACTCACTCACTCATCGCGACAGAGGCACAAACATTCAGAATTCCGAGACACACAACACGAACTGGGGTGCAGAACGTGGATGTATCCAGACTAAGTGGTGACAGTGTACCCAGGTTATCTTTGACGATACACTGGCTCGGGCTTCAACAGGTACGCAAACTGTCTACATTTCAACAAAGTTCGTCACCATCATTCCCATCACTATTGAAGTGATGATTACTTCACCATCCAAAATGTCAAGACAAAATATATTGTACACCTTTAATGAACCCACAAGTATATACAAATTTATCTACAAACGTCTCCCAAACAGTGGAGACATGTTTTTAGGTTTTGCTAACAGTTGGTTCTGTTAAATATAAAGTTCAATGTCCCTTACTGGGACTAGTTTCCCCTGTTGCCTATTTGACAACAGTCTGACCTACTCAAGATCAACTTTGAGCCGAGCCCAACAATATCCCTTACCGGGAATAATGGACATGTTGCCCCTTTGACAACCCCGGCTCGACTGATTACTGCATGGATTTGGAAGCCACAGCTGGCTTTCGTATTACAGATTTCACGTGCGTTTTTCCGCGAAGCACTTTCCGTTTTGGAGTCTTGTTTCTACTTCAGACACGGGTGTTCTCCAACCCAAATATCGTACGAATCAATACTATCATCCTGTTGCGCGTTGAGTCGTAACTTTCCAGAAGTCTTGCATTCGTCTCAGTGACTGTAGGCTCTGATGCAGATTTACATGTCTTATATCAGCTTGTTTTCTTTTTTTAGTGCCGATGTGTCCGTCTGATTGGGAAATAATGTTATTCAGAATATTTTTTGGTGATAGCCTTGTCCCAAGTTTGTCCTACAGACCCTCATACAAATATATCAAATACAGCCCATGCAAGTCTATAATGTTTGGCAAGTCTTGTCTCTGGGCTCCTCTTTATTAATTCTTTTTAAGATAATTAAACTTTTTTTTCTGTACGGTATGTTCATTTCAGAGACTAGATGTTAGTCTACCTTGTCCCCGACAACAGCGCCAGGTACCTTTCTTTTCTTACTTGGCACAGGATGCTCGTGCAGTACAGCCGCCTTGTCTTTAACGTGGCCTGCTTCATCACCGACATCGTCGGCTTCAGTAGGTGAAGTGACATCCTTGTCTACAACTGTCACGCTTGAATCACTTTCCTCAGTATCAGGTTGCAGCGAACGTTCATTCGACTCTAAAACTGCAAATTTGTTGGTGTCAGCGACAGGTTGTAAGCTTCACAGCCTAGTCCACAAACCGAATATGTATCAACCAAACTTTGGGCATTTTCCTGCAAATACTCGTCACGGAGTTTGTTGTATATTTTCGCAAAAGGTCCAAAGCAACCAACATCCACCCCCTGTAAAGCATGAGACGCACGTGCAGGCAGTACAAACAAAATAATGTGATGCTGACGTGCCCATTCGATCAGTGGTATAGATACGTGGGCTCTGTGGCCATCGTACAGGACAAGAAGAGGACTATCGGCAGACGCGGCGACAGCATGCTTCAGGAAATGCTCTGTCAGATAGTGTTGAAAAGTCTCGGTGTTTGACCAGCCAGAGTCGCTTACAGTGCCTGCCGCTCCAGGGGTACTTCCTGTAAGGAGTTTTTCGCTCATACTTTTGCCTTGAAATACGAAAAATGGTGGTATACAACAACCAGTTGCACTTCCGCAGGCTATGACAGTTGTTGTGCTACATCTGGACGTGGTCACTGCAGCGGGAGTACTCTGACTCGATGTGACTACTGATGGCGGGGTATGATTCTCCACAAGTCCCTTTTCATCAACATTATATATACGATGAGGGCATGTCCTCAGGTTGAACTTGTCCATGATGTGGCCAAGCTCATTAAAATAATGAGTGACGGTTTCCTCCGAGGTTGCGTTAGCTCTCTGTATCTCTAGAGATCGTGGCTTTTTTACTGACAGATCAGGCCATCGTTTCAAAAATCCGTAGAACCACTGTAGTGATAGGGGCTTTTCATCCCTTGATTTCTTTCCAAGATGAACTGCTAGATCTGTGGCTATAGCGGTTACGTCAGTCCTCGTATAGACGTATCCAAACTTTGCCATGGTGTCAATATGAGATACCAGTTCCTGCTCTTCTTCTCTGGCTAACAGGGTTTCTCTACCAGTGGTAACACATTCAGTTGAGATTTTCCCACTAATTCTATCGTGAAGCGTAGCAAACGGAACAGCAAAGGTAGTGGCAGCCTTCCTAATTGACATCCCCTCCAAAACAGCAGTATATGCCTTGTCTAGGGCTGCGGTCAAGTATTGCCTATATTGGCCTCTTTTAGGTGGTTCACCATTGGTCAGAACCTGTACAAAAAAAAAGATTCATCTTTCATAACAACGATAGATACGAAGTTCTTAACATGCATTAAGTTGGGGGGTTTTAAATATAATAAATAAAATGGCCCTTTCTGCTTTCCATAGTCTAAAGTCTAACTTTTGACGAGGACATCAAGTACCAAGCTCCACACAGCGATAGCCCGTCTCTCCCATCGCAGAGAGTAAAACAAAGGTGTCTCGCGCTGGGAAGGAGCTTGATCACGTACCTCTCAGTCCACGTGCGACAATACTCGGATTTGTAAACAGACGACACCTCGGCTGCTCAGTCCCAGTTACAAGTTACAACGTATGGTTTTATTACCATTTACATTTCATTTGAGCTGATACGTTGTATTTAGTGTTCTAGGGTTTATATATGGGTCCGTTGTTTCAGGGCCTATCCTGCTTCAGGGGCTTGAGGGTTAAAACAAGTTTTTGCTGAAAGAACTGTAGCCTTACTTACGTTTGGTACCTTGTCACGAGGCATTTTTCTGTCCGGGAACAAAAGCAGTGTCGGCAAAAGATCAAATCTGCAGTTATCGTAATTTCTCGTTAGAAATATCAGTCAAAATGGCCGATCGAAGTTACATGTCGATCGAAGTTGTGTGATACGAGGATCCACGACGTCTGGGCATGCGCCTCACAGCTCTGTCCTCATCTGCTCATCACAACTTATATTCGTGATTTTGTGAAACAAGGGACAAACCTTAGCACAACTGTCAGGTAAGCCTTCATGTAGGTTACGGAAATTAAGATGCGAGCGGAAACGAGACAAGTGTCACCAACATATTCAAGCTCCTCACAGCGATAGAGGGAAACGACGGTGTCACGCGGCGTACGAGCTTGTAACAGATATAAAAACAAACAAACAGGGCAGTCCGTTTGCAGTGTGCCAGGGTGCACTATCTTCTGATGTAAAGACAAACGGAAAGAAAATATTGTTTCAAAAATTTTGAAAGTATTTTCATAAGATCATAGGCGGATCCAAAGGGGGTCCAGGGGGTCAGCCCCCCTTTTTTAAAAAACAATGTAGTATGTTGTAGGCTGTAAAATTATCTGAGAGAGGATTTTGATATTTTTGATCCCTCCTTTTTTCAAATGCTTGATCCGCCCTTGAAGATCATTATTTACAATGAAGGTTTTGATTTAGAAAAAAAATAGTTTTCATTGCACTTGGAATATGGTGTAATCAGTTTAATAATGTTATCCATGCAAAACCCAATTTGATGAACTTGAGGTCACGATCCAATAAATTATTCATAAGAGGCCACAGGTCTAGGAAGACTTCTTTTATGCTCCATACATCCAGTCAATGTCTGCTTGCACAATAAACAATTGTCTTCTGTTCCCAGTAGGTTTAAATGGAGGTTTTCTCATGTGTGGGTGATTCTGTAGATAAATTCAAAAATCATTTGGCACTATATGATAAATAGGGCGGTTCACTAGGGCGGTTTCAAAAGTTACTTCCCTGACTGATGTTACATAGAATATTTTAAGAATGACATACATACAACAGTGGAAACTAACATTTTTGGTCCACTAGTCCTTATAATGTAACATATAACAAAACCTTTAAAAATGGCAAATTTCGAATAGTCCCTGCGATACCTTAACTAGTAGGCAGTTTGGCAAGGACCACAGGACTAGTGCCAATTTCTAATGCTAATATGATCAAGTGATTATTACCACGTGTGTTCCAGTGTGATAAATATCATGTATAAGGAATAAAACGTATTGTGCTCACCATTGGGTCACTTAATACAATTCTTGTTCCTAATACATGATACAGTTTATATTGAATCTCTCAGCTAATTAACTCTTAACTATATGTCAACTGTCATTGTCAAAATATTTATACTCGAAGCAACCCAATATATGGTAAGGTGTCATTCTAGCATTTAATTGGTTGACTTTGAAGGTCACTGTCGCTACTTATAACCAGTACCACAATAACTTAACATGTTAAGATATGATATTCACCTAACTAGGCACCGCTGACCACCCTGACAAGGTCAACAGTTGCATATGACAGAAAGAGACATAATAGAAAAAACTCTAATTTTTTTAACATGAGGGTGAAACAGTTATTTATAACTTTGGTCAAATGTTATAAAGAAAGGCATTCTTTTTTTCTTTTTAGAAATCTCAGATATTTGAAGTTAGGCTTTTATCGCAGATAGTCCAGCAAAATTCAGTGACCATCCACAAGATGAAGACTAGCAGTTTGTGCACCTGGACCATCTTGCTGATCTTCCTGGGTCTTCTGGAAGGTAAAGGTCATTGCAGCATGCAGCAAACAACAGATTTATGCATTGTGAGAAGTGAAACATTGGATTGTAATTTGTAGTTTGAAGTGATGAGTTTAGAATCACCAGTGCTGGATCCGGCGGGGCTAGGGGGTCATGTGTCCTGAAGAAATGTTTGTGATGATGGCACGGGATTCATCATGTTCCATTTCACTTTGATTGCAACATCAGTCCTTATGATATCCTTTATTCATACCCAACATGTAAAACCAAATTTTAATTAATTTTCATATATGTTTTTTAAAATGAAATATTACCCCTAAATATTGAATATGAATCCCAATATTGATATGCAATAGTGTTAAAGGGGGACTCAGCTTGGGCAAATTGGCAGTGCTAGCAAGTATGTTTCAAGTTTTCAACACCTCTTCGGTTTATATCAACTAACTCAAAGTTTGTGATGTATAATATCAGTACTGAACTGGATTCCAGACCGTAGAAAGTCAAAGTCCCCATTTAATATTATATCTTTATTTCATTTACAGGTGCTGTCACCAAGCTAAGCATTTCTCGGCAATATGTACTTGAAAGACCTCAGGAAGAGGGGGATAACTCTAATCACCAAGACAGGGCAGATAACTCTACTTTCAAACTTGTCTGCTATTATTCTATTGGTCAATCCTATGTAGGGCTTCTCCCTCCAAATATGAATGTTTCATTCTGTTCCCATGTAATATTTCTCGGAACAATTATCCAAAACTCTCAGGTGACAGCGGCGAATGAGATAGACGTTGAACTGTACTTTAAGAAAGTTGTGGTTTTGAAGAAACTGAAACCATCATTGAAGGTCCTGCTGTCCAATGGAGGAAACTTTTCCCAGGTTTTAAATACACAAGAAAATAGAACCAGGTAGGCAAATTACCTTATTTAGTGAAAGTCTTTCATTTTTCTAAATGTTATCAATTTCTTTCATTATTTATCAACTTGATTATTTTTTATATATTTTATATTGACAAAGAGATGTAAGTCATTATTTATATATATTAATGGTAACATAGAGATGTAAGTCGTTATTCATGTACATTAATATTAACCAGAGATGTTAGTTGGTTTTTTTATACATGAATATTAACATAGAGATGAAAGTCGTTATTTTTTATATGTTAATATTAACACAGACATGTAAGTCATTATTTTTATATGTTAATATTAACGGAGAGATGTAAGTTGGGTTTTTTACCCAAGTCGCTGGTTCTTTTGTAAGTGTTGTCTCCAGAGCTCCAGTTGAGAGTCTAACCCCAGACTGAGACCATCTTGTCATAGCCATGCCACAGTACTTTACGTGCTGCATTGAGGACTTTCTAATTTCATGGGTTCATGGAAATTTTACTCAGTTTGCGTCACTATAACGATAAGCCATTCACCTCCTCGTCCCTTCACCAAACTCTACCGCCGCCTCCGTGGTCTTGTGGTAGAGAGCGTCCGCCTGAAGAGCAGAAGGTCCGGGGTTCGATCCCCAGCCGCGTCATACCAAAAGACGTTAAAAGATGGTACTTGTTGTTACCCTGTCTGGCACTCGGCATGAAGGGGCTAAAACAAGCACTTGTCGGCTCGGAGTCAGTATACTGTGTCTGAGTGGGGTATTCATGTTAAACTGCGGCATGGTATCTCAGTGAGCTAGCACTATAAATCGGCATCAGTCCGGACTAGTACAAGCAGCAACAAACACACACACACACACGTGCATGCAGGTTGCTATATAAGTGCAATAATCTTGGACGCGACGTTTAACCCAATTTCACCTCACCTAACCAAACTCTACCTCACATTATTTATTTTTTCTTCATTTTCCTGTCACACCAAAGGCCTGAGTTCGATTCCCAATCAGTACAATGTATGAAGCCTGTTTCTCGTGTCCCCTGCAGTGATTTTGCTGGAATATTGTCATATGTGGTGTAAAACCCAACTCACTCAGTTGTTTGCCAGGATGGAGAAACCTTCTTGATACAACGATAGAAACTAACAGTTTTAGTCCACTAGTCCCTCTAATGATAACATATAGCAAAACCCTTAAAAATGGCACATTTCTACCAGTCCTTATGATACATTAACGATTGGGCAGTTTGGTAAGGACTACAGGACTAGTGCCAATTTCTAATGCTGTTGATGGCTGGCCTCATCTCTACAACATGGTATTACATGGTATTTCAGGGTTGGAAATACACTCTAAAGATAACATGCCCTTGTAATGTTAAAACAATAGGGAAATTTGGAAATTTTGACGAGCCCGCGGGCATTTGTTTTGGCCCCGGGCTAGCAGGCTAGTGTTAAGGGGGAACCCTGCCTTTGATTTTAGACTTTTGGATTAGCTTGAATGGGATGTGATTTCATGTCAAGGTATCACATATAATTTTATGCAGATTTGCTGAAACTGCAGTGCCATTGTTGAGGAAATATGGTTTTGATGGCCTTGACCTTGACTGGGAGTTTCCAGCATGGAACGGTCTTCCGGCGGAACAGAAACACAACTTGACCTTGGTTTCACAGGTATGTATGTTACACAAAGATTTTGTCTCTGAGAACTCGCTCAACCATTGTAAGACATTGACCTAGTTACCCATCCTTGATAATCCAGGGTATTATTTCTTCATTCTATTATGATAAATACCCTGGATCAATTTGTCACCATAGTATCCTTGGATACGTAACCATCTGTCTTATCAGAAACTTCCTGCATATTTCTATCGCTCTTGAAAGGAATTTGATTTGATTGCTAATTTTAGTGTCACATCAGACTCACAATGAAGCTGTGTTTGCGATGGGGTCCGGAGATGGAGATACAGTACACTGAATTAATTGTTGAGGACATACTTATACATGTAACAAGAGAAACATAACAAGCCCTTTGGTTTGGACTAACCACAACAAACTGAACTTATTTTTGTCCCCTATATTTGAGCTGAAGCATTCACAGTTGACATGTTTTGTTTGTTTGTTGTTTAACGGTGCACTCAACAATATTCTAGCTATATGATGGAGGTCTGTAAATAATATGACAGCCTCTTGTGGGAGGATCATAAAAAATATTATACTTATTTGGGGAGAGTCATGTGAAAATGGACATTTTATGATAAACTATAAGGGCTTTTAAATTTTGTCTTTTCGTGAAAATAAATTTACAAGGACATGAGGTGGGTCATCCATAAATATGACAAGAGTTAAGGGAGAGTCATTATTTTCAGTACATTAGTGCATCAAGAACCTCTGACTAACCTGGAGCGGCCGAGTAGCCTAGTGGTTTAAGCGTTCGCTCGTCACGCTGAAAACCCGGGTTCGATTCCCGACATGGGTACAACGTGTAAAGCCCATTTCTGGTGTCTCCCGCCGTGATATTGCTGTAATATTGCTATAAACGGCGTAAAACCATACTCATTCACTCACTCTGACCAACCCACCCTGTTATAAATGACCTGTCCCTTATGTTTGATTGCTCATTCATTAGGTCATATGTTATAAGATGTAGATACTATCACTAATCATCTACCCGTAAAGATCCGGGGTAGAATAGGTCTTCAGCAACCCTTGCGTGCCATAAAAGGTGACTATGCTTGTCGTAAAAGACGACTAACGGGATCGGGTGGTCAGACTCGCTGACTTGGTTGATGCATGTCATTGATCCCAATTGCGTGGATCGATGCTCATGATATTAATCACTGGATTGTCTGGTCCAGACACGATTATTTACAGACCGCTTTTATATCGCTGGAATATTGCTGAGTGCGGCGTTAAACAACCAACCAACACTAATCATTTGGCAATATCGAACATGGCTCATTTTAGAGTTCATTTCATTAGATTCTGGTACAAAACAAGAAATCCTTCCAGATTTCACAAGTCTTTGACTAGCGGAGTAGAAGCTGTGTATTATCAAATATCAATGCATTGTTTAATTTGCTTACAGACTATCAGAGCATCCTTTGAAGCTGATGCTAGACAACATGGTGGAGACCGCCTCCTGCTGACAATGGCTGTCAGTGCAGCCTATAACATGCTGGCGCCAGTCTATGAGATAGCAGAGTTGGCCAAGTAGGTGGTATTATGTTTGCATTACAAGAATCGGGCGTCCAAGTCATCTGAGGCAGCACAAATAGTGGTGCAGGGTTATGTCCCTTAGTTGTGCCAGAAAACTATGATCTTCAATTCAAACCTTCGATTTCTTATGGTTTGTCAACGCGGTTTGACCTGTATTTGATTTAACATGCTTAATAAGAGTCTCGGGTGCTTGGAAAATTTAAAGTGTTGGAGGGGACAGGAGGGGGGGCACTAAGCCGTTAACAAGAAATAATATTTATTGTACTAGCTAGCAGCCTGTTGTGTTTAACAACAAATCAAAATCGGTTACAGGGAACAGGCACAGGATACAGTTACCACAGCAAACAGTGGGGTTATGTATCAGAGTAAACGATCTGGTTTTAATGAAATTGATAATGACTTTAATGAGATACTCACATGAGTGAGTGAGTGAGTGAGTGAGTTGGGTTTCCAGTCAGTATTCCAGTTATATCGCGGCATGTTAGCTTAATGTGGGAGGAAAGCCTGAAGTGATGCAGGTCTCAGACGTCTACCACTTCGGTGAAACCCACGAGCACGGGTATCGTGCTGACAAACCTAGAAACATAAACACAATCATAAGTTTCTGGCGTGCCCAAGGGACGCAACTCTGCACAGCGAATCCTGGCGCCTTAGACGACTGGGCCACCTGTCCCCCCTCACATAAGTCAATTTTAGCATGTGAAAAGGGCTAGATTGGACATGATAATGTTATGGTTGATGAGAAAGTGACCATTTCAGAATTAACTGGGATTTTCCATATTTTGATTTAAATGATACCTTTTTATTCCCAAAAATCGTGATAGGTGTCTTTCTGCAAAGGCAAAGACTTTGCTAGTCCATCATTATCACACGTCTTTTGCAGGTGTCTGGACTTTGTAAACGTGATGACCTATGACCTTCACAGCTACAACAAACTCATCCCCCTCACAGGCCACAACAGCCCACTGTTCCACGGGGATGAAATCTTGGATGAAACCGTGTTCAAAGATAAGACATTTGTAAGTGATAGGCCAGTCAATGTACAGATTGTTGAACCAGGTCAGGATTGTTCTTCATCAGCCCATGCTTGTCATAAGAGGTGACAACCAGGATCAGATGGTCAGACTAAGTGACTTGTACAATGCAAGTCATTGTATACAAATTTCAGGGATCGATGCTCATAATGTCATGAATCATGAATCTAATTTTATTTGGAGCATAGATATGATATGTATGCCATCATCATAACAGTGACAGTGTTCATGATATAGACCAGGTGTACAATACCATATTCAACGTAATAAGCGCCCCACTCAAATAAGCACCCACGGCGATATTTGCTAATATATTGGCTAGTGAACAATCCCAATTATCACCCCTTCCGATTGATCATTGTACACAAGACTTATTTATTTGTGTATAATACGCTCTTGTGTGTTATATATGCACCCTTAATTATTGGCAATTAAATTCTGGAAAATATATCTGTCGTGTATAATACGCACCGACTTTTTTTTGTATCATTTCAGGTTGTCAGCATAAACCACGAAATTTACAATCTTTCAACTCTGTTTTTTTTCTCACCAAAATCATATTCTAATAAGAGCCTCCTATTTCTAATTTTGAGAGCGCCCTGGGCGCTTATTATGTTTAATATGGTATACATGATTCATAGACCAGATGTAGATAAACATGATATTGACCATATACATGATGTTGACCATATACATGATGTTGACCAGAAACACAAAATAGATAATATACCCAACATATTTCTACTAGTCCTTATGATACCTTAACTATTGGGCAGTTTGGTAATGACTACAGGATTAGTGCCAATTCCTAGCACTGCCAGATAAACATGATATTGGTAGTAGTCATTATATAGATGAGAAAAGGATATAATCGATATACATGATATACTATATCAATAGTAGAATCTTTTACTATAAAGCCACTAAATAATTAACTGGTCAGGTAACGAGACCAACCTATTGCTTCACTTGCGACCCAAATGTTTATTTTACAGCCGTCAATATGATCAAGAAATCCATATTTATCATTTTGAAAAAATTGGATGTTTCCAAATATTATCTTTTCCTTGTTGAATGTGACTATTTTGACCTACAAATATGAGGAAGACTGCGTCTAACAGTTGTAACAAGCCATCTATTAAATAAACAAAACAACCCTACCTGAAACACATGTTTTTTGGTTTGGTCTGAACACAATAGAACTACAAAGTAAGTGATGTAAACAGCAGAGTTGTTGTGTGTGTTTCAGTCCTGGGCGGCCTCGGCGTGGGTGAGCGGGGGGATGAGGAAGGACCAAGTGATGACCGGCATCCCAACATATGCTCATACATTTAACCTCCTGTTTGAAGAGTGGCACAATGTTTATGCACTTGCCACAGGAATCGGAACCATTGGTGATTTCCTGAATTATCCTGATGTAAGTTTTTTTGTGTACAGAGTAGGGTGGGCCTTGGAAATAAGCTTACATAGCTGAAGGAGCCAGCACTCCAAGTGACTGTTGGTGCTTGTAGGTGGCCGGGGACCAATCTAACCTGGAATCCCCACAGGCCTGTCATCTCAGCACCCACGACTCTCTGTGTAGACCTGCATCCTTCAGGCAGGCTTGTGAACCCTGTCTCAATTACTTTAGGTTTCTCCAGTGCCATATCAAAATGCTTATTCTGAAATGGTTATTGGTACCTTGTAGGATGAGATGGTGGCTGTTCTGTTCTGACCTTCTAGCGTCTCACAGGTAACTTGGGTTGTATACTCCCCAGGGAGATGAGAATGAAACTCGAGTGCACCCTGGCCTATTGAAGGGGGAAGAATTAAGGCTCTGCAATATAGGGGGCCCAGCCGTCTAAGGCGCTGTGCAGAGTTGCGTCCCTTGGGCAAGCCAGAAACCTATGATTGTGGGTTCGAATCTCGGTTCACCCCAATTATGTTTCTAGGTTTGACAGCACCATACCCGTGCTCGTGGGTTTCACCAAAGTGGTAAACATCTGAGACCTGCATCACTTGGGGCTTTCCTCCCACATTAAGCTGACAAGCCGTGATATAACTGGAATACTGTTAAAAGCGGCGTTAAACCCAACTCACTCACACTTTGCAATATATGTTGTTGTTTGTTGTTGTTGGCATTTCCAGAGGTGATGCTGATTGGATTACAATCAAGAGATTGATCGTTTTCACCAACAAAGCATTTGGGTACTGATATCACTTGGTGGCACTGTCTTTTTACCATTTCATCACCGTGTAAATAAATAATGTCAGAAAATGCTGGATAATGTTTCCGTTGAAATCAGTTCTTATTTTCTATCGCACTAACCTGTGTCAGGAGCGATCTTGACTTCGTAGCCGTATCCCTCTGTGTTGAGACTATGTACCTGTCTTTACTGAATATGTCTTTATGCAAAAATACCAGACCTGTCAACCCCTCATCATGACAAGGTGGGAGATTTGACTTCAAAATGGGGGACATATGCCTCCAATGGGGGAGATTTTTTAAAATAGTGAAGATGAGATAATTTCCAACTTTTGTTTTTATTAATGTTATTGAGAAAACCAAATATTTTAAGACAATAAATAATTGATAAGTTTCTTATATGAACAGCTTGCTTAATTTCTGTTTGCATTTTCCTCCTCCAAGAATAAACCTAGCCCAATCTGCCCATCTGCCCGAAAACAGTTGACATGTTCAATCAGACCAGTTGTCAGGCTTAGTTCTGATGCAGGTTTTTTGAGTATTTGGCACGATTTTGGTAACAAGATACGCCAAAGAAATATCAAGTGCATTTATCATGACGCAACATAATCGCCCCTAATTTCAATAAGATATATTGTTGGGTTTTTTCGGTCTGCGTAGTCTGTTGACAGTCCCATTACTTCGCTTCTTAAATTTCGAAGAAATGTTCACGTTATTCATATGCCATAAATGTATGCCATATTTGGAAGAAATAATACGTTTTACTTCAATTTGTGAATAAAATTAGTGTCATCGTTGACCTTTCTGACCTTTTATGTAATAATCTCATTGGTTGACTCGAACTTTTGTATGCAAATTACATTGCTGATCTGGGACGCTATCAGACTATTAGCCAATCAAATCATGTAAAATAATCACATGATACATTTTCACATAATTTGATACAGTTCTGTGTTGATATTTCTGTGCACACAAGTCACGATGTCAGTCAAAAGGTTTCACTTCAAACTTTGACTTTGAAACCCTAGCTATGAGGAAGCCTTATCGTGTACCTCATTGTTATTTCGACTACCGAATCAACCAATCACACATAGTGTTGTTTCTGAGGACGGCGATTGCAGGACATATTTTGTTTTCATTTTCAAGAGTTTAATGATGTAACTTTGAGGTATATTGGTGTTTTAACAAAGTTTCTGACCAATCTGATAACCAATAAAGTCATGTATAACTGGGCCGGCCATATGTATCTACATTCTTATATTATGGAGGAATAAACACGCTAAGAACATGAAGACTACAGTTCATTTCAGGAAGTGATGAATACTCGGCTGATTATTCAACCCTTCAGGCACCTGTAAGGACTATCCGAGTTTCCTTACAGTTTACATGGTTAAATCATTCACCATAAATATGGATTTAATTACCAGTTGATTAGTAGACAAAGGCCCATCTGGGTCCCCTGCTGGTGGCTGTGATAAGGGTCGCTTATCCGTGAGCCTACCGGACAGATCGGGACGCAAACTTCCTGTTCTTTGTTTTTACTCAATGGACAATGGAGGCAAATTTTTAAAATAGTTCTGTTTTGCGGGAGAAATGGTCCATCATGCGGGAGACTGGGAGATTTCCTCAAAATGCAGGAGGCTTGACAGGTCTGAAAAACATGTACTTTGTCTGTCCTTAAGTTGGAAATGTTTGAATTTTCAGGTTTGTCAACTCATAAAGAACAACAGTACAACGGTAGTGTGGGATGACAAGAGTAAGGTCCCCTACCTGTACCAGGGGCCGCTCTGGGTTTCTTATGACAATGTTCGCAGCGTCACACTCAAGGTAGGCAATGTGCTAGTTCGGTGTTGTGTGGGACAAAATGGGAGGGCCAGTCCCCAGAGACACAGGAATTCGTTGTAAAAGGTTGTCTCCCTTTGGCATGCCAGAATCCTGTGATTGTGGGTTTAATCACACAGTGCATCAGTTCACTGTGTATATTCACTATACTATACATTCACAGTGACAATCGGGATATATAGACCCTATACTCACTATTGGTTATACTATCATATATATATGTGTTACCCGTGAAGATCTGGTTTACAATAGGTCTTTAGCAACCCATGTTGTCGTAAGAGGCGACTAACAAAATCAGGTGGTTCAGCTCGCTGACTTGGGTGATGTATGTCATCCTATCCCAAATGCGTAGATTGAGGTTCATGATATCAAACACTGGATTGTCTGGACCAAACTTGATTATTTACAGGCCACCGTCATATAGCTGGTATATTGTTGATTGCGGCATTAAACAACGAAAACACTATATATATATATATATATATATATATATATATATATATATATATATATATACTGTAAACAGGGAATTTTTTGCGACCGTTTTATTATTGCGAGTTTTGCGAACGAGACTCAATCGCAAAAATTAAAAACGCAAAAATAAGTATAAATAATACATACATACTTTATTCATTGCAACACGTCATCAAATGTTGAAATAATCAACCAGAACCACAAGTTACTCAAAAAGTTAAAAACACAAATGAATGCAGAATTGTCACACAATACATTACAAATCACAGTGTAAACAGACCAATTAGTGTCACTGTTGCCTCACAGTAATCCTGCCTTCTTCCAACCTTGCTTGATTGCGTCAGTGTCATTTGCAATTTTGTCCACACAGGAAACAAGCCATCTTGCGTGAATCGGTTTCATGACACTGGTCAACTTTCCGGCCAACTCAGATTAACTAGCTTCGGAGAGAAGCTGTCTTTTGTTTGGTAATCGAGGGGTTATCTCAACACTGCAACTCGCAAAAATATCTCATTGCAGTATTGTCTTTGGTGTGGTATTCGCAATATTTTAACGGCGCAGAAATAAAACTGTTTACGGTATTCACTTAAATGGTTATATTGATTGTCAGGATTCATTTGTGGGTATGTTCTCTATACTGTTTATCCCAACCATAAAGCTGTGTGTGTCTGTGTCTGTGAGTGTGTGTGTGTGTGTGTGTGTGTGTGTGTGTGTGGTGTGGTGTGGTGTGGTGTGGTGTGGTGTGGTGTGGTGTGGTGTGGTGTGGTGTGGTGTGTGTTGGGGGTATTATCAGTACATGTATGTGGGATGCTACAGTCCCCGACTCTGTTCCAGACACAGTACCTTCTCCAGCAGGGCTTCGGAGGGGCCATGGTCTACTCACTCAACTGTGATGATTACAAAGGAACGTGTGATGGGAAAACAAAATGGCCGCTGTTCGAAGCTATCACTGCTGCTGTGAAAGACCACCAGACTATCAGGAAATGAAGATGAAAATAAGAACACTGTGATGATTCTATGTGTGTCATAATTAACTATGGGCAGTATATATGAGGCAATCCATGCACAGACATCTGGAGACAATGTGCAGGTTAGCTGAAGATGCTGGTAAAAGTGGTGCTGTATCCTTACGCCAGGGATAGTTCTATAATTAGGGGTTGTGATGTGGCTCACAATATAGTCCATATGTTACATCCTCCTTGTTTTGTGACAAAGTAGATGGCACAGGCAATAAACAAGCTGTAGATTAGGGGTGGACATAGTGATTAATAATGAAAATTAATATATAAGAGAAAGTTCCTGAGTTTAATTATGGACATCTGGATATGTATAGGAACGGACTCCGTTCCCTATCTACTGACCAGCCTACTTTTGGCACACAGGTTATACTGCTTCTACCTGTACAGTCACTTTACAGTCACTCTTTGAAATATCTGGTCATTGAACCTATCTACTGACTAGCCTACTTTTGGCACACACGTTATACTGCATTTACCTGTACAGTCACTTTACAGTCACTCTTTGAAATTTCTGGTCGTTGAACCTATCCACTGGATTTGGTCCTGTAGGTTGTTGAATCATATCACTTGTCACTTGTTGTAAAGTTTGGGACTTCTGTGACCTGTCTACTTGGTGACTGGTGGGAAGACTGGGATCTTCAAGGTTGAAGGTGACACATCTTTGTTGTTGGGAGTGTGTATATTCCGTGTTGTACGCTATGGAGTCTGGACTGGGCATGGCATTGTGTTAGCCTCAGTTCCTGATGTTTGTCTTACGTCTCTTCGGTTGTGGCGGAGGACTGACCTGTTGTCTCGACAATGTAGGGGTGGGGCCCCGGTGGTGGTTTGATGACTGTAGCCTCATTTCATCTGCCCGTCTGCTGGTCTCTGATTCCGACTGGCTGGTTGGTGATAAGTGGGTCAGTTCCTCTCCAGCTCCTCTGTCGAAGTTTATTTTTTGTAGACGTCGTCTTACCTCCAGTCTCTATGTTACAGCATTCTTTCCATTTACTTCATACCTACATTTGGTGGGTGGATTTGACTTGCGCAGTAGCATCTGTTGGAGTCTTTGTGGTGCGGCTGACATGTTCTTCAGGTGGATATCTCCAAGGGCTTGTGGTCATACTTGACTGTGAACCTTTTACCATATAGGTGTGCATCCAAAGACAATTGCCAGCGTTTCGCTTTCAATGTTAGCATATCTCTGTTCTGTGTCACTCAGAGTCTTTGGGAGGCACGGGTGGCCCAGTCGTCTAAGGCGCCACGATTCACTGTGCAGAGTTGCGTCCCTTGGGCACGCCAGAAACCTATGATTGTGGGTTTGAATCCCGGTTCGCCCCAATTATGTTTCTAGGTTTGTCAGCACCATACCCGTGCACGTGGGTTTCACTGAAGTGGTAAACGTCTGAGACCTGCATCACTTCGGGCTTTCCTCCCACATTAAGCTGACATGCCGTGATATAACTGGAATACTGTTAAACCCAACTCACTCACTCAGAGTCTTTGAGGTAAAAGACGTGGGCTTGTCATCTTTGGGTAGAATTCCTCTGAGGCCTTTGGTGGAAGGCCTCTTTGTATTGAATTTAGTGATGGGTTGAAGAAATTGAGGGTTACTTTGCCACACTTTGCTTCATGGTCACTGGCAAGGTCAATGGCTTGATCTAGTGTGAAACCTTCGTCTTTCCCCAATATTCCTTTTTGTATCTCTGAGATGTTCAAACAATCATTCTTTCAATTTGGCATCTTTGAATCAGCGCTTGAACCGCTGAAGTTTCCGTCTTGTAAAAAAAATGGTCCACCAACTCACTTTTATCTTGTTGGTAACATTGTAGGTAGGATCTCTGAAAACGCAAGTTTGTCTTTGGCTCAAGGTCGGACTCAAATCTTTGGAATATGACTTTGTGTTGTTTCTTCACTATATTGCTTAGAGTCCATGAGTTAAATGTTTTCAATCCTTCATCACCAACAAATAGCAATATGTGGTCTACCTGTTTTTCTTCTTCGACATTCTTCACTGAGAAAAATAATGAACACCTCTGTTTAAAGAACTTAAAGTCACCTGCTAATAAAGTCGTGACTCGACCAGTTAAGGTTTGGTATTTCCATTTTTCCCCTTTAAATATCTTCAAACCTTGCTCAGAGATGAGTGTAGCAGTCAGCCTGGTAACAGGACATGTACTTCATGGGCAACGCCATCTTGGTCAGCACATGTAGGGGTGACAGTGGGGTCTTGCCTAGTACCATGGATCCAAGGGGTATCACGTTACAGATATGGGGTTTAAATTAAGGGCCATTTGTTTTTACTCAAATCTTCCGACTCATTTTCTTCAGCTTTCATGCTATAAATCTTCTTTGAAACTTCACACGTGAATATTTGCAATAGATACCAACACTTTAAACCTAAGCCGAGGCACAGGGGGATGAAATCAGCAAACTTCCTTTGTTTACATTTATCAGTTCTTCACTCAGTTTTTCAGTTATAATTTTCATTTAGGTCCTCTTTTCCTTTTCTGTCATCATTGAGACAGGCTGGAAACGTGCAGCCATCATGTACCACATTTTCTTGAGTATAGTGCGCACCCATATATAATGCGCGCACCACCACCCCCACCACCACCACCCCATCTCCCATCTCCTTTGGGGTTACTTGCTGACAAATCCCACTTCTGACACCATTTTGTAGCAGGGTTAAGAGGACCAAAGTAAAAGCTCTCTTGAATCTCATTTTTTAGCTGTGGTAGTCAGTATTATCACCCATGACGTAGCTTGATCTTTACTAAGAAATAGAGTAAGTAGAGTTAAAATGGCTGGCTGTGAAAAGGACACTACATCAGTCGGAGCTTGGCGTGAGATGAGATGATAGCGAAATCTACCACAGGGAAAGATTTTTGTTCCAAGAAATAGAAAAGTGAAAAGACTAATAATTAATAAGATGAATATGAAAAAATAGTATGTTTTGCATATGTTATAATTGAGAGAAAAAGCTTAATTCTATTTGGAATTAATTGACATTTGCGATTAATTCCGGAAATTGCCAAAGACTACAAGCTTACAAGCAAAAGCCTGTAGGAACAATAATTGTGTACTAGAACATTTTTACATATGTATGATCATACTTGGAATATCATAAATCTGTTTTCTGGTAGAGGTTTAAAGTTTCATTTATTGTTTTCACTCAGGGACCAACACACTCCTTGTATACTGGTATCAATGCAGTGATTCTATCACTATGGCAGATTGATCTCTGGTTGGAAAAGCTAGGGTGAAGTTGGTGAAGTCAGTACAAGTACATCTTCGTATCCGTTTGCCCCCTTTCCAATGCTGTGAAATCCATACGAAGTACCTCCAATGGTCCCTTTGCAATTACTGAGCCAAGAGTTGGTCTGACATTGTTCTATGCTTTCCTAACATGCATCGTTCACATTTCTGGCCGTAGCTTTGGACTCACTGGCCATGTAAGGCCAATAGCATCTGGTTCAAAGTATAGAAATTGTTGCTTCTGGGCTCTGGTGTCCATTTTCATCATGACTTGATTTCAGTACTCTAGTCAGCAGTTTCTTTGGAACGATGACTCGATTGATGGTCTTGATATTCTAAAAGGATTGTTTATGCAGAGACAACAAAAGAAAATATAAATTTAATGATTTATTATGTTTGGCACAAAAACTGGGGGACAGATGCCTAGCTAAGCTAACAAATAAAAGTATGACATCTGTCCCCCCTACGATTGTGAAAAGCATGTAAAATGGATATGGTAAGTAAATGCTGGAATTACAGCTCCACATCCACTACTGGGTGTCGTTCCCTGATGAGGCGCGACGATGGTGGAAATACAGAGACGTACAACTGACTGGGTGCCGTTCCCTGTACGCCCCGGGCGGATTGCAGATGAGTGTGAAGTAGAGAATGGGCCCTCAGTCAAAATAATATGTACATGGTAATTAGACATGGAAGGTGAAAAGACTGTAAAGAAATGAGCTGTCCCAATGATTGTAGATAGGTGTAAGATGATATGGTCAACAGTTACTCATAGCGACTTGCGCATTCTTAATGCTCTCGAGCCACATGAATGTAACGCAAGTAGGCCTGCGACGACCAACGTCCGAGAGTCTGTATCATATGGTCCTCAACTTGAGCTTTGCTTGCCATAGTGGCGGCCCCAATGCGAAACGAGTGAGTGTTGTAGTTGGCACTAGGGACTCCACATAGATTAATTACATGTTTCAATTTTCCTTGAAAGGAATCTCTGGTAAGAGGCATATGTTTGATGGTCTTGATATTCTTAAAGGATTGTTATACAGCACTCCATTCTGCATAATCATGTGCTTCCAGCATATCAAGAGTTTCCTTCCTCGATCTTGTTTCCTCATCGTTCACAAAGTTGACGGTGTACTTTGATCTCAGTAGTGAAGGAAATTTGAAATGGATCTTCTTGCTTCAATTTCTTCATTTTGTCTGAAGACTCTGATGGTATGTGGATGCTTGGAAGTGGTTCATCCTGTGCTTGAATGGCTTCTACATGTTCAACTGGCCTGTCCGGTTTGATTTGTAACTTAAGGTCTGAAGTCGATGCAGTCATCTTGTGCTTTATAGTTGCCCCACAGTCCACGAGTAGAGTCCTCAAGTTTTGTCAACTCTTTCCGGCTGAGTGAATCAGTTTTCTTGTTTTTCTTCCCAACCCAATTTGAACTGGGCTAGTTTGCCAGTCCATCTTGTCTCAATGGCACCAAGCTTAGCCGAAGTTTGAACGTAACTCAGTGGGTCATTATCCATATAACAGTACACTCAGCACCAAGCAAGAAATCTCTGTACTTCTCTGGTACGGTCCTTATCAGCGCATCCAGTTTCAGTTTCATGCTGCTGTCATTTTCCTCTCAGCAGGTTGCAGTGTCCAACTAGCGTAGCTCAGCACAGTCTCCCAGTTCCTTGGTACTGTCAGCCCCAAACCATTGTGACTGGTCAGGATATATGACCTTTGAGAAATCTGAGTGTCCACATGACCTAGAAACTCTAGTTTCTCCATTCTGAACTGACACTTGTCCGGATTCAGAGTTAGACCTTTCTCTCTTATGACAGTCAAGACTTTGGCCATTCTTCTGTCATGCTCCTAATCACTAGTTCCATGAACAATAACATCATCCGAGATATTATGAACACCTTCACACTCGTGAAGTATCTGCTGAAGAATCTTTTGGTACATTTCCGGAGCACAACAAATACCAAACATAAGTCTCTTGTATCTGTAAAGGCCCTTGTGTGTACTGAAAGTAGTAATATGTCGTGATTCGGGGGAAAGTTCAATCTGATGATAAGCCCACTTCACGTCCAACTTACTGAACGCAGTACTGTGCTTAAGGTCCTGTAATACATCATCAATGGTGGGAATCGGATGCCGTTCACGGCGAACTGCCCTATTAGCCATTCTCATGTTCACGCATACACGAATGTCTATGCCTCCTGGTTTAGGTATGATAACTAACGGCGATACCCAATCGCTAGGACCATGACCTTCTCAATAATATCAAGTTGTTCTTCAAAGGCTTTATCATTCAAGATTTCCTGAAGCAGAAACACCTTGGCCATTGCTAACTTTACGCTTGCCTTTTTTCTTGAGGGGTATCCCATGTAACAGAGAGTGTAGGGAGGCTGCTATACTTGCAAAGGATGGAACAAACTTCCTATAGTATCCAGATATACCTAGGAATCTATGTAGTTCTGTCTCGGTCTTCGGGGCTGACCATTCCACCTCTGCCTTGATCTTCCCTTGGTCTGGTGAGATACTTGATATGTTTTGCCCAAGTTACCAGAGTTTCTCCTCAAACAGTTGACATTTCTCTGGCTTTACTTTCAAGTTGAAGTTCGCAAGTCTTGTCAAGACCAGTTCTAATCTTTGTAAACTTTCTTCAAAGGTGGTGCCAATAATTAGTATATTGCCCAAGTAGATTAGTATGG